AAGCCGCGGCGGCTGCCGCTATTTTAGAAGACAGGCCGGATTGGTTCAGCACCGAAATCGCGGAAGCGCAAGCCGCGGCGGTGGCGAAGTACGCGCGCAACTTCCTGCCGATTCTGTTCAACCTCTTCGTCGCGGCGCCGCCGGAACGCCGCGGCGAGTTGAGCGCGACCGTGGGGTGCTTCGCGCAAGTCACGGACGCGACGTCCCTCGGCGGATTTTTCCGCACGGTGCTGAAGAAGCTCGTCAAGGTGACCTCGGACGCGGAGAACGCCCCGGACGCGCTCACGGAGGGCGGCGCCACGAAATCCGCGCGCCGGTGCACGTTCATGGACCTCTCCTTAGCCATGGTTCCCGGTCTAGACGCCCCCGCGAGGGACCTGGTCTTCAAAGCCGCGAGACCGGCCACCGGGGAGAAGGACGCGGCGGTGCAAAAGCGCGCGTACAAACTCCTCGCCGCGTTGATGAAACCGTCGACGCACACGGAATGGCTCGCGAACAACGCCGACGCCGCGGAGGAGGCGCTCGTGGAGGGCGCCGGGTCGTGCGCGCCGGCGGCGCGGCGGTACCGCCTGCGCTGCGTCGCCGCGCTGTTGCCGTCGCTCATGGAGCGCGAGGCGAAGGCGGAGGAGGACGCCGCCGCCGTCAACGCCGCGGGCGACGACGCCGCGGCGACGCGGTCCGCCGCGGCCGGGTCCGGGTCGTTCACGGTGCTCCTCTCCGAGCTGATCGTCGCGACGAAGGAGACGAACGCGCGGACGCGGCAGCAGGCGTTTAAGCTCCTCGTGGACATCCCGCGAGGGATGGAGCGGCGCGCGGGCAGGGCGAACGGCGGCGGGAGGATCACCGGCGGCGCGGGCGGCGGCGGGGGAATGCTCGGCGCGTGGCTCGCCGCGGGGGACGACGACGACGACGACGAGGAGGAGAACGAGAACGAGAACGAGAACGACGCGCGTCACCGCGACGACAGCGAGGACGACGACATGGAGCACGCGCAAGCGAGCGAGGAGATGGGCTCGGGCGTGCGGAAGTTCTTCATGACCGTCCTCGCCGGCGTCGTCGGCGCGTCGCCGACGATGCAGAGCGCGGCGGTGATGGCGCTCGCGCGGTTGCTCTACGAATTTTCCGCGCAGCTCGTGAGCACCGTGCCGGAGCTACTCCCCGCGGTGTTCGCGCTCATGCAAGGCGGGCATCGCGAGGTCGTGAAGGCTGCGCTCGGGTTCATCAAAGTCGCGGCCGTGCGCCTCCCCCAGGTCGAGCTCGCGAACCAGCTCGCGGACATGGTCCCCGCGCTCCTCGCGTGCAACGACGACGAGGACGGGTACAACCGCTTCCGCGGTAAGGTGAAGGTCGTCGTCGAGCGGCTCGTGAAGCGCTGCGGGTACGGCGCCGTGGAGGCGGTGACCCCGCAGGCGCACATAGCGCTGCTGTCGCACATGAAGAAAGAGGAGTTCAGGAACGAGAAACGACGCAAGGCGTCGATCGCCGGGAGCGAGATGGGCGGCGGCGGAAAATCAATCGCGGGCAAGTCCGCGAAGACCGGGCGCCGGAGCGCGTGGAACGACGCGGAGGTCTTCTCCGACGACGACGAGAACGGCGGCGGAGGGATGAGCCGCTTCGTCGGGACCCGCGGCGGCTTAGGCGCGCGGTCGATGGCGCCGACGTCCAGACGCGAAGCCGGCGGCGGCGGCCCGCGGAGCGCGGCGGAGGCGCACGCGCTCCGCGCCGCCGGCGGCGCGCGTCTTCCGGGCGCCAAGTCCGGGTCAGAACCCTTGGATCTCCTGGACGAGTCCGCGGTTCGGAGGCACATGCTGAAGCAAGGCGACCGTCGCGGCGGAGACGAGGAGATCGAGGGCGGGTACTCGCGCGGCGAAGGCGGTAAGCTCGTCATCACGGAAGAGAAGGAGTACGGCAAGCGGAAGCGCGACGACGACGACGGCGACGACGACGGACGCACCGTCCGAAGCGTCGGCGCGCGGAGCAACGTCTCGCGAAGGACCGCGAAGACCGAGGGCGGGATCTCCCTCAGGTCCACGCGCACGCAGAGGACGGCGCGGACGTCGCGCACGGACGCGCGAAGCTCGAAGACGACCGACCGACCCGGGAAGACGGAGAAGAAGCACGGCGCGCACACCGCGGATGTCTACCGCGCCAAGAAGGGCGCCACCGGGGACGCGTTCACGAAGGAGAGAACGCTCGAGCCGTACGCGTACTGGCCGTTAGACGCGAAGCTGATGAACCGACGGGCTCACAAGAGGCGGAGCGCGAGTGAGAAGCTCGGGCAGGTCGTCACGAAGGCGAAAGGATCGGGCATACACCACGGGCAGAAGGCGAAGGACGCGAAGCGACGAAAAAAATAGCCATCACAGCAAATGTTTGAAGTCAAACCTACAACGGATCTCGTCACGACAGCTCTCTCACACCCTCCCGCGCGCCCGTCCGTCGTGGGCCATGGCGTCGGAGGAGATAGACGACCTCGTCCTCGAGGGTCACGGCGGCGCGATCCATGACCCGTCCCACCTCGACGACCCGAACGCGGGGAAGCAGGAGGCTCTCGCCGCGCGGTTGAAGTGCGAGATCATTAAAATAAGCGAGGAGGCCGCGAAAGCGCGGAAGATCCGCGTCTCCCCGATGGTCGCGCAGTGCGTCACCGAGCTCACGATGGATTACGCGGAACACTTCGCGAAAGACATCTTAGCGTTCTCGAAGCACAGGAAGGGGAAGACCATCGCGCTCGAGGACGTCAAGCTCGCGATCCGAAAGTTACCCAGGGTGGAAGCGTCCGTGGAGGAGTGCCTGCCTGAAGAGCTGAGAACGAAACGCCCGAGGCAGACGACATTGACGTGACGTGGAACGGCGTCGAGCGACGGCGGAGGCGCGGCATAGATCACTACCGTAGACTAGCTAGCGAACATCGATGTAACAACGACGACTACTGTACTATCATCTATAGGCTCATAACGCGTCGGCGCGCGCGCGGGAGGGGCGACGCATTCAAAAACGCCGCGACAGGCGCCGGGCGCCAACTCCGAACGCTCATCGCATCTGCGGCTTCTTCGCGTACTCGGACGTGCTCGACGGTCGAGCGACGCGCCCAACGCCCGCGCTACTCGTCGACGAGACCCTCGCCTTGGCCCCGCCCCCGCTGGTGGACCCCGGGCGGGCGCTGGCCGCGGAGGTCTTCGCCCACCCCCCGCCGGCGGCTTTCGCTCTCGCGACCGCCGCCGCCGCCGCCGCGCCGCCGCTCCCGCTCCCGCTCCCGCTCCCGCTCCCGCCCGTCTCGGACGCCTTCATCGGCGACGTCAGCTTCATCGTCGGTCTCGCGGACGACGGCGCTCGAGGCTTCGCGCCGCTTCCCTTCCCGCCGCCGACGCTCGCCCCGCTCCTCGGCCGTCGCTTAGCGCGCTTCAAGCGCGCGCGGTCTAAATCAACCGCCAGCCGCGTCGGCGCGAGGAGCGAGAACCACTGCTTCGCCGCGGGGTCTAACCCGATGTCCGTGAACGCGTACTGCCAGTTCGGCAGCCCCAAGTGCGATGCCATGACGCGGAAGTACTCCGAGAACGACCCCGCGATGGGGTGCCACCGCGCGGCGAGATCCTGGAACCACACCTGCGCCTCGGTCTTTCGAACGACGGGCGGCCGCGGCTTCGCGTCCGACGTCTCCCGCCCGCTCGAGGACGTCGCGTCCGGCGCCTTCGCGACTTCCTTGGACACGAACACGAGCGCGACGCGACCGTACGCGCAGGACGCGTCGAGGTCGAACGCCGCGAGCGGGGTCGCGTTGGACGAATCGAACGCCCCGCTTCCGCGGACGACGACCGGGCCGTCGCCGCGGTCGTCCTCGGGCGACGCGTCCAGCGGCAGCGCGCGCATCGCTTTCACGCCGTTCAGCGCCATGCACCCGAGCGCGTGGCGCTTCTGCCTCCCGACGCGCACGTCCCATCGAAGCGAGAACCCGTCGGACAACAGGAGGAACGCCTTCAAATCGTCGGGCAGTCGAAGCGGGCAGTTCGACGTCTCCCACGCGTGCAGCGCCGTGCTCGCGACCGCGTCGCGCTTCGTGAAGTGCAGGTCGCACACCGCGGGATGATCCTTCAGGAAGTTCACCACCGCGGTGGTGTACTTGTCCATCGCGCGAGCGTGCGCTCGACAGAATGGTGACCACGACGTTCGAATTGTGAAGCACGAGCTGTTTCATCATGCCTCGCTACTCGCTGCTATTTCCGCCGCCGCCGCCTCCAACTCCGGTGCGCTACCTACGTCCTCGATCTCTACGTCCGCGTCCTCCTCCTCCTTCTCTTCCAACTCTTCCTCCTCCTCGCCGTCGCCGCTCTCCGCGACGTAGTCCCTGTCCGAGTTCCTCGCCGCGCGTCCCCGTTCGCGTTCCTCCTCCTCCTCTCTTCGCATCGACCTCAACGCCCCGTTCGCTCGCAGGCGTATGCGCTCCAGCTCGATTAACGCGCGCGTGACGTTCCACATCTCGTTCTCGAGCATCGTCTCGAGGTCGTTCACCTCGCGCGCGAAACGGTCCTCGGTGCTCTCCGCCGCGCGCGCGAGTCGCCGCGCCTCGGAAGAGTCCGCGGCCTCGTCGACGAGGTCCTTGACGTTCGGTCGTCGTTCGGCGGCTTTCCCCGCGTTCAACCGCCGCTTCGCGGTCGCGACGCTCATGCGCCTGACCGCGCTCAGCGCGCCGACGGCACGGTGCAGCGCCTTGGTGGCTTTACGACGGGGAGTGTCCTTGTCGTTCGGAGGCGACTCGGACGCGGCGGTGGGCGCGGCGGCGGGCGCGGAGCGACGAGGCTCCTTCTCGGGCGGCGACGACGACTTCGCGCGAGGCTTCGCCGCCGGCGCCGACTCGCGGGGCTCGGGCTTCGCCGCCGCCGCTTTCTCCGCGCGAGCGCGTTCGCGTCTCGACGCCGCCTCCTGTTCCTTCTGCGCTTTCGCCGCCTCCGCCGCTTTCGCGTTCTCCGCCTTCTCCGCTCTGGCCGCCGCGGCGTCCCGCGCCTTCGACGACTCGCGCGGCGCCTTCGCCGCTTCCGTCTTCTTCTTCGCGTTCGCGCGCTTCGCCGCCAGCTCTTCTTCCTTCGCCGTCGCCGCCGCGGCGACCGCCGCGGCTCTCTCCGCCTTCGCCACTCTCATCGCGGCCGCATCTCGCTCCTTCGCCTCCGCCTCCGCTTTCGCGCGCGCCGCGTTCTCGTCGCGTCTGGCCGCGGACGACGACGAACGCTCCCCGCGCCGACTCGACGCCGTCGCCGACGTCTTCGTCGCCAACCCCGCCGCCGCGGCGCGGATGATCTCGAACGCCTTCGCGTGTTCGCGCGTCCACGACGTCGAGCTCCCCGGTTCGCACCACGCGGTGCCGACGAGCGCGAGCAACGGCGCGACGACGTCGTCGTACGTCTCGATCCGCCCCGCGCGCTCGACGCGATACCAACGACGCATCCCCGCGTGAAGCGACGTCGCCTTCACGAACGCGACGAGCTCGGTCTCGGTCGTCGGCTCCGGCCACGCGAGCCACTCCTCTTTCGTCCTTCTCGCGCACGCGCGCTCGATCGCGTCATCCTCTTTCGCCGCGGCGACGGCCTTCGCTTTCTCCGCTTTCTCGGCGCGTCTCGCCGCGGCGGCGGACGGCGCGTCGCCCTCTTTCGCCGCCGCCGCCGCCGGTCGGTTTCTATCCTTTCTTCCCTCCTTCCGCGCGTCCGCTAACTCCTTCGCGCGCGCGTCTTCCCGCCGGCGCTGCACCTCCTCTCTCTGCGCGAGCTCGGCCAGTCGTCTCTCCCGCTTCGCCTCCGCGTCCGACGCGTCCTCGGCGAGTTTCGCCGCCGCCGCCGCCGCGGCGCGCGCGCGGTGACTCGCCGCCGACGTCTTCTTCGATTCCATCTCGATTCTCCGCGCCTCCGCGGCGTGGTGCTTCGCCGCGCGCTTCTCCTCCGCGGCCGCTCTCTTAGCGTGCTCGTCGAGGCGTTTCGCCTCCGCGAGCGCGAGCTTCGCGGCGTCTCTCGCTCGGACGCGTTCGCTCCGCGCCTCAGCGAGCGCGCGGCGTTTTTCTACCATCTCCGCTGCTCGCGCCGCTTCCTCTCTCGCTCGCGCCCACGACCTCTCGCGGCGTTCGCGGACGTCCTCCGCGTGCCCGCCTTCGCTCAAGGATAACTCCCGGAATCGCTCGGTCCACTCCACCGTCCCCGCGGTCTCCCACGCCTTCGCGCTGTACGGACACGGCGGCGGCACGTTGATCAGGTGAATCGCATGATGGTCGTGGTGGTGTCGATGACGTTCCGACGCCCCGCCCGGGCTGCTCCCCGGGGATTTCGAGCGTCGCGACGCGCGCTCGGCGCTCGTGCTCGCGCCGCTCTTGGGCTTCGCCGCGGGCGGCGAGTGCGCGGGCGGGGCGTACGCGCTCGCGAGCTGCATCGAGCGCGCGGACGCGAGCGCGCGACGCGGAAGAGCGTCCGGCGGGGACGCGGCGCGCGGGCGCTGACTCCTCGCGTCCACGACGGCCGTCATCGTCGTCGTCGTGTCCGAACGCGCGCGTGCTCAGTCGAGAGGTGATGTCGTCATGACCGCGTGCACGCTCGCGCGACGTCGCGTCCGCGCCTCCTCGCGCGGGCTACGACTGAAGCGTCCGAGGTTGAGGTTGACTTCCAGTCGGTTTCTATTTCTAGCCAGACCGGGGCGGGGCGAGCCAACCCGGGCGCACCCGGGTCGACCACCGCGCGACGAGCGCTCGAACGTCGTGATGTCTACGCAGTGTCTTTGATTACAACACGCTCAGGCGCTTTCGCCCTCGCGTCGTCCACGCGGCCGCCGAAGGCGCGAACCCGCGACTCGGCTCCTCCGCTGCTACTCATCCATCGTCAACCCTCGATCGCCGCTAGCTCCTTCCTTCACTTCCCCGCCAACTTCGCGGCGATGACGTGCGGAGGCGGCGGCGACTTCACCTCCGTCCCCGTCATCGACTCCCTAATCGGCGGCACGATCAGTGGGATCGCCAACCCTGTGATGTTCGCGCGAGGGGGAGGAGCGGGGGCGAGGGATCGTCAGCGCGGGGACGGTCGAGCGGGGGATCAACGGGCGCAGGGAAGGGTCACGAGCGCGACGCGCGGCGGGGAGGGAGCGCGAGCGCGCACCGACGCCGCCGATGAAGCAACTCCACATCACCACCGGCTCGCGCTGCATCATTCGGTAGAACCAGCTCATGGCGGCGGCTGCGAAGGCGCGTGGCGAGCGCCCTTCGTTCTGGTGAGAGCCAACCGCGCGGACGACCTTCGGCGTCGGGTCGTCCGACCGAGTACGCGGTTGTGAATTTGTAGGGCTACAGTACACGTATGGGCAAACAGTTGAAGAATACGCGAATACGCGTCTCCTGCTGACCTTGACTGTTTTTCCTACTTGAGCGCTCCTCTCCGCACTCGACATCCCTTCTAAAGCTCGCGCTCGCCCCCTCGGGTTAAAGCAGCATCGTCTGCAGCTTGCGTGTATATCGAACACTTAACACTTCTTCAAGATGAAGTACGTCGCCGCCTACCTTCTGGTGCGTGCCCCGCCCGGCGAACGACGATCCCCGGCCGCGCGCGGCTCGGGAAAAATAGATTAGTCGCGCTCCTCGCGGGTTTCCCGGATCGACGACGGCGTGCGCCTCCCGGGCGTCCGTCGTCGCGCGATCGACCTCGACGGCCGCGCGGCCGCGATGCGATCGACCTCGAGGTCGCGTCCGCTCGGCTTCCCGGTCGTCGCATCCGGCGACGACGCCTCCGCGGTCTCGTCTCAAGGACGATTTCTTTCTAGGGTTTGTCCTGACGAAAAACCTCCTCGCTCTCCCATCGCAGGCGCAACTCGGCGGTAAGGAATCCCCTTCCGAGGCCGATGTCAAGTCCGTCCTCTCCTCTGGTGCGTTCACCGACCTCCCTCGCGCGCGCACGCGCGAATCACGCGTCCCCTCGTCGTCACGCGGCGGAACCCGAGCCCCATCGCTGACGCTTTTTTCCTGGCTTTTTCCCTCCTCTCGCAGTCTCCGCGGAGGTTGACGATGAAAAGCTCAAGGCTTTCTTCGCCGCCATCGACGGCAAGGACGTCGCTGAGCTCATCAAGGAGGGCACCGAGAAGCTCGCCTCCGTCCCCTCCGGTGGCGGCGGCGGCGGCGGCGGCGGCGGCGGCGGCGGTGGCGGCGGCGGCGGTGGCGCGGCCGCGGCGCCGGAGCCCGAGCCCGAGGAGGAGGAGGAGGAGGCCATGGACTTCGACCTCTTCGATTAAGCGTCGTTCGCGCGCGCTGAATCGGTGTGAACGCGCCGCGAGAAGCGACGCGTCCTCCTTAAACTATACACCTCGTCGGTGCTTTGGAATACATCCTCGTCGTTGATGGAACTTCTCGCCGTCGCGCGCGTCGCGGCGCGGCGTTCGACCTCGCCGCTCGCCGTCGTCTCGCCATCGCTCGTCTCGTCGTCCTCCCATCGCGTCCCGTGCACTTCGCGACTTCAATCGTCCGTCTTCGCGTCGACGTCGAGTCTCCGCGCCGGCCCTGGGCCCGACGCGCGGACGCGGTCCCGCGCGCCAACCCCGAGGGTGAAACCTCAGGTTGTGAGGTATTCAAAATCGAAACGTCGTGAAAATAATAATGTCAACTCCAAGAAGAACGTCCGCCGTCCTTCACAACCCGACGCCCTCCGTTCGACGACGCGACGAGGGACGTCATGGCGAACGGCGACGCCGCGTTCGCCGCGTCCACGGCGCCGCTCACGTTCCAGAGCTTCCTCGAGAAGATGCGTCACCCGAGCGCGAGCGAGCTCGTGAAGTCCATCAAGGTGCGCGCGGTGCCGATCTCGCTCTCCCGCGCGTCCGGTCGCTTCCCTTCTCTCGCGTCGTCCTCCCCCCGCTCTCGCCAGCCGCTGACGCCGCCGCTCCTCGACTCCCCAGGGCTTCATCGCGTCCTTCGACGACGCCGCGGTCGCGCGCGATTCCGACGCGGACGGCGCGCGCGTCCAGGAGTTCCTTCGCGAGACCGAGCGCGCGTTTCGCGGCCACCCCGCGTGGCGAGGCGCGTCGCAGGAAGAGCTCGACGCCTCCGGCGAAGGCTTGGAGAAGTACCTCATGACGAAGCTGTACCCCAAGACGTTCGCGGTCGCCCCGGACGACGTCGCCGCGGACGACTTCCTCGGCGCGCGCGTCGCCGCGCTCGCGTCGTTCGTGCGGCCCGAGCATCTCGACATTCCAACGCGGTTCCACTCGGACGCGTCGTGGTCGCTCGCGAGGAACGAGCTGTGTAAGATGAACAACTTCAAAGCGCCGCGGGATAAGCTCGTGTGCGTGTTGAACACGTGTCGGATCGTGAACAACCTGCTCAACGCGACGCACGGGCCGACGTCGCCGCCGGGCGCGGACGACTTTCTCCCGGCGTTGATCTACGTCGTCCTCCGAAGCAACCCGGCGGCGTTGGAGAGCAACGCGAGGTTCATCTCGCGGTTCCGTCTGGAGAGCAGGCTCGCGTCCGAGGCGGCCTATTTTTTCACGAACCTTCAGTCCGCGACGCGCTTCCTGAGCTCGTGCGACGCGAGCGCGTTCACGGGGCTGGAGAAGGAGGCGTTCGACGCGCGCGTGTCCGGCGCGACGGGAGGCGGCTCGGGCGGCGGCGGCGGCGGCGCGGGGGCGGAGGGCACGAGCGAGGCGCCTTTGACCGCGGGAGACGCGAGAGAGGAGGCCGCGACCACGACCGAGGCCGCGACCGCGACCGCGGCGGAGGACGACGCGAAGCGGCAGCAAGAGCTCTGGAGCGCGATGCAGAAGGACCGGCAGCGGTTAGAGAGGGAGCTGGCGGAGGCGCGACGCGACGCCGCGGCGGCCTCCGCGGCGGCGCGGGAGAATGCGAAGACGTCGAGCGCGCCTCGGCCGCCCGCGGTGCCGACGCCCACGCGACCGACTCGACGGCCGCTGCGGTGGAAGACCGTGGAGGACGTCGAGGCCGAGGGCGCGGCGGCGGTCGCGTCGTCCGACGCCGCGGGGACGCTGCGGCTGCCGTATAAATTTCTGTACGCGCGCGCCGACGACTTACAAGTCGGCGACGTCCCGGGGTTACTACACGCGTACAAGAGCCTCGCGCTGCAGTACGAAGCGCTCTCGCGCGGCGTCGGCGCCGTGCTCTCGGCCGCGAGCGGGGACGAGGGAGCGCACGTCCTGGGGGGGGAGGAGGTGACGGTCGTGCCCGAGACGCCGGCGCCGATCGCGCCGGCGACGGCGACGGCGGCGGCGGCGGCGACGGGCGGCGACGACGCCGGCGGCGGCGACGGCGACTTGCGAGACATCTTCGCGAGTTTAGCGTCCATCGGACCGAGCGAAGGAGGGGCGAGCGGCGGCGCGCGGGAACCCTCGAGCGGGGAGGATCCGTTCGGGAGGCTCGACGCGGACGTCGCCGCGTTGAGCGCCGCGGATCCGTTCGCGAACCTTCCCTCGCAGGCGAAGTAGACGCTCGCTCGTAATAGACTCGACGGGTGATGACGTCACGACACGACTAAAAGAACCCCCAGCGTCGGCCTGGTTTGAACCCCAATCGCGTCCAGCTGTTCATCCCGTCGATCAGCTTCTCGTTCTTCCGCATGCCCACCTGCAGCTCGTCGACCGTGTTCTTACTCCGCTGGATGCTCTCGCGTTGCGTCATGAGCTCGCGGAGGATGCCCTCGCCCGTCTCTTCCGCCTCGTACGCCATCCTCGACGCCGCGCGTAACGCATCGTCCGACCGCGCGGTCGAACGGAACAGCTCTCGTTTGATCGCGTCTTTCCCGGGCGGTGGCGCGGAGTACATGCCTATCAGGTCCGCGTCGTTCGGCGCGCTCGACGCGGTCGCCGCCGCCGCCGCCGCGGCTTTTCGTTTCCTTCGTTCCTCCTCCTCCTCCTTCTCCTCTCTCGCCTTCCTCGCCCTCCTCGCGGCGTTGAAATCTAGCTCGACGCCCTCGTCCGCGACCTCATCCGCGACCGGCGCGCGCGCTGGCGCGCTGACGGGCGACATCTCCACCGCGTCCGCTCTCTTCCACCGGCGGTTCCGCCACTCCTCTTCCGCTCTCTCCACCGACGCCGCGGACAGACCGGCGCGCTCGTCCTTCTCGCGCTCGTCGTCCCTCGCGTCTCTCGTCGCCCCGTCGTCTTCGTAGTACCCCGCGGCGACGGCGTAGTCCCCTCTCCCGCTCGTCCCGGGCTCCGCCGCCCCCGCGCTCGCGTTCTCCGCGCCGCGCGACGCGTCCTCTCCCTTGGCGCCCGCCGCGCCCAGCGAGTCCGCGACGTCTTTCCACCACCGCACGGTCCCTCGCCACATGTCATTCGCGACGACCGCGGCCGCGCCGCGTTTCGCGACGCGCTCGCGTCTGATGGCGCACAGCGCGTCGCGCGATCGGTTCAGCGACGCGCGGTACGCCGCCACGGGAGGCGTCGCGCGCGAGGAGGAGGCGGCGGCGTCGGCGTTCGTCGTCGTCGACGGCGAGGAGGACGCGAGGAGGGCCGCGCGCAGGTCGAGGAGGGCCGCGTCCGCGCGGTCGATGTCCTTCTCGAGCTCGAACGCGACGTCGTCGACGTCGTTCGCGGGCACGGCGCCGGCTTTGAGGTCGTTCACGCGGTCGCGGACGCGCTCGCACGCCGCTCGAACCGTCGCGTCCAAGGCTTCGATCGCGGCCGCGGGCATTATTTCGTCTCGCGACGCGTCGACGAGCGTCGAAGACGAAGCGGGCTCGACCGCCGCGCTTCGCCGCGCGCGCCGTTCCGCGCGGTAGCGACGCCGGCGCCGCGGGCGGGCGCGGGCGCGGCGACGCGGCGACCGAGCGCCGTGAGGTGTGCGCGACGGGTGCCGCGGGCCCGACCAAATGCATGGTTTTTCCAAAAAACAAAGTCGAAACAGAACTGAACGCGTTCTCTGCTGGCGGTCTCGTAGAACGAGTACGCGCTCGGTACGTGTACAACTACTGTATGGCTTTCAGTCTGAAGCGCGCGTTCCGCGGCCCTGCTTCCGGCGCGCGCGAAAAGATTCGCGTCCAAGTCACCTCCGCCGCGGAAATCTGACGAGGACTAAACGATCGCGGTCCGCGACGCGGCCGTCAGTTCCCGCACACACCCCACCTTCCCCACCCCGCACACACGCGGCCTCGCGCGTTTCGTCGAGGTGCGCCCCCGAAGCGCGTCGCCGCGACGCCCGCGCGGAGGTCTCGACCGCCAGCCGCGGGCGAGACCGTCCCAAATGCACCCTCATCTTTTCCATCTCAAATTCGTTCGGCTCATCATCGCGACCCCCGCGTCCTCCACCGCCCGCCGCGCAGGAGTCCTCTCATCACCATGAGCGATTCCATCGACGCGATGCGCAAGGCGCAAGAGGACCGCTTCTTCAAGCTCGAGCAGGAGAAGTACCTCTTGGCGTACGTCAAGAAGCTCAAGGCGAGCGGTCGGTACGACGAGATCCAAGTCCCGACGCGCGCGCACTCCGCGAGCGCGCTCCCGCAGGTCCTCGCGCACTCCGTGCGCCTCACCGCGCTGGCGGAGGAGCAGAAGCACACGCGCGTGGTCGACCGGTCGTTCATGACGCGCCAGGTCCTCCGAGGCGTCACGACGGGGGCGCCGTACCTCGTCGACTCGCTCACGATGGGCTCGAGGGTCAGCCTGGGGAAGGGGAAGTGGAGCGCCGGGACGGTGAACAGCGGCGTGGAGAACACGACCATCTTCAGCGTGCACAAAGCCGCGGACCTGATGAGCGAGGCGCCGAAATACCTCGACGGCGTCGAGAGCAGAGCCGCGAGGCACATGGTCGACACCTCCTTCGTGGAGGTGGCCGGGAAGAGGATCAAGCTCATGCCGGACCCGACGCCCGGACGCGCGATGGCGTGGGGCGGCACGCTCGCGCTCTGGGGGACCGCCGCGATCGTCGTCGGGTCGTGCAAGGTGTTAGGGATCAACTCCATGGTGGACCTTAGACGCGTCATGGGGGAAACTCTCACGCCGTTGGGGTCGGCGATCAAGTCCTCCGTGATGCCGATCAAGTCGTTTTTCAACCCGGACGCGACGAGCGAGTGCAGCGGGCTGTCCACCGCGGACTCGAGCTTCAGCAAGGGGATCAAGAAGATTTTCGCGTGATGATCACGATTCGTTTACGGCTCTTTCTTCACGACGAGTGTAAATGTAACCTTATATCACATCACGTCATCCATACACGTTCTGTACTTCCATCGTTCACGTCTCGCGTCCGCGCGCGACGAAAGAAAGGAAAACGAGCGACACGTCTCACGTTTCACATCGTCCCCTGCAAGATCTCCTGGAAGTCGAAGTCGAACACCGGCGGGAACGGGTCGAACACCGGCGGGAACGTGTCCACAGGCGGCGCGTCGTCGTCGTCGTCCTCGTCGCGCGTGTTCAACTGGTACGCCCACCCGTCTCCGTACAGAAACTCCTCCGCCTCTTGATCGCCGTTCACGGTGACTTGCAGGTTGTCCGCCGCCTCGACGAGGCTCTCGATGGAGTCGCCCAGGAACACGATCTCCTCGAGGAGGTAGAAGTTGAACGGGAAGATCCACGTCACGCGGCCGCCGAGACCGCTCGCGTCGCCGCCGGCCATCGCGACGGACGCGTCGAAGACGTCCTTCGGGCACGCGAGCGACGTCGTCGCGCGCAGCGTCGGCGTCGACCCGGGGACGACCCCCGCGTTCACGAGCGCGCTCGGCATGTCCACCTCGAAGTACAGATCCTTCCCGTCGAACGCGTGCGAGATGAGCTCGAGCGCGACGCCGTCGAGGGTGACTTCGGGCGGCGACCGCAAAGCGCAGGCGTCCTCCGGGACGTCGCCGTCCCTGGGGAAGATCGTGGAGAACACGAAGCAGTTGCCGTCGTTCACGCGCTCCTCGCCGCACGACGCGAGCCCGGTGTGCGGGAGGTCGACGGCGGCGGCGGTCTCGTCGCGTCGACGGGTGCTCGGCGACGTCGCGGCTTCGCGCGAGGTCACCGCCGTCGGCGGCGCGCGCGCGGACGACGACGTCGTCGCCGTCGTCGTCGTCGAGACGCGCGGCGCGGAGGAAGAAACCGAAGAACGGCCGGCGGAGACGGCGGGCGTTTCCGCGGACGCGGTGACGACGCCCGCGGCGGCGAGGACGAGCGCGAGGAGGGGAACGGAGGCCTGGCGCTTCATTGAAGCGTGTGGGATGGTGCGCGGGCGGGGGAAGAGCGTCGGCGCGGACGGCGGAAGTGCGCGCGCGCGGGGATCCTCGCGCGGCCTCGTGAAAGGAAAAAAAACGCCTTTTTTTTCTCGGCCGCTCGAAAAATTCCGAGCCGTTGAGGAGCTCACAGCTGTCGCGCGAGATGCGCGAGGAGTCGCCGCCACAAGGAGCCAGCGCCGACGCGATGGCACCCAGCGGGGATCCCTCCGCGGTCCGAAGGGGCCGCGGCGGCATTCCGCTGCCCGAGTCCCCTAAAGAATCGCTCGCGCGCGCTGCGAACGCGGCGAAGGCGGGCGTCCTGAGCCCGTCATCGGACTCGCCGAGCAATCTGATGCGCACGCCCGTGGGCAGGGTAAAGGCGATGTCCTCCGTCGACGCGTCCCCGACGTCGTCGACGAAGGGCACGCCGAGGACGCCGCTGAACGTGCTGTCCGGCTCCCCGAACGTAGTCCCGCCGTCCACCGGCGGCGGCGCGAACGCGCTGCTGTACTCCCCGTTCCCCGGCGGCGAAATCTCGAACGGCGCGTCTCCGGCGTGGAACGTCGCCGACAGGACCCCGGGCCTGAGCGACTCGCTCGTGTCCGAGCAGGCGAACTTCCTCGTGGACGCGATCGCGAACGAACCCGCGGACGAGGAGATCATCCGAGAGCTCAAAAGCGCGCTGAAGGCGAGGCAAGAGAACGAGGCGCTCAGAGATCACATCGAGCACCTGAAAAACGGCGAGATCGACATGGGCTTGGAAGCGTCCAAGCGCATGACCGAGCTCTCGAGCGAGTACATGGAACAGGTGGACAGGCTCACGAAAGAGAAAGACGCCGTGCGCGCGCGCGCGGAGGCCGCGGAGGCGGAGGCGAAGAAACTCGCCAACATGATGCGCGCGCACGGGTTCGGGACGCCGCTGCCGTCGACGTCGACGCGTCGCCCGCCAACGCCGTCCGCGCGCGCCGCCGCCGCCGGCGCGGGCGCGACGCCCACGAACGTCGGCGTCTCCCCTGGCGGCGGCGACCCCGCGGCGTGGCTGTTCAACAGCCCGGCGCCGAACGGGCTGCCGCTGGACTGCCTGAACACGCCGCAGGGGTTCGGCGAGACGTTCGCGATCGACCCGGCAGCGGACGCGGGCGTCGGGGCGCGTCAAAACGCAGCCGCGACCCCCGAGTCCGCGCCGCGGAGCGGCTCGCACGCGCTCGCGGTGCCGATGACGCCTTCCGGGGACGCCGCGGAGGGCGCCGCGAGAGTCGCGATGGCGGGCATGGACCACCCGACGCTGATCAGGGAAGCGTCGAACCTCGTGGCGGCGAACGTGCGTCTGGAGCGCGAACGCCGCGCGCTCGCGGAGCGCCTCGCGTCGCTCATGAAACGCAGCCCCGGTCGCGGGTCGAAGGGCGCGATCCCGGGGACGCCGATACACGTGCAGACGGTCACGAAGGCGGTGAATCCGTTCAAGAACGCGGGGTACTCGCCGTCGCCGTTGGGCGCGACGTTCGCGCTGACGCCCGTCGCCGGCGCCGGCGCCGGCGCGGGGGCGGGGGACGAATCCGCGACCGCCGCGGCCGTGGACGGTACCCCCGAGCTCGGGTGGCGGTCCGTCGCGAGCTCCCCCGCGGACATCGACGTCATGGTGGACGTCCCGGATGCGCCGCCGTCGTGGGACATGTGCGGCACCGCGTTCGCGGTCGCGCAGTTGTCCGCCGCGATTGAACGCTCGCAAAGCGCCGCGAATGAAGCCGCGGCGTCGCTCGAGGCGATGCGCGCGATGGACGAGGACGACCAGGGCGGGAAGAGGAAGGGCAAGACGTGGGAGGAAACGAGGGCGACGAAGCGTAAGGAAGCGCACGCCGCCGCGCTCGAAGCGGTGCAAGCCGCGGCGTTGGCGTCCATGCAGAGGGAGCACCTCACCGAGGTTCTGAAGGTGGAACGAGACAAGGCAAAGTCGGACGCCGCGAGTTCGTTCGCGTCGATGCAGCGCGAGCTGGCCCGCAACGCCGGGTCCTCTTCTCCGGCGACGACGTCCGCGGCGACGCCGGCGAACGAGACCGCGGTGTCGATCGGCGACGCGATCGTCACGCCAGTCGCGGACACCGCGGAAGCGTCCACGAGCACGGGCCCGACGGCGGAGGAACTCGCGGCGGCGAAACGCGCGGAAGCCGCGGAGTCCGAGGTGAGCGAGCTGCGCAGGAAGCTCTCCGCGGCCGCCGCGGCGGCGGACAAAGAGCGCGCGGAGCTGCAGTACGCCGCCGCCGCGCACGAGCGCGACGCGAAGAGACTCGCGACGGAGCTCGAGGCGGCGACGACGGCGGCGGAAAACGCGCACGAGCTCGTCGACCGCGCGCAACGACGCGCCGCGGTCGTCGAGGCGAAACACACGCGGCTGTCTATCGAGCTCTCCGCAGCGCTGCAGAAGCTTCGCGAGACCGAGTTCGAAGCGCGCGCGGAGACGAGGAAGCTGTCGCTGTCGTTCAAACTCGACCAGCGACGCGCGAGCGGTTCCGGCGGGGCGTTGTCAGACTCTCCGCTCGCGGGCCCAGACGCCGGAAACGCGGCGGATGCGATGGACGTCATCTCGCCGCCTCCGACGCTCGCGCGCGTGAACACGTCGACGCCGTCGCCATGCGATAACTCCTCGGACGCGGGCGAGTCCCCGAGCCTGATCGCGCTCGCGGATAAGGTGTGCTCTACGAGGACGTCGTTAGCCGCGGCGTTGAAAGCGGCGGAGGACGCCGCGGAAAGCACCGATGACGGCGACGAGACCGTGGAATCCGCCGCGGCGATGGTTAAGGACCTCCGAGCACAGCTCGAGGCGTCCCGTGCGGAGACTTCGGACGCGATCGCGCGTTTGGAAGCGGCGGAGACGGCCGTCGCGAGCGCGACGCTCGCGGTCGCGGACGCGGAGGCGAAAGCCGCGGCGGCTATCGCCGAAGCCGAAGCCGCCGCCGCCGACGCGGCCGCGGCGGCGCATTCCCCGTCGCCGTCGCCGATCGCGGCGAGGAAGGACTCCATCGACGCGTCGAAGATCGACGAAGTCGGCGACGCGCTCGGGATGGAGAACGCTTCGAACGAGCCCGCGCCGGAGTCCGAGGCGAGACGAAAAGACCTCGCGGAGCTGAGAGAGTCCGCGGCCGCGGCGGAGGCGGCGCTGACGTGGGCGCGTCGCGCGGAAGCCGCCGCGCACGGGGAAGCGGAGACGGAGCGGCAGAAGACCGCGGCCGCGCGCGCGGAGACCGCGTCCGCGCTCGCTTCCTTGGAATCCGCGCGCGCGGAGCTCGTCGAAGCGCGCGCGGCGACGACGGCGGCGAACGAAAAACTCGCCGAGGTTTCAAACGACGCGAACCAACTCGCGGACGTCACCGAGGGGCTTCGCGCGGAGATCGACGACGCGCACGCGAAAGAGGCCGCGCTCGTGGGAAGGATCGAAGAACTCCAAGACGAGCTCGCGGCGGCGGCGAAGGCTGCCGCGGACGAGCGCGCGGCCGCGGAGGCGACGCTCGCGATCGAGAAGGAGGCGCTGGAGAAGGCGAAACTCGAGCTCGTCGCGTCCGCGGAGAAGGCGCGCTCGCTCGCCGCGCGGATCGAAGGATTGGAGACCTCGGAGGCGGCCATGCGGTCGACGGTCGAGGAGAAGGAGACCGCGCTGCGTGAGGCGACGGAGGAGAACGCGCGATGCGTCGCGCGTCTCGCGGAGCAGCAGGCTGCGGTCGACGCGGCGGCGGCGGCGGCGGCGGAGCGCGCCGCCGCCGCGTCCAGCGCGGACGCGGACGCGAACGCCGAACGCGAGCGTCTGACGATCGAGCTCGAGCTCGCGTGCGTGAAGCTCGAGACCGCGCGCGCGGAGACGGAGAAGATCCAGCACGGGATGCGCGAGTGGAAAGAGTCGCAATCGCAGGCGGTGGAGAAGTGGGTCGAGGACGCGAAGCGCAGGACGGAGACGGCGGAGACGGCGGCGGCGGCGGCGACGAAGAGAGCCGCCGCCGCGGAAGCCGCCGCCGCGGCCGCGCTCGCGGAGAAGGAGAACGCGGAGAAGGTCGTCGCCGCGGCCACCGCGGCGTCGTTTGCCGCGGTCAACCCGGCGCAAGTCGAGGCGTTAGTCGCGGAGAACAAGGAGCTCGTGAAGGAGGCGGAGGCGAACGCGTCCAAGTTTGAAAAACTCGAGGAAGAGCGCGAGGTGCTTCGCGAGCGGTGCGAAGCCGCGGAGACGGCCGCCGCGGACGCGCCGCACCTGCGCGCGGAGAACTACGACCTCGCGGTCAAACACCGCGGCGGCCTCCAGCGCTTGCACGAGGAGCTCGCGGCGAGACGCGCGCTGGAAGAGCGCGTGGACGGGTACGAACACGCGACGAAGCGCCTGGAGGGCATGGTCGCCGAGCTCGAGGTGGCGCTGCGCGAGGCTCGCGAGATGTGCGTCGCCGCGAAGACGGCGTCGCACGCGGCCGCGGCGGAGCGCGCGGCGTCGGACGCGGCGAAGGAGGCGAGGACGCCGACGAAGGGCGACTTCTCTCGCGGCCCGAGCCCGGGCAGCAGCGGCGGGTCGTCGTCGTCGCCCGCGTCGGACGCGGTGGAGAGCGTCGCCGCCGCCGCCGCCGCGGACGCGGCGAAGGGCGCGATGCGCGACGCCGTGGAAGCCGCGGAGCGCGAGGCGAGCGCGGCGAGGGAGGACGCGGCGACCGCGCGCGCGGCGCTCAGCGCGATGAAGATGGAGATGGAGTCCCTCCGCGCCGCGTTGGACTCGCGAAGGAGCGACCTCGGGGCGACGCGGAGCGAGTGCGAGTCCCTGCGTTGGAAGGTGCTCGAGATGGAAGAAGACGCGCGGGTGTCCCCGTCGCCGCGGAAGCCGATACCGAGCGACAGCCCGTTCGCGTCCGCGCGCACGTTCAGCCGGTTCGGAAAGGAGGCTGCGGAGACGGCGGCGGCGGCGGCGGCGTCCCCCGCGGCGGTCGCCGTCGGCGGGAAGATCCTCGCGCTGACCCCTCCCGCGGCGGAGACCGAGACGGCGGCGGCGGACGCGACGGCGACGGCGTCGGCGAAGGACAAACTCGAGCGCTTAGAAGCGGACGTCGCCGCCGCGCGCGCGAAGCTCGCCGATCGCGACGTCGCGCTCGCGAAGGCGATCACGGAGATCACGCGGTTGAAAGCGACGCGAGTCTCGAAAGCGAGAGCGGAGCACCTGACGCAGGCGAAGACCGCCGCGGAGGAAGAAGTCGCCGCGAAAATCGCGGAGCTCACGAGCGAGCGACGGAAAGTTCGCGACCTCCTCGCGGGGAAACGCAAGCTCGAGGAAGCGGCCACGGAGGCGGACGCCGCGCGCGAGCGCGCCGAATTCTCCGCCGCGGAAGCGATCGCGGAGGTCGCGGCCGCGCGCGAGGCTGCGGAGACGTCTAAGGCGGCGCAAGCCGCCGCGGAGGCGACGGCGGCGAGGTACGCCCACTGCGCCGCCGCCGCGGAGACGGCGTTCATCGACGTCCCGCCGATCGACTTGAACTCGCCGACGCCGCCTTCTTTGGACTTCCTCTCCCCGGTCAAACTAGCGCCGGTGAAGACGGTCGAGCCGTCGAATCCGTCGACGGAAGACGCGACGACGAACACGACGCCGAAGAAGATACCCGCGCCGCCGGCGCCGGTGAGGATCCGCGTCGACGCGGAGGTCGACACCGGGGTCGTATCGCCCGCGGGCGGGAAGAAGTTCGCCGCCGCGTTGATGGCGTACACGTCGCGTCTTCGCGACGACGTCTCGAAAGCGGAGGCGGAGGCGGAGGCGCACAAGGCGCACGCGGAACGGATGCGAAACGAGATTGCTCGCTTGGCGAAGGACCTGCCGTCGAAACACGGCAAGGGGAAAACCGGCGGGGAAACCGCGGCGGAGAGCGACGCCGTCGTCGTCGCCGCGAAAGCCTCCGCGGCGAAGCTCGAGACGAAGGCGGTGTACTACAAGACGATCGCGAAGAAGTGCTACCACAGGATGAAGAAGCAGAAGGAGGCGTACGAGCTTCAGATCGAGGGGTTGAGAAAGGAGCTCGAGGTGCACAATCACAGCGCCGTGGCGGAGACAGATCTTTCTCTCGCGTCGACCGCGGTGGGAGGACCGAGCCCGGGACGGGTGATCCCGCGCCGGTCGCAGTTCAGGTGATGAAGGAAGATACACACATTTTAACACGAGGGGGTGTTGGGTAGGGTACGATACTTAGGATTCGAACGAACGAATAACGATAGACACACGCGTAAAAGAATTTGTTGGGTTGAAATGTTTATTTCAACAAAGAATCGTCGCGAACGCTCATCCGCTGCTGCGTGCGGTTAGTGTACAGAAACCCCTCTCTCTCTTCTTCGATTCGCGATTCATTTAGAACAGCGCGACGCCCTTCACGGCCTCGAACGCGAGGAGGGACGCCATGCCCACCATCGCGGCGCGGCCGTTGAGGAGCTCCTTCTGCTGGTTGAAGGGACCCGCGGCCGGCGGCTTGGTGTTGCTGCAGTAGGAGATGAGCGTGCCGCCGACGATGAGCATCGTGACGACGGCGACGCCGACCGGGGACTGCGCGACCTGCTGGCCGACGGTCTCGCCGGTGGCGATCTCGCAGCCGAGGGCGGCGACGAAGCCGATCATCGCGAGGCGGCCGTTCATGAGCTCCGGGCCGGACGCCACGAAGTTGGTCGCGGCCGGGACCTGGGCGAACGCGAACGCGTCGCCGAGGGAGAGGGAGATGTCCGAGTCCGCGGTCGCGCCCGCGGCCCACTCCGGGAGGTCGCCGGTGACGGTGGACGCCTGGTACGTGTTGCCCGCGGCCTTCGCGGCCTCGTACTCCTCGGGGGTGGCGCGCTGGCCGTCGCCGTTCTTGTCGGTGAAGAAGACCTCGCCGCCGGAAGATTTCTGCTCCGGCTCCGCGGCCGCGCGCACGGAGCGGCGGTTCGCGGAGGAGGCGACGGTCGCGCGGGCGGCGACGGTCGTGCGGGCGGCGACGGTGAAAGCGGACATGATGTTGAAGATGTGGTGTTGGTGTTGGTGGGCGTGTGGAAGCGCGTTGAGGTGTGACGTCGCTGTCGACGTCGACGTCGACGAAAACGTTCGGAAACGCGTTTGATGACGTCGACGAAACAGAACTGCTCGCGGCGCGAACCGTCGGAACTGCCACGTCTGCACGTGGCACCGGCAGTCCGGTGCCGACGCCGACCATCGCGGTCGGCGTCGCGCGCCACTTCCGCCCGCGCCGAGACCGACCGACGCGCCCGGTGGTCATGAAGGTCGCGCTCGCATCGCGGACGCCGCCGCCGACCGCCTCGACGCCGCCGCGGACCAGACGCGGCAGAACCCAGTGGCGACGCAGTCTGGTCGCGCGTGCTGGCGTCGGCGGACCAGACGACCCGGCGGTAATCCAACCTCTGATCCCACGACATTTGGATTCGGGCGCCGACGCGTCATCGAGCGCGTCCTCGAGCGCGTCCACGTCGTCGTCGTCGTCGTCGTCCACGCCGGCGTCGCTCGGCCGTCGCGTTCTCCTCTCTAGCGCCGCCGCGTCGCTCGGCGCGGGCGTCGTCGGCGCGAACGTCCCGACGTTCGACGCGGCCGCGAACGCGCCGGCGTGGACGTGCCGGTGCGGCGGGTGCGCGCGTGCGATGACGGCCATCGTGGACGCGGACCCGGTCCTCCTCGCGGAGTTTGATCGACAGAGGAACGCGAAACAGGACGTTCTGTTCGCTAAAGGGATGAACGGCGGGATGGGCGGGTACGAGTCCGCGGTCGCGGCGAGGAAGAACGACCTGTTCGAAGACGTCTTCGCGTCGCTGCCGAAGGGATCGAACGTCGAGGCGACCGTCGTCGAGGTCGGCATGGGGACGTTCCCGAACGCGCGGTATTACTTCGACGGCGGACGTCGCGGCGGGAGGAAACTAGACATCGTCGGCGTGGACCCGAACGACGCGATGGAGTCGTTCGCGCGGTCGAACCTCGCGAAGGCGAACGAAGCGTTCGGCGGCGGCGGCGGCGAGGACGCGTCGCTGCGAATCGTCCACGGCGTCGCGGAGGCGCTGCCGCTGAAGGATAACAGCGCGGACGCGGTCGTGTGCACGCTCACGCTGTGCAGCGTGCTCGATCAAGTCGCGGCGGTGAGCGAGATCAAGCGTATTTTGAAACCGGGCGCGCCGTTCATGTTCATCGAGCACGTCCTGAGCGAGGACGACCCTCGACTCGCGGCGCAGCAGATCAGCCTGAACGGCATGCAAGTCGCGATGGCGGACGGGTGCCACCTCGACCGTAAGACGTTGGACGTGATCGACGCCGCGGGGTTCGCGTCCGTGCGCTCGGAGCGGTTCACGTTGCCCGGGTTCGGGCTCATCTCCTCGCAAGTCGCTGGGATCGCGATAGTTTAGTCAACCTATCATAGAATTTATTTGGCATGCTTAGCTGCGACCAGAACACTTCCTCCGAAAGAGCCGCGAACAGAGCGAGCGGAGCGCTGGCACGCGCTCGCCATCCTCCGCGGACGGAATGGCGGAGGAGATGATCGACGTCGCGCTCGAGAGCGAGCGCGGCGTCCCACCGTCAACCACGGGCGCGGAGATGCCGACACCCACGCTCGCGGGCCCGTCGCGTCGCTCCTTGGACGGTGCCGATGATCACGTTGATAATTACGACGCCGCGCCGGGCGAGACCCCCGAGGCGGCCGCGGGGGACGAGCGCGATGACGTCCCTCTGATGGCTCGCGCGTCGTCGTCGTCCGGAAACGGCATCGGCACCGGCACCGGCGTCGGCGGCGGCATGGTCGCCCTGGAGCTCTCCTCGCACGGCGACGGCGCGCTCGGAGACGCGGTCCTGGACGATTCGCAGTGGCGATGGAGGCACACGGTGTCGTACTGGGTGTGCGTGTGCTTCATCCTCGGGTCGCTGCTGTTCGTCTCCGGGTGCGCGTTCTGGTACAAGAAGTACGAGTACGAAGCTAGAGAGCGCGCGCTCGTGACGTACCCGTTCCTCGCCGGCGCGTGCTGCTTCACGTGCGGGTCCTACCTCGGCGTGTTCACCGCCGTCAACCTCGGTCGGAACGGAAAGAGCGTGATGTGGGAGTGGGCGCCGCACAAGGACGGGTTCTTAGGGTACCTGTGCTACCTCATCGGCGCGCTCGTGTTTAACATATCGTGCATCGAACCCCTGGACGCGTTCTCGGACCTCCCTTCGTGGATGAAGCGCGAGATGGCGTGGGGCGCCGCGGAGGTCGGGTCGTTCTTTTTCATCCTCGGCGCCGCCGTGGAGGTGAAACGCAACGGCGTGTCCGACGTTCGAGCCGCGATCGAGGACGGGACGTGGATGACGCTGCCGTTTTGGGTGTCATGGAACAACCTCTTCGGCGGGTGCTTCTTCTTCATCGCCGCGGTCGCGGGCAGGTTCGACCCGACGTCTCCGGGGTGGGTGTACACGACGTACCTTATAGGTTCGATGAATTTCTTCGTCGCGTCGTCGCTGATGATGTACATGTGGAAGGGCGAGCAGTACGGCCTGGGGTTCATACCTTCGATCAACCGCGTGTTACCTATCCGCGGGTACGTCCGCGAGGGCGACGACGGCGACGGCAAGGAGTACCGGAAAGTCAGCGTCGTGCAATATTGTTTCCTTCAGGCGTACATAGCGTTGACGGCGGCGTCGTTCGTGGACTTTTGCTTCGCCACGCAAGGCGGGTTCACCGCGTACGAGAAGTACGACGGCGTCGCGCGGTGGCACGAGGTGATCGCATCGTTGATGGGGCTGTACCTCTCCGCGGGTCTGCTGTTCATGGCGAGCGTGTTGCACCACGCCCCGCGGGTGCAGCCGTTCGATAAGCTCCTGTGGTGGGCGCAGGCGTTCGCGGTGGCGAAGCTCGCGCAGATCACGGTGAGCGTGTCGATCTCGTACAACGCGGAGGCGTAGTGGTTGGGTGGGGGTAGAGAGGGGACGAGCATAGCGCGCGGGTCTTGAAACGCAGGGACCGCGTAGAACGTAGCGTAGAGAGAAGAGGACGAGGCAGAGGCGAAGGACACCGCCATTTGATAAAAATCCCAGGCGGCGGCTCATGTGTAGATGTGGATTTTCCGACACTTGAACTACAGCAGGAAAGAGGAAACCCTCGCCTCCTGCCGCCGGGCGCACACGACTCGCGCGCCGCACGAACGCCATGGCGACCGCGCGATTTCTTTTGCTCGTCGTCGGCGTCCTCCTCGGCCTCACCGCCGCGGAGGGACGCCATCTTCGCGCGATGACGATCGAGCAGAAAGGATCGAACTCGGATATGGAAATTTCCGAAGGGCAGCTCCATCAAGCTCCCTCAAGCCTCAAGCAACACGAGCGCTCGACGCATCGCGCCGCGGCCGGGGACACGACGACGTCCGCGCTCGCGGACCGCGCGTCGCGGTCGAGCTCCAAGTCCGCGTCGGAGATCTTCCTGAGCGAGTACGAGGACAAGGACGGCGCGAACGCGTCCGCGGTTTCGCCGTCGCCGTCCGCGTCGGACGCGTCCGAATCGCACGTCGAGCGCCTCCTCGAGCGATGCGCGAGGAACAACGCGGTCGCCATCTTCAGCTGCAATCAAGAGCACGCCCACCTGTGCCGCGTCGCGGCCGCGAACTTGGACGACCGCGGCGTGGGCCGCCTCGCGGTCGCGGCGGATCAGCGCACGTGCGACGAACTCAAGGTGGACGCGGACGGGGATAAGTGCTGCGTCGTCGCGGAGGAAGCCGCCGCGGCTGGGCACGAGATGCACGCGACGCGGTGGGAGTACGTCGAGCTCTCGCTCTCGCTCGGTGTGGACGTCATCCTTCAAGACTGCGACGTGATGTGGCGCGTGAACCCGGTCGACACGTTCCGCGCGTCGACCGACGTCGGCGTCGTCGTCCTTCGCGAGCGCGGGACGAACCACCCGTTTCACGCCGGGATGGGGTGGTACCGCGCGGATTCCCCCGCGGTGTTCAGGCTCGTGAGGGACGTCAACGAGCGCATCGATCACGCGCGCGCGGCGGAGACTAACCTGACGAAGCTGCGCGTCGTCGGCGTGGACGTGGACGCGAAAAAGTGCGGCGCCCCGGACGCGCTCGCCGCGTTCGCGGACGACAGAGCCGTCTTGAACGACGCGATCGAGAGCTCCGCGATCGACGCGGACGTGTACACGCGCGCGAGGGTGGAGTGCGACCCGGACGGCAGGGACGTCGGCTTCGCGTGCGTGGAGGAGTTCGCGGAGACCGGGTGCGTGACGTTGGAGAAGAAGTCGTCGTTCGAACGAGGGAAGCCGGAACCCCCCGGCTGCCGCGGCGGCGCGGATGCAGAGGACGGCTTCGCGAGTAAGATATTCGACGGCGTCGCGCGGCGTCGATCGTTGCTCTACGCCGACGCCGCGACGACGCGACGTGCCAAGACGGGCGATGGCAAGGCGTGCGTCGCCGCGGACGACGTCCTGTCGTCCTGGCAGTGGAGCGGCAACCACAGCGGAGAGCTCGGTCGGTGGAACCCGAAAACCGCGAGCGACGCGACGCTCGGGTATCACTTCGTGAACTGCTGCGCGACGATCGCGGAGAAGTTGCGCACGATGGAGCTCGTGCGCAAAGGTCAGAAATACCCACACCCGGAAACACGCGAAGCCTCGAGCGAACCCTCGAGCGCGCCCGCGAAGGCGCCCTCGCCGTACGAACGCGACGCGAAAGCCCCGCCGCCGCCGTTCGCGTCGTCGAAAAGCGCCGACGCGCCGTCGCGGAAAGATACGACGAGCACCGGCGGATTGTTCGACGAGAAAGAGAAGGAGGCGATCGACGCCGCGGCGCATTTCCACGGCGAGAACGAGTCGAAAGACGAAAAACCCGTGGACAAATACGGTGATACCAGCGCGGGCGCGGACGAAGCCCAAGACGAGAAATTCGATGAGAAATACGGCGACACCAACGAGAAACTCGATGAGAAATACGGCGACGATAAGTACTCGGTCGACGGCACCGATACCAAGTACGACGCCGCGAAGTACGACGACGCGAAGTACGACGACGCGAAGTACGACGACAAGGAAAACAGCGGAACCCTTGAGCGCGCGGACGCTTCTTCGCGTGGACCAAGCGACGCGCCGGACGCCCCCCGATATCCAGGGGTCGCACAGCGCGCGCGATGAATTGAATGAATAGTTACCTAAGTTATCTATCGTTACCCCCCGTTCCCTCGTTCTTCTCCGACCACGCGCGCTCCTTTCTCTCTTCCTCGCGAACCCACGCGAGCGCGGCGTGTATCGTCTCGCACGTCAAAAATATCGACGCGTGCAGCGGAAACGCCCGCAACAACGCGGTCTCGATCCCGCGGAAGAAAACGAGCGCCCCCTCCGCTCTCAGGCTCTGCATCGCGCAGTCTGCCATCCCGCCGTACGTCCCCGGCGGGAAAGCTTGTATCCTCGACTTCACGACGTCCAGCGGGTACGTCAGCGTCCATTGCGTCACCCCGGCCATCCCTCCGGCGAGGACGATCCCTGCGGTCTCGTACTCCGCGCCGACCGCGGTGTCGCACGCGCGTCGTATGGAGTCGTACGTCAAAAAGTACACCGCGCACTGCGGGACCTCTCGCGCGATCGTCGCGCCCGTGCCGGTGAATAGCCCTCTCCACGCGCCGTGCTCTCGCGCCAACGTCGCCGCCGTGCGCATCGTCCCTCGGAACTTCTCGGGGACCTTCCCGGTCCCGCAGCTCGACTCCGCGACTTGCTGCACGGTCTTCACCCTCTCCGCGGGACCTCTGACGAACGAGCTCGTCAGCCCCGCGGCGCCGCCGGCGATCAGGCCCGCGATCCACGGGTTCGACACCAACGCCTTCGTCTCCGCGACCGCGTTTCCTCCCCGTCCTCCGCCGGCGCCGGCGCCGGGGCCGGGGCTGCCGCCGCCGCCGCCCCCTCCTCCTCCCTCGCGCAGGTACCTCAACACCGTCGTGTTCGTCGAGAACGCGACGGCGTTGATGACGCCGTACGCGACCATCGGCGCGCCTATGCCTCGGTACAGCGCGAGCGGTCCGTCTCTTCGAACGAGCGACGAGGCGACGCCCATCGCGGACGTCCCCGCGTTCGTCTGCACCCGGCTCTTCACCGTGTCTATGGGGTGCACGACGGTCAGGCCGACCATCCCAGCTATTTGGCCCTGCAAGAAGAAGCGACGCGAGCGCCGGGGACGTGAGTTTCGCGTCGCGTGGTGGGGGGGGCGGGCGGAAGGCGAGACGGCGGACGGCGGCGAAAGTTTGAGAAGGTTTTTCGGAGAAATCGCGCGGGTGAGATCCGCACCGCGACCGCGTGCGCCCACGCCGGAGCGCTCTCCTTGTCCACCCCGGGCATGGCGGCGTGCTCGCGGGGACCTCCTCCCGCTCGAACCCACCTCCGCCGGGTGCCCGCCGACTGTCGCGCGCCCTCTCGAACTGGAGGAATAAAGCGATAGCGCCGAAGATGATGACGTCTGGTCCCGGCCGCCACAAACCGCACTTTTTCGCGCACTCCACATTCGCTCTGAGCCACTAGTCGCCCGCGCGCGTCGCGCCCGATGGCTGGCGCGATGGCGGCGGTCGCCGCGGGTCCGGTCGCGCTCCGCGCGCCCACCGCGAGTCACTCCGCGCGTTTCCGCGCGCGTGGCGTCGGCGTTCGCGACGGACGCCGCGTCCGGCGTGAACCGCCGATAGTAGTGTCACCGCCACCAGCGGGCTCGCGACGTCTTCGATCAATCGGCACTTCAGCCGTCCGTCCTCTTCCCCGTCGTCGTCGCGGAGACGACCAAACGACGCGCGCGATCCCGGTAGACGTCGTCGACCCGTTTGGGATGTCCCCCGAAGCGTGGGAGCTGCTCGAAGGGAACCTCTTCGGCGCGAGTCTGTTCCCTTACCTCGCGTTCTTGTACTTTCTCGATCGCGACGAGTGCGCGATACCGCCGAGGGCGATGTTCGGGTTCAAGTTCCTCCTCGTGTTCGTGTTCGGGACGATCCCGGGGGCGATATACGCGAAAGTCGCGTACGACGACATCCTCGCGAACGTGGACTGGCTGCACGGGCCCGCGGAGTCGCTGCTGACGATGACGAACCTCCTCATCGTCGTCGGCATGCGCGAGGGCTTGCGCGAACGCAGAGCGCACGGCGACGGCGGCGACGGCGACGGCGACGGCGGCGGCGAGACGCGAAGGCGGAGGCCGACAGTGGACGGGAGCTCCGTCGGCGGCGCGCTCCTCGGGTGGATCGCCGTCGCGAGCGTCGGGAGCGTGGCGCTCGTCGGGGGCGTCGACGCCGCGCGCGCGCTCGGGACGGACGGCGCGAACGCGATCGCCGAGGCGGCGTCGTTTTGGCGCCATGCCGAGCCTTCGAACGCGCTGTCGCTGCCGACGTGGGTGATTCACGTCTCGTCGCTCATCGAGTGGCTCGTCGCGATGGGGTTGATATGGGAGTACGCGGACGTCAGCGGGAAGCGGGCGTACAAAGGGCTGACGTGGGGTATGATCCCGGGGCACGCGAGCGGCATCGCCGCGTGCACGTTTCATCTGTTCTACAACGCTCCGGTGTTGAGCGCGGTGGTGGCGACGCAGGCGGGGCTGACCGTGTTCGGGAACGTCACGCTCGCGATCGCGGCGTATCACATCGCGGTCGAGGGCGGCGCGACCGGGTTGCTGCCGTGGGAGAACGGTTTCGTTTCTCCGTGGAGGAGCCGCGGGGAGGAGGGCGGCGACGAGAAGGACGCCACGGGCGCGGGCGCGGGCGCGGGCGCGGGCGCGGCGAGTGGTTCGACCGTCGAGCCGCGCGTCGGCGATGCCGATGCGAGCGGCGTGGACGTGCGATCGCAGGGCGTCTCCGGGGGCATGGTCGGATGGGAGAACCTCGGCGCGCTCTGGGCGAAGGACTCGGACGCGGTTTTGATCGCGAAGCTGTTCGTCGTGTCCACGGCGTTCTCCGCGGCCGTGAAGTGGGGATCTTTAGAAGTAGATCTTCCGTTCGAGCCGAACATCTGGATCGCGTTCGCGATCGTCTTCGGGCCGACGCTTTTGAACTGCGCGAAGTGGCAGAAGATCAGCGCGGAGGAGGACGAGGTGGACGGCGGGTTGGCAACTAGTCTAGACGAGAGCGAAAATTAGTTCAGTTATCCACATTTTCTCGGCGAACAGAAAAGAACGAGAAGCCACGACACTCTCCTGAGCGCGTTCCGCGGCTCGTATCCGACGCGCGCGATGATGCGCCCCTCCTCGCCCGCGTCCACGATCAAGGCTCTCGTTCTCGCCCTCGTCGTGGTGCTCGCGTTGTCGTCCGCGCCTCTTCCAGTGGAGGCAGCGTCCGTGAGAGTGGTCCCCTTCAGTTTCGAAGTCGGCTTATCTGGACTGAGCGTGAGGTCGTTCACGCCGTGGGTCCGTCGCGATTTGTGCCTCGCGTACACGAACTTCCTCAAGATCGATAGGAAGGTGCGCGCGCCGCGAGCATCGCCGCTCGCGCGTTGGATCCGTCCCCAGCCGCGAACGCCGTCCGAGAGCGCGACGCCTTGCTCTTTGTTCCTTCCGACGACTTCAACCCACAGTTTTTCCGCTCACGTTTCCGCGCTCACGTGACTCCGTTCGTACGCCGCAGTGGTGCGTCGTCGAGTCAGTGCGTCGACGCGGCTCGTATCGCAATCAGGTGAACGTGATCATCGTCATCAACTTCCCGACGTGGGTCACCGGCGGGGTGAGATACCAAACGAGGCGGTTGTCTACCGCGCTTCGAACCAACCCGCGGCAGATATTGGTCGCGGGCCGCAGCGCCGGCAGTCGGAACTACTTCAACGCCGTACAGAACGTCAACGTGAACGTGAACACGAACGTGAACAATCTTCCGCCTCCGACGCCGATTCCTGATCCGCCGCCGCCAGATCCGTTACCTCCTGATCCCACACCCGTGGACCCGGAGCCGGAGCCGGAGCCGGAGCCCGAGCCGGAGCCCGAGCCCGAGCCCGAGCCCGAGCCGGAGCCCGAGCCCGAGCCGGAGCCCGAGCCGGAGCCCGAGCCCGAGCCCGAGCCCGAGCCCGAGCCCGAGCCCGAGCCCGAGCCGGAGCCCGAGCCGGAGCCCGAGCCCGAGTTCGAGCCGGAGCCGGAGCCTGAGCCCGAGCCCGAGCCTGAGCCGGAGCCGGAGCCCGAGCCCGAGCCTGAGCCAATGCCTCCCGACGACTACGGCGTCGGAGAGGGATATGGAAATGAAGAAGACGGCGGCGGATTCGGCGGCTTCGACGATGGAGGCGGCTTTGACGAAGGAAGCGGCTTCGACGATGGAGGCGGCTTTGACGAAGGAAGCGGCTTCGACGAAGGAGGCGGCGGCGGCGATTTCGGCGGCGGCGGCTTCGACGGCGACGGCGGCGATTTCGGCGGCGGCGGCTTCGACGGCGGCGGCGGCTTCGACGGCGGAGGAGGCTTCGACGGCGGAGGAGGATTCGACGAGGGAGGCGGCTTCGACGAAGGAGGAGGTTTGGATGTCGGCGGAGACGGCGGTGATTACTGAAAGCCGACGCGCGGCTCGACGAAGTCGATGAGATGAATCACGAGGACGACACACACGCTGTGCGACGAGAGTGAAACGAAAGCGAGACCATTCGAGAAAAAAATGCGAAAAAAGAAAAATATCCGCCTCGCCACGACACTTCTCGTCCCGCACCTCTCCCACGCGCGTCGATGACGAGCCCGCGCTGTTCCCGTTCCACATCGACGGTACTCGCCGTCGCGCTCGTCACGATACTCGCCTTGGCGTGCGCGCCCGCGACCGACGCCGCGGAGCAATGCTTTTGCCCTTGTGCGTGCGAGACGCAGGGCGCGAAAACAACGACTGAAGTTACCCGGACCACGACGACGACCACGCGAACGACCGAGCGCCAAACGAAGGTTGTCCGCAGCCCGTTGACCATCAAGATGAAAGGCATCTCCAAAAAGCAGATGGATACGCCGTGGTACCGTCGGGACGTGTGCAAGGGGTACACGTCGCTGCTGGGTATCGACCTCAAGGTAACCCAGCGCGCACTTTCGTCGACTCGTTTTCTCCGAGAACCTCCTTCTGTCCGCCTCAACGACGTCCCTATCACCCTCCGACGCAGTTCTGTGCCGTCGAGAAAGTGACGCGACCGTGCGAGTTTTGCTTCAACGAATGCGTCGTCGTCATCGTGATCAACGTCCCCGAGTACGTCAGCGGCGGCGTGAGAACCGCGACGCGGAAGCTCTGGCAAGACCCGCGTCAGGTGCTCGTGTCGCAGAGCAACTACTTCAACAGCGTCGTCAACGTGAACGTCAACGTGGACATCGACGTGAACAACCCGCCGCCGCCGGTGGTGATCGAAACGCCTCAAGCTCCTCCACAACTTCCGCCCGACCCTCCTCCTCTCCCCCCGGCTCCGGTCGACCCGGGCACTTCCGACGCCCCGGGAGCGCCCCCCCCTGGGGTCGCGCCGCCGCCGACGGAAGCGCCGCCTCCTGGGGTCGCGCCGCCGCCGACGGAAGCGCCGCCTCCTGGGGTCGCGCCGCCGCCGACGGAAGGGCCGCCTCCTGGGGTCGCGCCGCCGCCGACGGAAGCAGCAGCCCCGCCGCCAACGAGCGAGGAAACCGCCGCCCCGCCGCCTGAACAAGAGGCAGCGGCAGCGGCGCCGCCAGCGAGCGAGGAAAAATCTGCCCCGCCGCCAACGAGCGAGGAAACCGCCGCCCCGCCGCCGACGGAAGCGGCGGCGGCAACGGCGGCGGCATCGCAAGAAGAAGACCAGTACACGGATGAGTACTCTGGTGACAGTGGCCAAGAACAACCTACCGACTACAGCGACGACTCCGGCGGCGGTGAAGAAGAAGAACCTGCAGGTACCGACTACGGCGACGACTCTGGCAGTGAAGAACAATCTACCGACTACAGCGACGACTCCGGCGGCGGTGAAGAAGAAGAACCTGCAGGTACCGACTACGGCGACGACTCTGGCAATGAAGAACAATCTACCGACTACGGCGACGACTCCGGCGGCGAAGAACAGCAACCTACCGACTACGGCGACGACTCCGGCGGCGACCAATCGTACGAAGGCGAAGAACAAGGTACTACCGACGAAGGCGGTGAGCAAGGCGCCGACTATGGCTACGAAGGCGGGCGGCGAAAGCTCAGCTGGTTCCGCGGTTTCGTGTACTGAACTGGAAAGCCGACGCGCGGCCCGACGAAGTCGATGAGATGAATCACGAAGACGACACGCACGCTGTGCGACGAGACGAGCACCAGACGCGAGGACGCAACGAATGAACGAGAACCTCCGTTTCATCAAAGCTAAAAAATGAAAGAAATCATCAAGGCTTGCCCCCGCCCGCGGCTTGCAAGTTCCGCTGGCCCGCCCATCCCAACGCAGGGGTCGCCCGCCGTCCCTGCGCCCCGCTCCCCCCCCAGTTACCCCTTATGGAACTCATCGCGCGAACCGCCCTGTCGTATCCCGGACGAACCGTCCTCTGAATGTCCTCCGACGCGCCGCCGATGACCCCCGCGGCTGTCGTGATCAACCTTCTCGCCACCGGCGCTACCAGCGGCTTCGACGCCGCGGCCGCTCTCGCTAAGATGCCCCCCGCGCCCATCGCCTCGATCGCGCCGCCGAGGCCCGCGGCCGCGGCGCCCAGGCTCATCCCCGCGCTCGCGGCCACTTTCGCGCTCGCCCCCCCGGCCGCGGCGGCGCGCGCGGACGCGACCGCGACGAGCGCTGGCGGCACCGCACGAACGCCGACGCCGATGATCAGCGCCGCGGTCGACCCATGCTGCAAGCGCTCCCACAGCGGCGCGTTCTCCAGGTCCGTGACCGCCATGATCGGCACGAGGACCGCGAGCTCGGTCGCGCGTCGTCGGCGTTCCTCCGCGCGCTCCTCGGCGGCGCGAGAGAACATCGAGCGGCCGAACACCTCGCCTTTGACGTACTTGCTGCACGCGTTCGTGAACCCGCACCCGAGCTCGCACAGGTCGTTCACGTAATGCCGGCAGTCGTTCTTGTTCACGTTGTAGATGGTATCTCGCTTCTTGTTGAACGCGCGGACGTCGTCGAGTGTCATCGACGTCTTCCCGACGAGGTACGTTCCGTTGGCGGGCAACGCGTCTAATTTCTTCTCGCGGACGTGACCGGGCGTGGACGACGACGACGACGACGACGACGACCCGGTGTCGCTCAACATCGCGCTGTGCACGTCGCCACCGAACGGACCGAAGTCGAACTGGAAGATCTCCCCGCGTTCGGACTTGTACACGCAGAGGAAGTGGCACACGCCTCCGGTGCTGAGCGCGTCTCGCGCCGGAGGCGGCAGCCGACCGAGGAACGAACGATCCGCGCGGAACGACCGCGTCGTGACGTACAGCTCCGGCTCGACGAGCTCTTCCTCCGCGGTCGTGGCCTCGCCCACGCCTTGTAAAGCGGGGGGGAAGAGCACCGTTCCTGCTCGTGACCCCATGGCCATCGCGCGCGCGCTAGAGTGACAAGATGCCGCCCCCGAACGTCTCAAACCGTCGGACGTTTCAGAGCCACAAATTTCTTGCATCTCCCGCGGCGCGCGCGCGGCTCAAGTGCCTACTGACATTCGGCGACGGCGGCGGCGGGGCGGCGGGGCGGCGAGGCGGCGGCGGGAGAGATTTGGGTTCGTGGAGGGTGTCTCGCCGCGCTCGCATATTCCCGTGACGATTTCGTGCGCGCGAGGCTGACTACGATACCAACACGCGGCGACTACGTTCTACGCTGAGGCGCGGCGGCGGCGGGCGAAATCACTCTCTCCGCCGAGCCGCCGCCGCAGCCGCCGCCAAATCCCCGGGGAGGTCCCCCCCTTCAATTTGAATACTTCACCCCTCCGCTCTCCAGTCCCCGTTCGAGCAAACGAACACGACCTCGCGCGTGATGTTCAAGCTCTGGTTCGGCATCAAGTATCGATACTCCGCCCTCGTTCGCTGGTCGCCGACGATCTCGAACACCTCGCCGCCGTCCGCGAGGAGCGCGATCTCGTCCCCTAACAGCTTCCACCGTTCGCTATCGCCTTCCAGCTCGCCGGCGTAGTACGCGGTGTCCTCCTCGGTGAGGTCGTGCGGGACGAACACGCGGACGAAGCCTTTGATGTCGTTCCGTTTCGCGAGCTCGACGAGGAGGTTCAGGCGGTTCTGCAGCGCCGCGTTCGTCGTCCGCACGCCGCCGCTCTTCACCGCGCGCGCGATTTTCTGCTCCTCCGCGAGCTGCTCCGCTTCCGCGGCGGCGTCGCCGACGCCGCCGCCTCCGCCTCCCTCTTTGCGCGACCCGAGGTGGTCGCCAGATCCTCGCTCGTTCGCTTTCTTCTTACCCATGACCGACGACGACGAGAGGAAGCGCGCGGGGACAGTGAGGGCGAGACAGAATTACGTTCTGTTCGTTTGCCAAAAAAATATCCTACTGCTTCGTCTCGGGCGCGGAGTTCATCCGCGTGAAGCACGGCCACCGCATCGCTTTCCCCTTCGTCAAGGTCAACTCCAAGCGCTTGCTCCCGTCCCTATCCTTCACTATGCTCCAGCTGCACTCGTCCGGGGTCACGTCCGAGCACAGCTCGTTCGCGTCGTCCACGATCAGCCGCTCGCCCTCGTTGGGCGCGTCCGTCACCTCGAGGCGGATCCGATCCTTCTTCACGACGCACTTCACGTCCGCCTTGGTCGTCGTCTCTCGCACCGGGACGACGACGACGACGTCCTCGCCCTCCTGGCTCCACTTGTACAGCTGCGAGCCGGTGTCGTCGATCGAGCCCGGCGGCGGCCCGGGCTCCGGGAGGTTATCCTGGAGGTTCATCACGTTCGCGGCGTCCTTCATCCCGCCCATCGCTCGGATCTGCTCCTGAACGTCCCCGCTGTTTTGCTTCTTCGCGATCTGCAGCGTGTACGCGCGCTTCACCCACGGCGCGCTGGAGGACATCTCGTCTAACGTGAAGTCGTGCCTCTCGAAGCGATCGTCGTCGTCGAGGATCCTCGCGAGGAACGCGTCGCCGACGATGTCCGTGGGCGCGCCGCACTCGAGCGCGAGCCCGCACGCGCGATCGTTCCTTCGCAGCCCTTTGCTTATTCCGCGATCGTCCACGTACAGGTTGACGTGCTCCCAGTTCGTCGCCTTCCCGCCCGGGAGCAGCGCCACGGGCTGGACCATCTGCATGCGCGAGGCGATGTCCATCATGTCGTCGTCGATCTTCTTCCCGGACTGCTCCTCGAGCTGCTTGCGGAACAGCGCTTTCTGCTCCGCGCTCGTGCCCAGCGTCCCCGATGCGTTTCGGAAGTGTTCCTTCAGCGTGTCGAGCAGGCACTCCATCTCTCTCCCTTCCGGGATCTCCATCGTGAGCTCCTCCATCGCGCACGCGGGGTCGCAGGGGATGTACACATACTTGAAGCTCTTTCGCGGGGACATCGTGCGCGCGCGCGGGTCGAAGTGAACCGAGGAAGGTCGTGGAAGGAAACTCGAGCCGCCGCCAGTGGCAAAAATGTTTTCGGTCGAGGATCTGAATTGTTTCCCCCGAGGCTGGGGCGTCACTCCCCCCCGCGCAGCGCCGGTGACATCCGTCGACGCCGCGGGGGAAACGAGAAGATTCGCGCGCGCCGGGGGCTCGCGACGCGCGCGTCCCCAAACCCCCGGCGCGATGGGCTTCTTCGACGCGGCGCGGCGCGGAGACGACGGCCGCAGCCGCAGAGTGCCCACTTCAAAACTCGGCACGTCGTTCCCGCTGCTCGACCTCCCCGACGCCGCGCTCGCGGTCGTCCTGAAGCACCTCGCCGCGGGCCCCGACGGCGTGTGCGACATCGCGCGGTTCTGTCTCGTCTCCAAACCCGCGCGAGAGCTCGGTCTCGACACCATGCGCCGGCGGATGAGAAGTTTAGATCTGACGCCTCTCGGTCGACGCGCGAGAAACGCCGTCCCGCACCTCGCGGCGACGTGCGCGAACCTGCGTACGATCACCTGCGACGGCACGAACGTCACGGACGCGTGCGTTACCGCGCTCCTCGCGTGCTCCGAGCGCACGCTGACGCGGTTGAGCCTCGCGGACTGTCGTCATCTCCGTTTACTTCACGAGCACTCGCACGGCGCCGGCGCGAGGGGTTTACGCGAGCTCGTGCTGCGCGGGTCGTCCTGGTCGCTGTCCGCGCTCGCGGGGATATTACGTCGGTCGAGAAAGACGCTGACGTCGCTGAACCTCAGCGGCACGAGGCTCGCGCTGACCGCGGGCGATAACGACCTGAGGGTGATCGCCGCGCGCGTCCTGAGATGTCGCGCGCTCGAGCGGTTGAGCCTCGGCAGCCACGTCGACGTCCTCCCCGCCGCGTTGGCGACGGTGATATTCGCGCTGCTCGACGGCGACGAGAGGATCGACGACGACGACGACGTGGACGTGGACGTGGACGTGGACGTGGACGCGAGCTCGACGACGCCGACGACGACGCCGGACGACGTCGACGACGCGTTCGGTTTGGACAACTTGAAAGAGCTCTCCCTCGCGCAAAACGGCGCCGCGGACGAGAAGATGCTCGAGATCATCGCGCGACGGTGCCCGAGCCTGACGAAACTCGATCTTCGCGGGTGCACGGCGTCGCGCGACGCGGTGTGCGCGTTCGTTCGGAACGCCGCGTGCGCGTCGAGTTTGACGTCTCTGCTCCTCGGCGGCGCCGCGGACTCGCTCGACGACGCGTCCCTCGAAGCCGTCGCGTCGTCGTGCCCGTCGCTCGAGGAGCTCGACCTCGGGATGCACCACGCGGTCGGCATCGCGGGGATGGAATCGCTCAGAGTCGGGTGCGTTGGGTTGAGACGGCTGCGGATATCCAGGAACGCGAGGGTGACGACGCAGTCGCTCGCGTCGCTCGTGAAGACAGAGGGGAGCAAGTTGGAGCTCCTCAGCGCGGTGCGGTGCCGCCGCGCGGGCGAGCCGGGGCTTCGTTCGTTACAACGAGAGCTCGAAGTCGCGGTGGGGGCGGGGGCGGGGTGTCGGATCGATTGGGTCGGAGAGTATTCGTTCGAGCGCGACGACGACTCGTAGCGCGGCGACGACGACGTGAATAGAAGAACTTAGATTTAGCGTAGCGCCTTTCATTTGATCGGTGACATTTTTTTGAAAGGAGGTTTGAGACCGTGACGTGCGAATTTCAAGTCTGAAAAAAATGCTCTGTCGGTCAACTGAACGAGGGCACAGATGCCACCAGCCGAGCCGCGTGCGGTGCGAGTCGAACCGAACGTCGCGTCGCCTCGAAACCTGCTGCGCGATCGGCTCTTTCGCGCCGCGGCCGCTCGCGCGCCATTGCACACGCGCGCGTCGGTGCGTCGCGCAGGATAGAAGCGTCTCGTAGGGCTTCTCTACGAGAGATATCCACCCCGATCGGTCGCGGTCGGCGGCGTCAGGGCTCGAACGCGCGCTCGGGTCGTCATCCCCCCGCGGAATTGATTGAGATCAATCGGTCGCGATGTCGTCGGGCTTCCGCGTCCTGCACCTCGTCCGCCCTTTCCTCTCGGTGTTACCCGAGGTGAAGGCCGCTGACCGCAAGGTCCCTTTCCGCGAGCGCGCGCTGTACACCACGGTCGCGCTGTTCGTGTTCTTGGTGTGCTCGCAGCTCCCGCTGTACGGGATCCACACCGCGAGCGGGGCGGATCCTTTCTACTGGGCGCGCGTCATCATGGCGTCGAACCGCGGCACGTGCATGGAGCTCGGGATCTCGCCGATCGTGACGTCCGGGCTGATCATGCAGCTGCTCGCGGGCTCGAAGATCATCGAAGTCGACGAGGCGGTCAAGGAAGACCGAGAGTTACTGTGCGTCCCGTGAAACGCGCGGTCGACCTCCCGATCGGTCGAATTATTCTCATTGCCTGCGACCCCCCTTGTTTTTCCCCGTCCCGTCGCTGACGCTCTCTCGTCGACATCGTTCCACAGTAACGGCGCGCAGAAGCTCCTCGGCGTGCTGATCACGATCGGCGAGGCCGTCGCGTACGTCGTCTCCGGGATCTACGGCGACGTCAGCGACCTCGGCGCGGGGAACGCGATCCTCATCATCCTGCAGCTCTTCATGGCGGGCATGATCGTCATCTGCCTCGACGAGATGCTGACGAAAGGATACGGCCTCGGAAGCGGCATCTCGCTGTTCATCGCGACGAACCAGTGCGAGTCCATCATCTGGAAAGCGTTCTCCCCGACGACGGTCAACACCGGCCGCGGCGCGGAGTTCGAAGGCGCGGTGATCTCGCTGTTCCACCTCATCATCACGAGGAAAGACAAGTTCAGGGCGCTGAAGGAGGCGTTTTACCGCGCGAACCTGCCGAACATCTCGAACCTCCTCGCGACGATTCTGATCTTCCTCGTGGTGATCTACTTCCAAGGCTTCCGCGTGGACCTCCCCGTGAGGTCCAAGCGCAACGCGCGAGGACTGCAGCAGTCGTACCCGATCAAGCTGTTCTACACGAGCAACATGCCTATCATCCTGCAGTCCGCGCTCGTGTCGAACCTTTACTTCATCTCCCAGCTCCTGTTCAAGCGCTTCGGAGGGAATTTCCTCGTGCAGCTCCTGGGGCGGTGGCAAGAGAGCGAGTCCACCGGGCAGTTCATCCCCGTCGGCGGGTTCGTGTACTACGTCTCCCCGCCGACGTCCCTGAGCGACATCGCGGCGAACCCGCTGCACGCGTTGTTTTACCTCACGTTCATGCTCGGCGCGTGCGCGCTCTTCTCGAAGACGTGGATCGAAGTCTCCGGCTCGTCCGCGCGCGACGTCGCGAAGCAGCTGAAGCAGCAGCAGATGTTCATGGTCGGCCACCGCGAGTCCTCGCTTCAGCGCGAGCTGAACCGGTACATCCCCACCGCAGCCGCGTTCGGCGGGATGTGCATCGGTTTCCTCACCGTCGTCGCGGACTTCATGGGGGCGATCGGCAGCGGTACCGGGATCCTTCTCGCGGTGACGATAATCTATCAGTACTTCGAGACGTTCGAGAAGGAGCGCGCGCAGGAGTTGGGCGGCGTGCTGTTCTGATGAGAAGGACGCGACGAGACGCGTCAGAGGGGGTGATATGTAATACCGAACGACCTGAACGGTTGCTCTGCCGAGCCCGCGCGCGCGCGCGGACGCGTCGTTGTTTTCGTTAAATTCGCCGTGCATTCCACATTAAACGTCTACGACCCAGCTAGATGAGACAAGACGTCACAACAACGAACGCAAGACTTGCCGCGATAGTCGCGACCCCACCAAACCCCGCGCGAAGAAGTTTACATAACCTTGTTCTTCTCGCCACCGCGCATCTTCTTGACGCGGTTCTTCTTCTCCTTGATCTGCTTGCGGGACTTCGTGACCGCCTCCTTGAGGCCGGCACGGATGACGCGGTGCTTGGGCTCGAACTTCTTCATCGCGTCGATGGTGTCGTAGATCAGCCCAAACCCGGTGGACTTGCCACCACCAAACTGCGTGCGGAAGCCAAAGAGGGACACGCACTTGTCGTCGTTGACGTCGTACATCTTCGCAAGCTTCTCGCGCAACTCGGCCTGCGACACGAGGGAACGACGAGGCGGGGGAGGAACGTCAGCGCGAGCGCGAGGGACGTGAAGTGGAGGCGATCCCCCCCTTTGTTCGCGGGCGTAAAAAAACCCAGAAACCCTAAAAAACAACGTCCGGCGCGGGGCTCACCTTCGGCACGTTGGCGCGACCGGGGTGAAGAACATCGAGGATCTGCGGGAGGGAGAAGAGGAGGACATCTTCGTCAGTACGGTGCGCTCGCGGTGCTCGGCGTCGCGTCTCTCGACGGCGCGATGGGACGGGATTTACGGACGCCACGAGACGCTATAGCGGAGACGCGCGGTAATCTTTTCATCGGGCCGGCTTTCGACGGGCACTCACGAATTGACGACGCGCGAGGAGCCGGTTCGTCATGAACTTGCGCGTGCGGAGCGTGCACGAGGTGGACGACATGATGAAACGACGCTTCCCGTGTAGGAGAGCGTGCGCTGCGCCGTTGAAAGAGGGAGGGGCTGCGTGATTTTGTACGGTTTTTCTCCACTCACCGACGGCAGCGACCGGCCGCGCCCGCGACTTTTCTGTCCCGCCAAGCGAAAACCGAGAAGCTCGCGCGCGCCGCGTCCACAACCGCCCGCGCGGCAGACACGCACGCACCGCGCGTCCACGTAACCCGTCGCACGATGTCCAAAGCCGCGTTCGCCGGCCTCAAGGCTGTGCAGGAGATCCGCTTCCACCTGTGCCAGACGTCGAAAGGAAGCGAGGGGGTGAGGAACTTTCTCCTGAAGAGCTACAAGGCCATGAAAGCCGCGTCCCCGACGACGCCGATCTTGATTCGCGAGGCGAGCGGCGTGGAGGGTGGCTTCGTCGCGCGTTACGGTGCGTCACCGCGAACGTCTCGTCGACGTCGTGAACCCGCCGCCGATCGCGGACCCGCGCGCGCGGATCCTCGTTCGTTTCCCTCCTCCAACGATCGATCGCCTGTCTGTTCGTCCCCTCGCCCGCCGTCGTCGGACCGCGTCTGACTCGCGAATCCCCGTCCTCGTCCTCGCAGACTTTGGGGTGGAGAAGAAGTTTTCTTTAGAGGGGCTGGACGCGAAGGCGGTGGAGAAGGAAGTCACCGGGGTCCTGAAGCAGTCGGCGTGAGCGCGGGGACGGTCTCGCGTTCGGTTACCCTAAAATCCGATCGAGAGATCTCCGTCGTCGTCGTTCGTGACGACGATACTAACCTAGCTAGGATGTATCAACACCGTAACGCCATCGCGCGCGCCATCACCACGTCGCGTCGCTATCTACGTATCTTCATCCCCCCCCGTCGTCTCCTCGCGCGTGAGAAGGATGTCGTCCGTGACGGCTTCGAACGCTGCGGTGACCTTCGTCAGCGTCTTTTTCGCGCGCGTCAGCTCCGCTCTGAGCTCCTCGCCCAGGGCGTGGTCCTCCTCTGCGAGCTTCGCGATCCTCGCGAGCTGCGCGTCCGCGTCCAAGTCCACCGGCGGGAGCGCGGACGCGAGCTCGTCGATCTTCCTGCTCTCGTCCATTACCGATCGCGCCATCTCGCGCACCTGCGCCTCGTCCACGCCCTCGCTCGGGTCCGCGCCCTCGACGACGGACGCGGGTTTCGCGTCTCTCTGGAGCACCCCCACGCTGTTGTAGAACGCTTCGTTAAGCCTATCGACGCTCTCTTGCAGCTCCGTCACGATGTCCGCCATGGCGACTCGACCCGAGAAGAGTGCGCGCGACGGAGTGAGGAGGAGGCGGTCGACGAATCTCGACGAGAAGAAATATCTGATCGGTGGAGTGCCCCGATGAAAAAATATCGTCGCGATCAAATTCATCGCGAACATCTGAGTATTGACCCACGCTTTCGACCGACTAGCGGACAGCGCAGCCTGGACAGCGCGCGGCGGATTTCAACTTCGTCAACAACACAGAAAAGCGCGCGCAAACGAAGCGCGAGCGCACTGTTCACTTCGCCGGCGGGCGACGGCGCACTTGATCGCGCGGAGTGCGAGCTACGTTTACTCGCGCGAGACAACCGCGTAAGTGAACGAATTACGGATCTGCGCGAGCGCGTGACCTCGGAACGATGGGGTACGCGAGCGATGCGCGCGAAGAACACGCGCACGCGCAGGCGACGACTTCGCCTTCGATAATGAAGACGAGCGTCCATCGACTTTCGTTCGGCATCGGCGGCATAAGCGAGCTTCACGCGAAAGACAAGGAGACGGGTTTCTTCAAAACTACGGTACGTCTCGATGCGCGCCGAGAGGAGACGCGATCTCGCGCGGCGATCGCGCGCGCGCGACGCGTCTTCGTTTTGCCGCCACTTTTTTTCCCTCCCATTTCTTTTTGCCGCTCAAATCGTGATGCGATCGCCGCGGATCCTCCGCCCTCCCCCGCCGCGCGCGCCGTGGCATTTGACCCCGAACTCGCCTGACGGTGTTTTATCAACGTCAACATCACAGGATACGCGCGATTCCACCCAAGAACTGCCGTACAGCGACGAAGTCGAAGACAAAGAGCGCACGCCTCCGTCGAAAATGGGGAAAGCAGGCGTCGTGGTGAGGAAATCGCCAAACACGGTGTTCTCTCCCCTCTCCGTGCGAAGCTCCGCGACGAGCGGCCCGCTCCCGGGCGATCGCAGCTTGGACTCGAGCTTCGACCCGGCGTCGTACCACGACGCCGCGGACGATCGCGAGCGCGAGCTCGACGCGAGCGTGGACGGCGGCGGGGTCGACGACATGGACGTCGCGTCCAGCGTCCCGTCCTCCGCGGGGGACGACGTCCTGATGTCCGTGGCGTCCTCGCACAGCTGGCTGCGACGACGCTCGCACGGCCCGGCGACGGACACCGCGACCGCGCTCGCGCCGCTTCCGCCGAGCGCGGACGAGGCGCTGCTGCACCGCCGCGCGTCCGAGCTCAGGCTCGCGTTGAGAGTCGCCGAGGACGCGCTCGATAAGACGCGGACGCGCCTGGAGACCGCGGAGGAGGCGAGGCACGAGGCCGAGGCGGAGGCCGTGGCGCTGCGCGCGCGCGTGTGGACGCTCGAGGGTGCTGAAGCGCTGTCCGGCGCGCGGCTGCACGACGGATCGCTCGACCTCCTTCGCGGCGAGCTCTTGAACGAAGCCACGGAGGAGCTCGAGGAGGCGGCGAAGGCGGCGAACGAAGCCGAGGAACGCGCCCTGAAAGCGGTCGCGTCGCTTCAACAGGCTGAGGAAGCTGCCGCCGCGGTCGCCGCGGCCGCGAACGGCGAGGTCGAGACGCTCTCCCTCGAGGCTGCTCAGGCGAGGTTCCGCGCGCAGGCGGAGGCGAGAGACGCCGCCGCGGCGAGAGACGCGATGAAACGCGCGGAGGACAAGCAGCACGAGGCCGAGCTCGACGCCGCGAAGTGGCGAGAGATTGGCGATCGCGAGACGATCCGATCCTCCAACGCGGAAGAGGAAGCGCGGAGATACAAAGTCGAAGCCGAAGAAGCGAGAGAGGCCGCGGCGGTCTCCCTCGCGAGGGAGACGGACGCGGTGCAGCACAACAACTGGCTGCAGCAACGCGTCAACGCGCTCGAGGAGGCGGAGGGCAACGACGCGGGCGCGCACTACGGCGAGGAGCTCAGACGCGTGCGCGAGAAGCTCACCGCGGACGCCGCGAAAGCCGCGGATGACCTCGCGGCCGAGCGCAGCAGGCGCCGAGCCCTTGAGGCGGTCCTCGTCGAGGCTGGGATCGCCGACGTCGCCGCCGCCGCCGCCGCGGCGGAGGCGGGGGCGACCTCCGCGGTCGCCGAGCTCGAGGCGCAGCTCGCGAAAGCTCGCGAGGAAAAGGACGCGATGAAGCGCGCGCTCGACGCCGCGACCGCGGCCGTCAACGCGAGGTCTGTCAAGTCCAGCCAAGACTCGTGGGCGGACGCGTTGGGCCTCGAAGCGAACGACGGCGACGCCGCGAGCGAGGAGGACGAGCCGAAGAAGAAGGACACCGCGACCGAGACCGAGCCTCCGATGACGGAGGAGGAAGAGAAAGACGCGAAGGATGTCCTCCTCGAGACCGCGCAAAAGGAGCTCGCGGAGCTTCAAGAGGTGAACAAGCGCCTCGTCATGGCGCGCGAGGCGCACGCCGAGCAAGTCGCCGCGTCCGCGGCCGCGTCGACCGCCGCTGTGGACGCCGCGCTTAAGCGCAACAACCAGGCGTGGGCGATTAAGGTCGCGGAAGCCGAGCGCGCGATCGCCATCGCGGAGGAGAACGCGACCGCGGCGCTGGATCGCCTCGCCGTCATGGAAGCGGAGTGTGAAGCCGCGAACAAGAAGTTGGAAGGCGTTCACAGCCGCGAGATCGCGGTCGAGAAACTCGAAGCCTCCGTCGCGATAGCGGCGGAGGACGCGAAGAAGAAAGAAGAAGCGCTCGCCGCTCGCGAAGCCGAGGCCGTGGAAGCGGAGAAGGAGTGGGAAGAGAAGCTCACCGAGGCGAGACAAGCGGCCGCGGCGGCAGAATCCAAGCTCGCGGACGCCGAGACGAAGCTCGCTCAAGCGGTGGAGGACGCCGCGGAGGCGAAGCGCGCCGCCGCGGAGTCGATCGCTCAGGCGGAGGAAGAACGCGAGCGCGAAGTCGCCGAGGCGGAGAAGGAGTGGGAGGAGAAACTCACGGAAGCGAGGCAGGCGACCGCGGAGGCGGAAGCCAAGCTCGCGCGCGCAGAGCGTCTCGCCCAGGAGGCGATGGAAGAATCCGATCACGCGTTGCTCCGCGCGGACGAGCTCGAGAAGGAAAGGGACGGCGCGCAGCAGGAGCTTGACCTCATGCGCGAGCGCGAAGCCACCGCGGAACTCGCCGCGGAGGCTGAAGTCGCGTTCGCCGCGCTCGAGGCTGGCGAGGAGGCGAAGATGGAAGCCGCGGAGGCGCTCGCGCAGGCGAGAGCCGAGGCGGCGACGGTGAGGGACGAACTCGACGCGCTTCGAGAGTCGATTCGCATCGAGCACCACCGCGAGACGCCTCCGCCTACGGTGCGGCGCGTGCCGCCGTCGCCAACGATGACCCCGAGGGGCAGCGTCCTGGACGAGCCCACGAAGTCGTCCGAGTCCCCGGTGCGCCCGAGCGGCGTCACCGTCGTGCAGATGATGACGGACGACGAGTGCGAGAGCGAAGCCGCGGTCATGGAACCGCTCTCTGAGGACGAGTCCCCGATGGAGTACAAGACGAGGATGCGGAACGACCGCGACACGGACGCGGACTCCGCGGGGACGAACACGCCGAACAGCGGCGCGTTCTTGACCAGACCGCGGTTCGCGTCGCACAACTCGTCCCCGGCGCTGCCGTCCACGCCTTTGCTCGCGAAGTTCGCCGCCGTCGCGTCCCCGGATCCGACCGGTCCGGAGATGCGCAGCAAGCGTGACAGCCCGCAGAGCGACGCGACGGACATGGACGTCTCCGAGCCCGAGTCCGCGGCCGGCGGCGCGAGGAACGACGGACAGTGGGTGTGGCATCCGCGCAAGTCGGAAGCGCAATCGACCCCGACGAGGGCGTCGCGCAAAGCCATAGAGGCTGCGGAGGCGGCGGCGAAGGCTGCGCGCGCGGCGGACGCGGCCGCGGAGGCGGCGGCGGAGACGGCGACGCGCAGTAAGGTTGCGCGTCGCCTCGACGTCGACAACAACGAAGCCCTCCGCTCGCTCACGTCCAGGCGCGCGCAAGGACGCCGCTCCACGCCGCTGCGGCGCGGCGGCGCGTCCTCCTCGGACGAGGACGATCTGTGCAGAATGTCCGATTCGGACGACGAGAGCACGCCGCCTACCGCGCGGGGACGACACAGACGCGCGGCGACGCGCAGGCATCGCGAACGCAGCGCGTCCCCGCCGAGGGAACCGAAGCGGAGCCACTCCCCGGAGCGCCGACACCGAAGCTCCACTGACGCGGCGTGGGGCGAGGACCGCGTCGCGAGGGAATCGAACGACTCCGTCACGAACGTGAACCACGCCGCGTCCGAGGCGTTCGCCGCGGTCGCCGCGAGCGCGCACGCGGCCGCGGAGGCGGCGTCTCAGGCGCTTCGAGGGAACTCGAGGAACGCGTCTCGGGCGAACTCGCGCGGGTCCTCCGCGCACGCGACGCCGAAGCCGTCCCCTGCGAAGCTCGCGGCCGCGGCGTTCAACGCGGCGTCGCCGCTGACGCCGTCCGCGAACCGCCGTTCGACGTCGTACATCGTGGAACGGTCGATCCGGGAGGGCGAGGCGACACTTCAGGCGATGCGCGCGTCCAGGGCGACGCTCGCGTCGAAGTCCCCGGCTTTGAAGCAGCGGCGGGTGTCCGTCGCGGACAAGACGACGGCGTCGAGGGCTGCCAAGGCGCACCCGCCGCTCACTCCGGAGACGAGCCGGAAGTCGCTGTCCACGAGCAGGAGCCACGCGTCAGATCCCTTCGGCCGGCCGACGGGGACGTGGGGGAGGCCTAGCCCCAGCCCGGTGCGTCCGACGGCGATAAGTAGCGGCGCGGTGAAAACGAGCCGCCATAACCATCGATACGCTTGAGAGAGAGAAGGTCTTTGCGCGTTCGTGTTTATTTAATGACATGAAACAATTTTATCATCTCATCACAGCGTTCAACGAAGTAAACACTCCTTCAGCACGTCCCGTATCCCGCGATCGAAACGGCTCAGCGCGAACGCTTCCTTCACCCACGATTCTCCCTCGCCGTCGTTCGGCGGTTTTTTATGTTTCAACTTTCTACCCGAGTGCGCGACGAACGCGCACTCGAGGAGGAACAGCTGCACGTCGGCATCGTACTCGCGACTAAAATACACCATATCTCGCATGTCTACGACTTTCGTGGACGTGAGCTCGACGTCTTCAGTGGTGGCGTCCACCCCATCGAGCGGCGCCATCGCTTCGAGGCACGCGGCGTCGAGCGCTCGTCGCGACGGCGCGTTCGGCAACTCGCCGTGGAACGGCGAGCGCCTGATCGTCTTCACGGCCGCGCCCACGACTCGCAGCCGACGAGTTTCGACATCGTCCTCTTTACGGCGCGCGCGCGCGCCCATGGTGTTGAATCCGAACCGATGGTGCTGCTCGCGCCACCGCGGGGAAACTATCTCCGGGTGCTCCTCGCCGTCGACGTAGAAAACGGCTCCGGTTTTTTCGAGCTCGACGAGGTCGATGGGGAACGGCAGGCAAGGGACGCGCTCGCCTCTGGCTTCCATGTAGCAGAAGGTCTGCATCGCTTCGTCAGCGGACTCGAACGGGCCGCCGAGGCAGCAGTAGTATTTCCTCTGCATCCTCCGGTGGTGGTATTCGAAGTCGCCGTCTGTGGTGTCGAAAATCTCGCTGTGACCACAAGTCAAGCCGTCGACGCGCGAACCGTCGTCCAGATGGAGTCTCACGAGGCGCCCGACGCGCCGATCGAGCTCGAGCTCCATCGGACGCGTATCAATGGTCGCGTCCTCGCGTGGAGAGGTGTGACGCGACCCCTGGCGCGAGAGAGGTAACAACGACGAAAGTAACGGTCCTTCCGCTACTTTTCGTCGGACGTTTTGGTCGTCCAGGGGTTTTGGTGGTCGAGAACGAGGCTCGGCGACCGAACGTTCGATCATTTTCGATCGCGGCGATGGCGCGTCAACGCTTCGCGACCGCGCTTTTGCGCTGCGCTGCGATCGCGTTCCTGGCGCTCGCCGGCGCCGGGATCGCAATCGCGGAGACGTCGTATTACGATACCCTCGGCATCTCCAAAGACGCGAGCCCGGCGGACATCAAGAAAGCGTACCGACGTCAAGCCATTAAATGGCACCCGGACAAAAACTCCGATCCCGGCGCGGAGGCCAAGTTCCAGGAGATCGCGAACGCGTACGAGATTTTGAGCGATGACAACGCGCGGAAAAGATACGACATGTACGGCAAAGACGGCCTCGGCGGCGGCGGCGGCGGCGGCGGATTCGGCGACTTTGGCGACTGGGGCGACTTCGGCGGCGGCGAGACCTTCAGCTTCAACTTCGGCAGCCGAAGCGCGGGGGACATCTTCGCGGACTTCTTCGCGGACGAGGGCGAGGATCCGTTCGCGGACTTCGACAACTGGGGCGACTTCGGCGGAGGAAGCATGGGCATGGGCATGGGCGGGATGCACATGGGCGGCGCTTCCTCGGCGTCGTCTTTTTCCTTCTCGTTCAGCTCGTCGGGTGGCGGCAAGCAGACGTTCAGCCGCACGGAGACCACGATCGACGCGAACGGCAGGCGCGTCACGAAGACGGTCAAGGGCGGTTCGGAAACCGAGACCGAGGCGGAGATGGAGCTGGACGACGGCAGAGGGAACGTGCGATCGCGCCGCGCGAACGCGGCGGGCCAGAAAGAAAGGGCGCCAAAATCTCTCGACGACGACGGCGGCTCGGGCGAGAAGCGAACGAAGAAGAAGAAGGCGAAGAAGAAGAAGTCGAAGAAAGCGTAGTCGGTGGACAGCTCCGACTTGTGATGGGTGGGGAGCTACAGTACGTGTAAGTTATCGAGGCTGTCGAGGTGCTCATCTTCATTTATTCATTCTGAGAATCATCTCAAGTTATTATTCTTCCGAGAAGTTCTGCCCCCGTCATCACAACGCGCCGCGCCGCGCCGGCACGTCATCGGAAGGCTCTCTCGTCGATGAGCCTGCGGCACCGATACTCAGCGCCGGCGGTGCCTCCGAATCGCCAAACGATGTCTCGCACCGCGGACGAAAACGACACAGAAGCGTCGAACTCGTACGCGCTTCCGACGAACACGACGGATTCGGTCGCCGCCGCAGTCGCGAACGCGGCCGTGTACGCCCCCATCGTCGCGTGGGCGGTGGCCATCCTCGCGGGTTCCGCGGCGTACGCCGGACCCGTCGGCGCGTCGACGCCGAATCTGCCTCTGATGTGGTACGACGACGTCTTCGTCCGCGCGGGACCGTTCCTCCCGCTCGCCCCTCTGGCGTTCAGGATCGTCGCGTCCGCGGCAGCCGGGGACAGCGTCCGAACGCGTCGACGCGCGGCGTCTCTTCCCCCTCCGTCGCGCGCGCTCGCGGTGTACGCCGCCGTCGCGCTCGTCAGGCTCGGGGTGTACCTCGTCGGACGCGCGGCGAGCAGCGCGAAGACGTCCGACCACGTGTTTCTCGGCGCGGCGGTCGCGGCGGCGGCGCACGCGGAGGCGGTCGCGGCCGCGACCGTGTTCGTGGACGTTCTCCCGTCGATCATCGGTTCGGACGTTCGAGGAGGGGGGGACGCGTGGAGAGCCGGCGATGGGGTGAGGCGGAGACAGGGGAAGGTTGCGATGGTCGTCACCGCGGCGGCGGCGGCGGTCGCGGCGACGACCGCCGCCGCTTTGTTTCTCCTTCAGTGCGGAGATAGCTACTTTACCGCGGCGTACTTCCACACGCCGACCGAGACGTTCGCGGCGGCATTCTTAGGTCTAGTCATGTTGCAGTCCGTCACCATGGGCGCGGTCACGGTGCCGGCTGCTCGAGCATTAGGCGCTTCCGCCGGCGACTTCGTGTACGGACTTACACTGCGGTCGGCGCACGGTAGCAAGGCGTAGCTCTAGGGAAGGTTCATAGATACCAATGATAGATTTCGTTGACAACACGCCTACACACACATGCCATATACATGTATACCTAACCTTATCGTCGCCCTCGTCCGCGCGCGCGGCGCGTCGCTCGCGCTCACTTGCCCGGGACACGAACCGTCGCCGCGAGCAAGATGTGATCGCTTGGCTCCACCGCGGACGGAAACGGCCCCTTCACCTCGCTCCTGTGTGGCAGCGGCATCACCTCCGCGACGTCAACCGTGGGGGAGATGAAGATGTAATCCAGCGTGTCGATGAACTGCGGATCGTCCTTGATCTGCGCGAAGTTCGTGAAGTCCGGCTCGGAGCCGGTCGCGACGTGGTACGCGCTTCGCATCGGATACGTCAACGCCGTGCTCCACGTCTCTCCGTCCGGTGCGACGGGCGCGGCCTCGTGCGCGGCATCGATGTCGCCCGTGGTGATGAGATCGTACCCGCCGTCCCCGGGTTTCAGGTTGAAGTCTCCCATGAGGACGACGGGGAGGGAACCGGCCATCTTCTGCGCGTACGCCGCCGCGAGCTGCGAGTGAATCGTCATCACCCGCGGGTCTCGGAACATGCACGGCATGTGATAGTTCGCGACGCCAAACTCCACGCCGCTGGACTTGCACTTCAGCGTCGCGTACATGATCGTGTTGAACCGATTGCGCGCGAGCGCCCAGTCCGATTGCTTCGCGCGCTTCCCCGTCAGGAAGTAATACAACCCGAGCGGTTTGTCGACGAGGAGTTCCTTCATTTTCGACGGTTTCGGCGCGCGCGGCAGACGCTTCGTGTCGCTGCACCGCGAGATGTCCACCTTGACGACGTCGTACTTATCGATCGGCACCGCGAGCGCGATGCCCATGTACCCGTTGAACGGCTTCCCGTACAAAGACGACACGAGGTGGTACCCGCGCTTTGCGAAGAACACGTGGAGCTCGCCCGTCCACTTCTGCGACACCTCCTGCAGCGCGATCACCGCGCCCTTCTTCATCTCGTCCTCGAGCTTGACGAGCGTCTTCTTCAGCCGCGTCGGCGGGTCGAGATCCTCGGGGGCGCAGTGCGTGAAGTACGTCGGCTCGCACAGGGACGAGGACAAGACGTTGTACGTCACGACCCTCGCGTCGTGCGTCTCCGAGGACGCCATCACGATCGTCGACGTCGCGAACGCTCTGCGGTGCTGACGCGCGTGCGAGAGGCGATCGACGCGCGATCCCGCGAACGCGACGGACGACGAGAAGTGCGAGACGTCGCGCGAGGACGCGGCGGCGGCGGCGAGGACGAACCCGAAGCTCTGTCGCCGGCTCGGATGCGCGCGCGAGATCCACGCGGTTTGGGCACCCTGCTTCGCGCTCAGAGACGCGAACGATCTGACCGAGGCCGAGGACGATCGCGGGGCGACGCGTCGGAGGAGGCGGAAGGCTGTCGGCTGCAAAGACGCGACCGCCGTCAATGACATGTCCTGTCCGGAAGCGCGCCTCGTGGTCTGGCGATCGGAAGGGTTCAAACGTCGATTTGTAGTGTCAACTGCAGTGAGTTGATTGCTTATTTCACATGGTGTGTCTATACTTGTGCTATGCGGTAGGCGATCGAGGGCATCACGCGGGGGAGATCAACAGCTTGTACGCGACGATGCACGCGTTCAGCGCCCAGAGCGTGGCGACGAACTTGAACTCCTTGTCGTCCACGGCGTCGAGCGCCTCCGCCTTCGGAGCCTCGGGCGCGGGCGCCGCGACGATCGGCTCGGCGACCTTCTTCTCCTCGACAACCTTCTTCTCCTCGACGACCTTCTTCTCCACGAACGTGCCGGCTTCCATCGCCGCCGCTTCCGTGGTTGTCCTCCTCCTGAACTCTGCGGCGATGGCGATGTCGTCCACGGACGCGAGCCTTCCGTTCGTGCTCGCCGCTGTTTCCACGGCGGCGACGGCGGCGGCGACGGCGGCTTCAGACGCCACCGGCATCTCCGGCGCGTCGAGCGATCCCGGGGTCCAGCTCACGATGCCGACGCCGTTGCCAAACACGGCCGCGCCGCTCTTCGTCGCTTGGTCCGTGGTCGGTCGCGAGAGGATGTTCGACGCCGCGTGCGCGGGAGCTTCCGCGACCGCCGCCGCCGCCGTCTCGGTCGCGGGGACGGGCACCTCTACCACCAAGTCGAGCTCGTACCCGATTTCGAATCCGTCCCACGACGAGACGCCGACGCCGCGCTCGAACACGGATACGCCGCTCTTACCCCCGCGATCGCGCACGACCGCCGGGGGCTTCGAGGTGATCGCGACCGCCGCGGGGGCGACGGGTTCCGACGCGGGCGGCGGAGGCGGCGGCGCGGGCGGCGCCGCCGGGGCGGCTTCCTTCGCCGCCCCCATGACCGTTTCCTTCATCTTGCCGAACAGGCTCGTCGTCGGAGCCGAGTCCGCGGCCTTCTTCGCCAGCCTCACGGTCCCGCCGCCGTACGGTGTCTTCACGATGTACACGCTGACGCCGTCCCACGTCTCGCTCGCCATGAGGACGCCCTGCGGCCTCTCTTTCGTGAACGAGTAGTACGCGCCCTCCTCGACGTCGCCGCCGACGAACGGACACACGATGCAGTGTTTCATCTCCGAAGGCGGGCGCGCGGTCTTCTTCGTCGTCGTCGGCGCGTCCGCGGTCGGGGCGTCGACCGTCACCGCGGGCGCGGAGATCACGTTCGTTTTTCCTCCGACGTGGTTTAGGCGGGAAGCCGCGTGGCCCGGCGCGGTCGCGCGCTTCGCGACGCGCGCGTGCAGTCGCCGCGCGCCGAGATCGTTCGCGCCGATCGCGAGGGTTTGGGATGCGATGCAGGCCATTTTGAGCGTCCGCGTCGCGTCGTGCGTCGCGCGTCGTCAGATGAAGGCCGACGATCCGACGCCTGCTGAGCTGGCGGGAAAAGAGTCCCATCGAGCGCAAGCGCGTGAAATCGGATCATCGGCGGTCCGGTCAGCCGACGAGCCGTTGGAGCGGTGAGATTCAAATCTCCGCGCGCCACACCGCGCGCGTCTGTCGCACCCGCGCGCACGCTCTCTCGTCATGAGTCAAACGTGGCTCGTGAAGCTGCCGCGGCCGGAGGATGGCGCCACGCGCGTTGACGACGCCGCGTCCACCGCGGGTCTGCGCGGCGGCATCGTCACGGAAAAGCCGCTCGGGGCGGTGGGCGTTAACCGCATCGACCTCGCGCGGCTCGACCCGAACGACAGGAAACACGCGTGCGCCGTCGAGCGCGGCGGCGTCCTTCGCTCGATGCGCGTCGGCGGCAAGAGCGGAACCGGCGTGGAGAGATACCAGCTGCACTCGGAGGGGAGCGGCGGGAGGTTGGAACCCGTGTCTCGGTCGTGGAGACAGTTCGAGCTCGTCCCCGGGCAAAACGGCGCGGTCCTCATCGCGCAGAGCGGCTCCCCGAACTTGCTGTACAGCACGTTCCCCGAGAGCGCGGAGGAGAAGGGCAGCGTCGTCTTCCTCTTCGGATCGCACAACGGCGCGGTATCGTGCTTCGCGGTGTCCGACGACGGCGCGTTCGTCGTCTCCGGCTCCGTGGACGGATCCCTCGCGGTGTGGTCCGTCGAGGACGGGGAGAAAATCGGAAGCATCTCGTCCGCGCACGCTGGCGGCGTCACCGCGGTCGCGATCGCGAACGAGACGTGCGTCCTCTCCGCGGGCGCGGACGGGTGCGTGCGCGCGTGGGAGGTGACCGAAAAACCCCGGCTGCGGATGATGCACAAGCTCGAGACCGGGCCGGCGCCGTTGATGTCGCTCGCGGTGTGGGACCCCGCGCACGACGTCGTCCGGGACGAGGACGACGACGCGCGGGAAGTCGCGGCGAAGTTCGTGAAGAAGGCGGGCAAGGGCAAGACGAAAGAGATGAACACGGGCGGGAACGGGAAGATACTCGCCGCGGGGAGCGCGGACGGTACCGTGTACGTGTGGACGCGCGTGCCGCCGGCGAAGAAGCTGTCCAGCGAATTCAGCTGGAAACCGGCGACGACGTCGCACCACGCGCAAGGCAAGGAGGTGAAGTTTCTGTCCTTCCGCGCGGACGGGAAAGCGCTCCTCGTCGGCGCGAGCGACGAGCGGGACAACGGCAAAGGCGAGGTGCGTCTGTTCGAGACCGAGCACTGGACGTCGATCGCGACGCACATCTACAGCAGCATCGTCGCCGCGTGCAAGTACACGCGAGCCGGGCGGTCGCTCGACCTGGCGCTGTTGTGCAGCGCCGCGGGGGCGCCGAAGCTGTTCGAGGGTAGGCTCATACCGATGGTGTCCGCGGACTTGAGGGAGAACGGGAAGGGCGCGGGGGTGTTACCCGCGCCTCTCGGGCACGCGTTGCTTCCCCCTACGGGTAACCAGGACGGCGGGAAGATTACGATCTGCGAGCCGGTCGCGCCTCCTGCGGAGGCGCCGCGCGAAGCGGCGCCGCCGACGCCGGTGCCGCAGACCCCGGCGCCGGTACCGGAGGAGCCGAAGCCGGTGAAGCGGGCTGCGTTCAGCCGCTCGGGAAAGTATTACAAAGAGCCAGAGTCGACGCCGAACCAGCGCGCGCTGGAGGTGGTCGCTAGCATGACTGCGAGCGTGATGGCGAAAGCGCCCGCGCCGGTGCCGGTCTCGGAGGAGCAAGGTGTAGGGAACGAAGAGGGGGTGAGCGGCGCCGAGACTGAACTCGCGAAGCCGTCGCTGTTGTCCACGAGGCCGCTGCTGCACCGGAACGCGTTGATTCCGTTTGCCATATTCGACAAGGACGCGGAGCTGCAGCATCACATGGCGCCGCTGGGGGTGAAGGGGAAAGAAGAAGCGGCCGCGGTGGCGGACACGCACGTTCGTGCGATGGCGGCGGCGAACATGGACCTGTCCTTGCCGTTGAACGCGCGTAGGTTCGAGGGTCTTACGGAGATTCCCGCGAACGCGCCGCGCGCCGCGAAAAGGTTGGTGGGTAAGCAGTTAGACAAGAGGTGGCTGGCGGTGCGCGACATCAAGCCGCGCATGGAGGACATGTGGGTGGCCGCTCGGCGAGAGCCTCAGGTGTGCAGCACCGAGGGTTGGAACACGGAGGGTCTGTTGGCTCCTCCTTCGGAAGGTGTTGAATTCTAACAGGTTAGTGTTGTAAATTAACGACTTGAGTCTCCTCTATTAGGGCTACTACGTTCTACGTTCTATGTGTTTCTATTCGTTCCGTGCGTCCGATCACCGTGTGCAACGCATGCTCGTGTCTCTGCAGACGCACGACCTCTTGCTCAAGTTGCGCAACGCGCGACTCCGAAGCAGACAATTTTTTGCGCGCTTCGTGCGTCGCTCGTTTCTGCACTTGGACTTCCAACCTCACCGACGCGAGGAGCTGTTCGCTCTCTACGCGTAACCTGTCCATCGCGTCGATCGCCGCGGTCGCGGTCTTCGAAGCCTGATTATCGGACGACAATCGCTCCTCCAACGCCGTGATTCTCGCCTCCGCGGCTTCACGCGACGCTTGCTCTTCTTGGAACTTTCGCCTCGCGTCGCTCAGCGCTTCTTCGAGGGTTTGCATTTGAGCGGACGTTCTCTCGAGGTCTTCACCTCGCGTCTTCGCCTCCACGAGCAGTTGGTTCGATTCTTCCTGCAGTTTCCCATCCTCCACGATCCCTCGCGTCAGTCTCGCTTCCAGAGATGCGTTCGCGGCCTTCAGCTTTTTCAATGTGAACTGGATGTTCACAAGCTTCGCACGGACTTCTCGCTCGCGGTTCTCCGCGCGTTCAGCCCTTTCGATGAGTTGTTTCTCAACGACGAGCTGTTTCTCGCGCTCCTTCGCCATTGTGGCATCGATTTTTTTCGTTTCTATCACGGACTGAAGCGGCGGCGGACGAAACCGCAGATCGTCCACCTCACAAAGTGCCGTGTCGCGCACGCGCCGCGCTTCTATTGCTTCCTCTGTCTTCGCGTTCAGCTCCTCTTTCGTCGCGGTCACCTCGGCGGAAAGTCGCACAGACCGTTCGCGCCATTCCTTGACCTGAGCCTCCGCGACGGCCAGCGCCGCCTCGGCTTCGTCGACGCGTTGTTCGTTCAGCAAATTCGCCCGCTCCGCCGCGGAGGCGACGTGCGCGAGTTGAGCCCGCATGGACTCGCACACGCCCTCCGTCTCCGCGTGATCGTGCTGGAGTCGTCGCAGAGCGTCCGTGAGTCGCTTCGTCTCCGCTTCGGCTTCTTCGCCTCGTGCGAGTCTCTCGCACATCGCGTCGAGGCGAGCGACTTCCGCGCTCGCGGCAGCGCTCGATGCCATGGCTTCTGCCGCGCGACCGGCAGCCTCGGACGATTTCTTCGTTTCTTCGTCGAGAGCGTCCGTGAGAGTTCTCTTCGTCGTCTCTAACGCTCGGATCGCGGCTGCTGCCTTGGCCTGGCTTTGTTCGTGAGCGCGCTCTGCTTCTCTCATGTGAAGTTCCTTCATCGCGAGTTCCTCATAAAGACGCGCGACTGTCTCTTTGAGCTCCCACGCGCTATACACCGCAATGTCGACGTCGTTCACCTTGACAGCTTGTTGACGTTGACTTGTATCGTACAACTCTTGCAGCGCGCTGAGCTTATCTTTGAGTTCGTCGTGTAGAACGATCTGCGAAGCGTGCGAGTCTCTAGCGGCAAATAGTTCCTCGCGAAGACTCTTGACTTCTGCTTGCAACGCTGACACGGTTCGCTCGGTGCTCGAGCCTGCGTCTGCTGCACGAGCTTTTGCAGCCTCGGCGGCGGATAACTTTTTCACGAGCTCAGTTTCCCAGGTTGGGTTGTTGTCGTCCGTCGCCACCGCGTTCCCCCTCGTCGTCGGTTTTAACTTTCTGAGTTCATATCGCGCTTCTTCATCGTCAGCAGCGGACAGTTGCTCCTGCGATGAGGGTCCGGGAACGCGGGGCTGGGAAGACTCAGTAAGTCAAATCGTCTGTCTATCGTCGTGGCACGAACAAAATTCAATTCGCTCAAGTGTGTCTTGACGAACGCCGTGGCCTTCCTCACCTCTAGCATTCTGCTCATGGCGTCGTTGTACTCCCTCGAGCCTTTCAGCTCCTCCGCGGAGACGTCGACCTGCAAGAGAGAAGAAGGAACGAAAGGCAGGAACGCTCGGCAGGCGTGGAGGATGGAGGATGGTCTCGTCGTCTGTTGGCCGCGTGCTAAGGACGACTCGACTGCGTGCCGAGTTGCGCGACGACGATTCCGCGCGTGTGCAGGGTCGAGGAAGCGTGGAGGACTCGGGGAAACGCGGGTGTCCTTCACGCACCCGTCTTTGAATGAGGTCCGCCACGTCATGGGACGCTGGGCTCAGCCCTTCGTCCCCGCCGCTCATGTCGCTCGCCGGCGCTTCGAGGTGTGAGACCTCAGAAAGTTCAAAACCGCGTTGTCAGAAAACCAGGAAACCGGCAGAAAATATTTCGGAAATCAAAGATGCCAAACCGGAAAATCGATCAAACCCGATCAAACCGGAACCACATCGAACGCCGTTACGATGAAACAAGAGCTCATTCATCGGACTATGTGCCTCACAGAAGAACGGCTCGGCTTCATCAACCCCGCGGAAACGAGACCAAAATTTTCAGGATTGTCACGGAAAGCAAGCAAGACCCAGGAGGTATTCGAGCAGATCGAGTAGGGCCCGAATTTCTCACAGAATCATCAGTAAATAAAGTCAGCTTTTTACTCTAACACAAGCCCGAAAAGTCTCGAACTTGTGCGCAGATAATAAAAAATGCGGCACAGTTCCGCGAGAGAAGCGCATATCATTTTTTTAAACAGGCGTGAGAAAAGGAATTGGCTTCCCGCCACTGATCAAACCACGAAATCATGAAAAACGAGTGACAACTACGGGAAAATGCGCTTTAACAGCCCGGGCCAAAATGCTAAAAGTTGAATCAAGGCGCGAATTGAAAAGATGAAAATAATAATCCGGGTTCAAGGAGCGATCGGTGTCTCGGCCAGCGGTTCCCCTCGCTTAAGAACGGGATTGAATTACTGCCCAGAAAAAACTGCGCAGAATATATTAAACCAGAAATATAAAGCAAACTAACTGCAACTCTTTTCAGTGGCTTACGAAACTATTTTCAAAGTCTTACACCATTAGAGTCGCAGGAACGAGCAAACACAGCGCATCACAAGGAATTTAGAGGACACGGTACTCTCATGCGACGATGTGCGCCATTCGTTCCACGTTTAGGCTTCTGAATGAAGAAGTCTCGCTTGAATTCAGAAAGGTACAACTTCAAACAACGATAATTTCTGCGTTTCAGAAGGTACCAAGTGTTTCTTCCGCGAAAAAGGTCCCAGGGAGCGGTGAATGAGTATCAAAACTATGTCACAAGAACAGTAACATTAATCTGCAAAGAAGTGCAGCACTATTCCTGAAGCTGCTCACACGACGTCGTTCGATCGCGCCGAAACATTGGACTCGGGGTTCGAGAAGTAACATTCACGTTTCTAACAAAGGACGGTGGTCAATTTGATATTTTGAGCAGCTTGCGCATCAAATGGAAGAGTTTGCACGTGTAAATGCATGAGCGAATGTCGCAGACGGTGTAGTCGAATTCATGTGAGTTTTCGCGCGGAATGCGCGGCTTGTTGAGAAAGATCGCGCTGTTTATAAGTCACGCTGGCTTTCCAAAACACTCATTCTGCTCAAGAAAGTTTTTATTCGCGTAAAGTGAATCTTGAAATCAAAGAGTGGCTCACGCGTGGCATTTTAGGATTGTGTGCGTGTTCAAAATGATTTCGCCTGTGGTGTTGAACCCGCGTGCACGTCATTTTCGCTTACATGGCGCTGTCATGAAAATATTCTACAGCTAGCCGCTCGATTTCTCGGTTTACTCGTTTCTATAATATTTTCGTGTTAAATTTACATTTCTTTGTTTCTTTGCAAGCCGCGAGACGTCAATATTCTTCGCGACCCGTGTCGATGGTTTCATGAATTGTAGCGGGAAATAATCTCGATGCCGTGCGGAAACATTTATTTTCACCCGTCCGCGTTATGTTTTTTTCTTTGACATTTCTATTTTGTTTCTTTCTTGTCCTTTCGTGTCAGATGCACGCGAATGAATGCGACAGAGTGATACTTACAACGTAGCGTGTGTAATTCGCGTTTTAGCTGTTCGGTTTTCGGCAGTCGAACTATTGAGGAAGCAGTTTATCAGTTTCCCACGTTTAGCTTACCTCCTACTGTCAGAGTTTTCCTTTTTCCCACGCCCCTCACAAGTGCAAAATGCACGTGGAATAATTTTTTTTCCCTGCGCGTCCGAGTCTCGAGCGTCGTGTTCTCAGCTTCTGCTGAAAACAGAGATGCGTCGCGTCGACAATGGCTTCAAAGCACTAGTCCGCAGCTTGAAAGCCGTTCTGACCGTTCCCAGTTTCAACGTGGGCTTTTCGCGATCAAAAAAAATCGATTGAAAAAAGTCGAATTTTTTCGCATTTTCTCGAGCTCACTTTCGGGCTTTCCCCACTTTGCTGGCACACACAAAGTGGGCGCTCCTCATCGTCACACGCGTGCGTGTGCCTTCCTCGCGCGTTCGGCACGGTTCGGTTCGGACTCCGCCCGTCCGCGCGATGAAGCTCCACGTGCTCACGCTCGCGGGCGCAAAAGAGCTCACCGGCGTCGAGTCGGACGACACCGTCGACGCGCTCAAGCGGAGGCTGCACGAGGCCGCTCTCGTGAGCGAAGAACCCTCGGGGCAACGACTGATGCACGCCGGGAAGACGCTGAACGACGGCGAGCTCCTGTCCGACGCGGGCGTCGTCGAGGGCGATGTCATCGTGTTCATGGCCAGGCGCGAGAAAGACTCCGAGACGAACCGATGGGAACAGCGCGACGCGAACAAGCCGGTCCCTGATCTGAGCGAAATCAACCGAACTATGCTCTCCGCGAAAGCAGGCGTCAGCGTCGCGGCCGCGGACGGGCAGGAAGGCGCCGGTTCCGTCGAGGAGAGCCTCCAGGGTTTGCGCATCGCGGACGGCGAAGACGGCGCGGCGGCGGAAAGTCGAGGGCGAGGAGGCATCGGAATCACCCTCCCCGAGCCAGACGCGGACGCGTTGAAGCAAATAGTCGAGATGGGGTTCCCCGAGGCGCGCGCACGAAAGGCGCTACTCCTGCATCGAAACCATCCCCCCGCGGCGATGGAGTGGCTCCTCGAGGTTGGTGATAGCCCAGAAGCGGACGCGGAGCTCACCGAAGAGCAGATCCTTCAGCTCGTGAACACGGCGTTGCCAGGGCGCGCGATGTTGATGCCAGGGCAACAGGCGACACCCGCGGAACCGGCGGAACCTGAGGAAGCGGTCGTGCAACGAGTCATGGAGATGGGGTTCCCTCGTGAAGACGTTCTGGTCGCTCTCAGAGCGACGCATAACAATCACGACGCCGCGTGCGCGTGGCTCCTCGGTGAACGTAGCGGCGTCGTTCGCGAGCAAATGACTGTCGCTCAAGGGAACCCGGAGAGCATGCAGATGCTCCTCGGCGATATCTTGAGCCACCCCGCGATACAGCAAGGGATGCAATCCGAACGCGTGTTGCAGGCGTTCCAGGCGATGATAGAGGATCCCTCCTCCGCGCACGCGTATTTAAACGATCCGGAGGTTGGTCCTATTTTGCTCCGAGTGCACAGCATCCTCTCGCGCGTGGCGGGACAAAGCGCGCCACCTTGAGGTAGATTCTCTCTAGCTTAGCTTCTCTTTCTAAATATAGCTAGTCCTATAACGATGGCGTCGCATCACTCCGCGTCCTCGAATTCGTCCGCGCGGAGTATTCCCTTCGCGCACAGCTCGCGTTGCGCCACTCCCATCTCTCGCTGCAAAATTTCCGCGTCCTTCGCGCACGTTGGGAAGTGCGCTAAGCTCCATCCGATGACCGCGAGAGAGTACAGCGCGAACGACACCAACGCCCAGAGCGGCAGGAGTAGGACGACGCTGTGTTGTGCCGGCGGCAACCCGATCCTGAGGAGGTACACCCAGACCGCGAGGAACGCGACGACGGGCGCGCCCAGGGTGAACAATCGCCTCGCCATCCCGATCAGTCGACGATCGATCGCGCGCGCGCTTCACGCGAGGATTACCGCCGGCTCAACAGCTACGCGCTCGGTTGAACCCAGTCGTTCGTCGCGGGACACGCCGTCGCCGTCCCTTCCAACTCCACCGGGGAGGCGTCGTGCGCTCCTAGTTCTGTCGTCGTCGTCCACGCGCGAGCGAACGCGATCGAAAACCAAAAAAATCAACACAGTTCACTTTCTTCGGCGGTCTTTTCGTCGCTCCCGAGGCCACTTCAAGTCGCGCGTCGTCGTCGAACCCGCGCGGGAAGATGCGGTCGCGACACCTCCTCGTGGTTCTCATTGTTCTGATATCGTGCTCGTTCGCTCGCGCGGGTATCGCTCACGCGAAGGCGAGAGCGGGGGACGTCGAATACTTTCACGACGCGATGGAGCTGGACGAGATAAACGAAAGGGAAGAGGGGACGGGGCAAACGCCTCTGATGGCGGCGTCTCTCGCGGGAATGCACCTCGCCGTCGAGAAGCTCCTAGATCTCGGCGCCGACGCCGACATCCCCGAGAAGGACGGGTACAACCCCCCGCACGGCGTCGCGTTCCAGGGCCGGCCGCTCGCGGCGAGAGCGCTCATCGCGCGCGGCATCCCCGTCGACGTCGCGCACGCGGACGGGTTCACGCCGCTGCATCGGACGGTGTGGGGGAGATCGCCGTCGCACTTGGAGACCGCGATCGTGCTCATGAGCGACGGGGGTGCGGACGTGAACCGTGTGGACGCGGCGGGATACCCCGTCGCGCATCGCGCGGTGGGAGAGCGAAAGGGAAGGGCTTGGATCGACGCGTTGCTGCGGCACGGCGCCGACGTCGCGTATCAAGTGGAGGACACGGGGGACACGCTTCTGCACGCGGCGGTGATGTCACAGGACGTGGAAGTCATCGAAGCCGTCGTAGAGGCTGGTGGAGACGTCCTCGTGAAGAACAAAAAAGGTCTGACGCCGAGAGGCCTCGCGAAATCGTTGGGTTTGGAAGCCGCGACGAACGTGTTGTCGCGTACGAAGTTCGCGCGCGGCAAAGAAGAGTTGTAGTCGCCAACCTGACGATTAAATAGTTCCATCATCGCGATACTATGTACAGTATATCGCTGTGCCCACTACGCGCGTTAATGTCAAGTTTACTCCGCCGGAGGAACAGGCTCGCCGCCCTTCTTCTCCAAGCCCACGCTCTCCCGCTTCAACACCGTGAGCAGCGTCATCGAGCTTTCGAGAATCTTGTTGTACGCAGCCTCCGTCTCCTGGATCGTCTTATCGTAATCCGTCCTCGCGGCAACCTTGCGAGCGATGGAATCGTTCAGCGTCGTGAGGCGCTTGGAGAGCACGGTCAAGTCGTTCTGGACCTTCGCCTTCTCCTCCTCCTCGGTGGAAATCTGCTCCTGGATTTCCTCGCGCTTCGTCCTCAAGTCCTCGATGCCTGCGGAGCGGACGGGAAGGATCGCGTAGGCGCGTCGGTTAGTCGTCACGACTCGATTACAACTCGCGGTCGCGCGCGCGGTCGCGACGAACGAGGCGAGGGATCGCGCGCGACGGCTCCAGGCGCGATCGAAGATCGCGTCACGATTCCAGCCAAAAGGGGTAAGTTCGCGAAGAATCGGATTTCGGGTCTCGAAGGGCGCGCACAAGTGACGAGCTCGGTGTTTTGCTCCGCGAGAGCGTTTCCTGCCTCAGCCATGGTGACGGCTTCGTGTACCTACACTTGGTGTGGCGTGACGAGTGCGGACAGCGCGTCGCGACGAGTGCGCGGGAAACGAAACGCGTCGAGCTCAAGATGAATCTTCTTCAAACGACGTGTGGCGGATCCTGGGGCCTCTTGTGTGTTTCTGACTGCACCGCATACGAATTATCGCGTACCGTGCACGTACAACTACTACCCGAAATCGTTCTCGAGAAGTTCGAAGGGCGCTCGATGCCTCTCGTCACATCCCCCCCGCGCGGCCGGGTTCGTCACCATGGAGGGGCTGCTCGCGGACTACGGGAGCTCGGACTCCGAGGAGGAGGAGGTAGAGAAGAGGCCGGCCGGCGCGCCGTCGTCGGACGCCACGACGGCGCCGAAACCGTCGACTACGGGAGATCGATTCGCGAGCCAAGGGGGCGCGGCCGCTTCCACGAGCGCCGCGCCGAGGACCGCGCTCCCGAGCGTGGCTTCGCTCCTCGAGAGCACGGGCGTGGGCGTCGGGAGCGCGTCGATGTCCCTCCTCGAGACCGGCGGACAGGGAGGGGACGCGAGAGGACGAGGCGAGGGGGCAGGAGGAGGCGTGAAGCGTCCCGCCGGCGGCGCGTTCGCGCGCTCGCACGTGCCCACGAAGAGCAGTCGAGGCGAGACGCGAGACAACGTCAGCGCGAAGCCGAAGAGCTCGCTGGTCCCCCCGCAGTTGCGAGGGCGGTCGAACAACGCGACGCAGGACCTGGAGGCGCTCGGGTTCAAGGCGAAGCCTCGCGTCGTGAAGAGGTCGTGAAATGAAAGAAAGCGCGGCGGCGTCGCGCCGCGGTGGACCGTCTAAGACATTGTCGTTCGTCCGTGAGTAGCGGATTGGTTGATTACAAAGAATATATAGCGGCTAAACGGAAATCATCCTTTACTTGCGCTTGCCTTCCTTAATGGGGACGTACTCGTCCGCGTACCTCACGCCCTTGCCCTTGTACGGCTCCGGCTTGCGCTTGCTGCGAATGATCGCGGCAAAGTTACCAACCTCAACCTTGTCGTACCCACTGACGGTGATCTCCGTGTTGCTCGTGCAAGCGATGTCGATGCCCGGGGGGGGCGACAAGATGACCGGGTGCGCGTACCCGAGCGCGAGGTTCAGATCCTTCCCTTGCATGGAAGCTTTGTAGCCGACGCCGACGAGCTTCAGCTTCTTCTCGAACCCAGTCGACACACCCACCATCATGTTGTTCGTGAGAGTCCTGTACAGACCGTGACCCTCTCTCGCGGTCCTGCTCTCGTCCGCCTTGCTCAACTTAATCTCGTCTCCGTCCTGTGAAGCGACGCGAGGCGGGAGGGGGCGAGAAATTCGTGAGTCACCGCTTCCGAGAAGAAGCGAGGAGGGGGGGAGCTCGTCGTGGACGCGGCCGCGACGCGCGCTCCTGGGGGAAATCCGCCGGCGATTCGGGGTCTGACGTACCTCCGTGAACACCATCGTGTCGGGGAACTGGAATTCAAGGCTGCCCTTGGGACCCTGACGCGCGAGGGGAAGGGGTGGGAGGAGCGACGTCAGCGGAGAGCCAAAACCCCAAACCCTCATTTTATCCAGTTCCCGTCCGCGAGCGGCACGACGCGCGGACGCGGGCGCCGAGGGCGATGCGAGTCGCGCGGCGACGATTTAGGGGTGATGACGATCGGAATAGGACGTGCGACGCACCTTCACGGCAAGATGGTTGTCCTTGAGCGTGTACGTCACCCCTTTCGGGACCTTCACCGGCTGCTTACCGACGCGAGACTCGCCCGCGAGAATGCGCACGGGAGCGCGGGTGGCGGTCGCCGCGGCGACGCGCGCGCGAGCGGGCACGGGCGCCGCGTAGCTCTGACGCGCACTAAGAGTGGTAGAAGCCATGGAAGCGGCCATCGTCCGGTGATATCACGTCACGAACGCTGCGCGCGACGGGGAATGACGTCTCGGCTACGCGTGTGCTTTCTGCAGCTTGTTCGGCAACGCACCGCACAAGCCACTCGCACGTCCACCCGCCGGGAGCAGCCAGCACCCGCGTGTGCGGTTGCGGCTGGGACGCGTTTCGGAGGAGCACAGCTACTGGAGCCAGAGGTAGTTGACAACGAGACGAGACGCGCCGCACATTCGGGACGCGCGCGCGCTAGAGTCTCGAGCGCGCTGCTCGAGCGCGCGCGCCCGTGAACGTCATCGCGGCGTGACACGCGGCCTCTCGCGCGGAGGACACGACCGCACCGCGCGGCGCGAGATCCGTCGCGAGAGAATCGAGGCGTAGAAAATTATGAAGTGAGCGCCGGGGCTCGGGTGAGAAGAGCAAGCCCCTACAGATGACAGGTCTCCCCTCGACCGAGCTCCCGGCCCGGCTCGAGCTCGGGCCGGCCGACGCGGCCGACGACCGGGAGCGACGGAGACGAGAGAAACGCGAGCGGAAGGAGAAGAAAGCGGAGCGAAAGGACCGGAAGCGGAAGAAGGAGAAGCAGAAGTTGAGCGGAGAGCTCGCGGTCGCGGGAGGAGGGAACGCCGTCGCCTGCGGAGACAGCCGGAACACGGTCGCGGACGTCATCAACTGGGAATGCAAGATGGAAGGACGGAGACGAGAGAAACGCGAGCGGAAGGAGAAGAAAGCGGAGCGAAAGGACCGGAAGCGGAAGAAGAAGAAGCAGAGGTTGAGCGGAGAGCTCGCGGTCGCGGGAGGAGGGAACGCCATCGCCTGCGGAGGCTACCGGAACACGGTCGCGGACGTCAACTGGGACTGCAAGATGGAAGGTCAGAAGTTCGGGCCGTGGTCGGCGAGCGAGGTGGCCGACATCAAGGCCAGGATCAAGGACTGGGCGAACGCGCACGGGCACAGCGGCGACGTCGAGTCGGGGAATTTCGACTTTCTGTTCGGCCGGCGACAGAAGCTAGGCGGACGAGGCGCGGGGTTGTCGGATGCGGAGAGGAAGGCGTTCCTGGAGATAGCCACCGGATTCCCGAACAGAAACCCGAAGCAGATTTACGCGTACGTCACGCGTCACTTGGACCCTAGCAACTACAAAGGGGCGTGGACCGAGGAGGAGAAGACGACGCTGATGAACCTCTACGAGCAAAAGGGAGCTAAGTGGGCGGAGATAGGCGCGGCGATGGGGAGGGCCGGGGGCGCGTGCAGGGACAAGTGGAGGTCGATCTCGGTGGAAAGGAACGGGAAGTGGACGGAGGATGAGAAAACGACGCTGTCCACGCTCGTGAACGAGTACTTCGCGGAGCAAAAAGCGACGCCCGGGCGAGGCGCGGGGGACGGCCAGGAGCACCGGGAGCTTCTGGACAACATCCCGTGGAGCATCATCGCGCAGAAGCACGGGTCCAGGACCGAGGCCCAGTGCATGCAGAGGTGGTATAGGGTTTCAATGGGCGCGATCGATACCGGGAACTGGGCCGCGGGAGACGATAAGCTCCTCATCACCGCGCTTCGAAAGACGAACGCGACGCACGAGGTGGAAGTCGACTGGAACTCCGTGTCCGTCCCGAGTCGCAGTCTGACGCAGGTGAAGCGACGGTTCAAGGAGATGAAGCGCTTCATCCGGAAGAACCCTCATCGTATTAAGAATTTGTCGCTCGCGGACATGCTCGACAAGATGACGGAAGAGTTCGCCCCTGAGCTGATAGGGGTTGATCTGACTCTGCCCGGGCAACCGGTTCTCTCGGCGCAGTGAGGCATTTTTTTCATTCGTACGACGTACGAACGAACGCGAACGACGTTTGCGTGATAGCATGACCTAGCTTGATGTTCTAATCTCTCCGTAGTCTACGTCAAACGTCGCCGGGGCTACCGGCATCGCTTGTAGTTTTTCTAAATCCGGCCGCAACTCGAGCGGGAACCCCTCCGCGTATTGCTTCGCGCACGCCGCGCAAAAGCGTTTGGTGAAGAACAACGAACACGTCGGCTGCGCGCACACCGGACGCGAGCACACGTTGCAGTCCGCGCCTATGAACAGCGGGCGTTTCACGTCCGCGAACGGGTCTCGCCGGAAGTATCCGTCCTCGAGGAAAACGATCGACGGTTCGTACGGTGGCGTGCGCCCTTTGTACTCGTAGTTGATCTCGATCCCGCAGCACTTACACTCGAAGGTTCGCATCGTTAAACCCGAGGCCTCCGGCTTGGCGTCCTCTCGCGGGTTCCGCTCCATCTCTCTCCCCTCGCCGTTGGTCGCGCGCTCGCCGTCGCCGCGCGCGGGTTTCGACGCGCGACGCTCCTCGTGCCCGCGAGAGTGGCCGGCGTCGCGAACGAGAAGTCTGGTCCACCTGTTCGACCAGACCTGACCTGACTCGCGAAAACAGTACGACCAGAACGCGCTTCTAAGATCCGTTTGCCTCGCGTGGTCGGGTCACAACACCCGGACCCCACCCCGAGGGAAGGAACGCGCGCGAATTATCGCGGGGTCATCGCGTCATGAGCCTACACGAGGGACTCAAGATCGCTCAAAGCGACGATAGAGGCCGGCACGTCGTGGCGACGACGGACATCGCGCGAGGTGCGCGAGAAGACGGAAACGCGTCCTTTCGTCCCTCCCCACGCCACGCCCTTCGCGTCTGACCGACGCTCCCTCGTCCATCGCGCAGGCGAGCTTCTGCTGTCCGAGGAGTGCACCGTGGCGATGACGTATCGCGACTTAGAATCCCCTTACTGTAGCCAATGCGTCAAGCCCATGGTAGACGAGACGCCCGTAGAGTGCGAAGGTTGTTTCCTCGAACGTTACTGCTCGAAATCGTGCGCGGAGGCTGCGGAGGGATCGCACCACGCGCGCACGGGCGAGTGCGCCACGTTCGCGACCGCTGTAGACGCGGAGGCGGCTACGCTCATCGAAGGCACCGATCACTCCGAGTTCGAGTTCGACGACGCGCCGCAGAGGTTCATCATCAGGGTGTTGTGTCAGGCGGGCGGGTGGCGCGAAAGAGGCGGCGGGATAACCGGCGAGGCCACGCTCCGGAGGCTCCTGAAACTCCAATCGCACGAGCCGGAGGTGGACTCGGACGAGCGCGAGTGGCTCTCGGGTATCGCGCGAAACACGCTGCGCCTGATGGAGCAGGACGTGGACGAAGGCGTGAAAGTGTTCGGGGAGAAGGACGCCCCGGGGTACGGCGTTGAAGAGCTCGTGCGGTTGATGTGTTGCGTGCGGTGCAACTCGCACACGCTGTACGCGAGCGAGGAGTGGCCGTCCGAACCGGTCGGGACCGCGGTGTACTTGAAAGGCTCCGCGTTCAACCACTCGTGCTTGCCCTCGGCGGAGTTTTACAACGAAGGGACGTCTCTGCGCGTCAGGAGCGTCAGAGACATTAGCGCCGGGGAGGAGGTCACGATCAGTTACGTCCCCGTGACCGAGACGCTTTGGGACCGGAGGCAAGCGCTGTGGCGGCAGTATAAGTTCGACTGCGAGTGCGACCGGTGTATTTTAGAGGAAGAAGACGAAGAGAAGATGAACTTAGGCGGGGGGGCGGGTTCAAGCGCCGTGGACGTGTCGCGACGAGATGTCATTTGAACCAAGTCGTTGTGTCGTTCTCCACAAGCTATCACTCGTCGACCGAAACCCACGAACTCGTAGGCTTCGACGTGGGTTTGGGATTCCGTTCGCTCTCCGGCGGGTCCTCCGCCGGTTTCCCCGCGTCCTCACTCGGCGGCGTTACCTTCTCTAACCCGCGCGCGGCGTTCCGCTGCGCCGCGGTGAGACCCTCCGCGGGCGGCTCGTCCGTCCTCGATTTTTTCCCGGCGCCGTCTCCCTCGCTGCCCTCGTCGAGCGCGCGCTTCCCCGCGCCGCTCGTCCCCGCCGCCGCCTCGCCCCCGGGCTCGCGAGGGGCCGTGAACCCTACGTCGTCGCCGCCGCCGCCGTTGCCTCCGTTCGACGCGCCCGGCTCGTCGTCGTCGTCGTCTTCTTTGAAGTAATCCTCCTCGCTCTTGTCCATCGAGCCGTCCGGTCGCCTCCTCGCCGCGTCTATCGCCTGCTGCGCGGCCATGCCCTCGCGCGAGTAGTACCCCTCACCCGCGCCCGCGCCTTGCGTCTGTTGATCCCCCTCCCCGATCGCGTCGCCCGTCCCCGGCGGCTGTTGCCCTTGCTGATACCGCAGCTTCAGTAAACGAAACGTGTCCACGTACGTCACCTCCGCGAACACCGGGTCGTACAGCTCGACGAGGTGAACGATCAAGTTCTTGATGTTCTCCCTTCGAATGAAGTCCACGAGCTCTAAAACCGCGCTATTCAGCATGTTGTACCGCGTCCCGTTCGCGGTGAACACCTTCACGACCGGCGCGAAGAGGGCATTTTTGATGATGTACCGGTTGTAAAACTCATCCTTCAGGCCGACGCACGCGCGAAGGAACCGCACCGCGGCGACGACGAGGTACTTCTCCCTTCGCTGCGTCAGCTTCAGAACCTTCTCCACGACGTTATTTCTCAAGACGTAGTACTTGATCCGGAAGCTGTGGTGCTGCACGCAGAAACACAGAAGCTCGATCGTCTTCACGAGCGCCCACGCTGGGACGACGGAATTCGTCTCCCCGCCCTCTCCTCCCCCCGGCCCGGGCTCGTCCCTCACCCCCGCGTTCACGGACGTGACGAGACGGTCGACGTACGTGTCGTAGAAGAGCTCCAAGAACCCGCTCTTCTCGACGGGCTGGTCCATCGTCTCCGGGTCGAGCATCAGCTTCAAGAGCTCGAACAGCTGCGCTTGTAACCCCTCCTCGCCCTCGACGAAGAGCGTCACGATGCGTTCGAACAACGCGTGCTGATCTTGCTTCACGAGGAACGCCCTGAGCGCGCTCGGGTCGTTGTGCAGCGTGGACATCAACACGTCCGCGCCCTTGAGCTGCGACGACTCCGAGTCCGTCTTCAGGACGTCCGTGAGGACGTAAAACAGTCCGTGTTGCACGAGCGCGGCGAAGAGCGACCCGCGCTGTTGAATCTGCAAATGTTTCGCGAGCGAGCACAGCTCCTGAAGGAACCCCACGAGGTCGTCCCAGTCCGGGTTCGTCCTCGGCGTGTTGTCCAACCGCGCGAAGAGCTCTTTCAAGAACGTCGGGTCGTTCTGCAGCGCGAGCACGACCTCGACGTTGTTGAAGAGCATGATGCTCGTCAGCGTTCCGAACGTCGCGTCGTCCAACACCCTCGGGAGGATCACGTCCTTGAGGTATCCTATCCTGTACGTCTGATGAATTTTCGCGCGCACGTCCGCGTCTTGAATCGGCACGACCTCTTTGAACACGACGCTGTCTCTCAGGAACACGCGGTGCTGCGTCCTCTCCACGGGCTGCTCGCCTCCGCCGCCGCCGCCGCCGCCGATCGTCTCGCCGCCGTCCTCCGCCGCGTTCAGGCCGACGAGATCTGGGTCGTACTCCAGCGCCCCGACGACGTCCATGACGTTATCGTCCCTCAGCAGCTCGTCGAACAGCGCCGCGTCGTTCAGGAGCACCAACCCGCGCACGAGCCTGTACATCATGTGCAGCCCGTCTTGGTCGTCTAAGTCTTCGCACGTCTTGAAAAGATCCAAGAGCTTCCGGAGGTACCCGTTCTGAAGGACCAACGATGCGATCTTCTCGCGCGCGAACGGCGAGCAGTCCACGACGATCTTCACGAGCTCGGACATCGTCCCGAGCTCCGCGGGCGGAAGCTCCGACGGTCCGGTCCGCTCCGCGGAGTCTTGGTAGAAACTGTCCCCCGGCGCGCTTCCGAATTCGTACTCGTCCACGGCGCCTCTTCGCATTCGTCCGGGGAGGTCGCCGTCCGCCGCGGATTTCATGTCGTGCTTCGCGTACGACAGCTGCACGGACTTGATCTGCTCCCAGATGTAGTTGCACCCGACGGCTTCCTGGAAACTCAGCGCGATGTCCGTGTTTATGTCCGGATCTGTCCACGTGATGATCGTGTCCCCTCCCTGTCGTTGATAGATGTCCTCTCGCGAGATTCGATGCACGAGCAGAGGCTGCTGGTCTTCCTCGGACACGACGACTAACCCCACGGAGTCGGATTGCTGCGCGAAGAACGAGAGGAAGAGAGGAAGGGGTTGCCCGGGGCAAAGTTAGCGACGTGATGCGCAGGAGAGAGCGACGTTTGGGAGAACGCGTCGTCGCCGATCAACCCTAAAAAAATCGCATTGGCATTTTGAAGCGGCGGACTGGCGCGCGATCGCGACGCACCTCCATGTACTCGCACGAAACATGACCGGTCCCTTTATCGTCCCAGTGTCCGCTGTCGTTCAGACGATATACTTTGACTCTCTGGAGATTCGTGAAGTCCTCGGCAGGCAGGAGCTGCTCGTGCTGTGGCGCCTCCGACCCGGCCATCGCTTGCATTGTCGCCGCGTGCGTGAGACGGTGCCCGCCCGTCGCTCCCCCCAATATATCGCGCTACCACGGCGTCGTCGTGCACCCCCTACGACCCTAGCGCTACTACGGCGAAGTCGTGCACCCCCGACGACTCTAGTGCGACGACAACGCGCGTGCGCGCACTGTGGACGCGTGGATGGTGCCCACGCAATCAAACCGTGGCCGAGGCTGCCAAGAAAAAGCCTCGAAAAAAGCGGGAAACACGTTTTCAACCTCGAAGCGGGGTTGTTTCATCGGGGATTGATACCCGATGAAACTTGGAGGCTCATCGGAAGCAATGCTCAGGTATATACTTTTCAAAATCGGATTCGCGGTCAAGTTAATCGACACTGTGTCCGAGCGGTCTAAGGAGCAGGATTTAGGTAGGTTGTGGTCCTCGTGTTGAGGCCTCTTCTTATTCTTGAAAGAAACGTTCCTGTACGAAAGTGCGTGGGTTCAAATCCCACCGGTGTCACAACCTTTTTGAACCACTTCGCTGATGTTATTCATCATCTCTAATCATACTACTTCGCCGTCCTGGTCCCCCCCCGTCGTGCGACGTTACCACGCCTTCGTGACCTCGTCCGGCCGTAAAACACGGTTCGCGTTTTTGTCGGTGCCGTAATACTCCTCCTCCTCCGCACGCGCCTCCTTCTTCAACGCCGGCGCGCGGAACTCGCCGGTGACCTTCTGCTTCTTCTTCTTCCCGGACTTCTTCTCGTTCATGAAGTCCCTCCAACCGCCGACTCTGCCCTCGCGCGCTTTCTCGTCGTCCCACTGTTTCTGCGCTTTTTGTTTCTTCTTCCGCTCCGCGGCTTCGACTTTCTCCTCCGCGGTGACTCTCTCCTCCTCGGCTTTAATCCGAAGCGTAAGCTTCCTCCGCCGCCACTCCAAGTCCACGATGTTCTTCCGTCCCTCGAGTTTCCACCGCTCGTGGAACTCGTCGGACTGTAAGAACGCTTCTTGTTGCGCGTCCCGGTCCCCGTTGAACCGCACGCGCAACACGACGTCGTTTCGCGTCTCTTTCCTCCACGCCTTGATCACCGCGTCCTTCGCGCGAGAGAGGTTGAAATCGAGCTCGCGTCTGACTTCTTCCTGCGCTAAAAGTTGCTGCGCCTGACCGATCGCGTCGAACGCCGCCTTCGCGTCCGCGTGCTTGCACTTATCCGGGTGCACCATCAGCGAGACTTTCCTAAACGCGCGCTTGATCTGGTCCTCGGTCGCGTCGAACCTCAGGTTCAGGTGCTCGTAAGGGTTCAGCTTAAAGCACGACAAGATCCTGAGCACCTCCGCGTCGCGCGTCGCGTCCGAGACGTCGGCGAAGAACTCCTTCAGCAGAGTCTCGTCGTCTTTGATCTCCTCGATCGGCGGCGGCGCCGCCGACGCCGTCGCCGCCGCCGCCGCCGCGATCCGCTCCCTCTCCACCGCCGCCTTCTCCGCGCGCGCGTCCGCGTCGACGTCGTCATCCTTGTCCTTCTTCGCGGGGGCGTTCTCTGTCGCCGCCTCCGTCGGCGCCGCCGCGGTCGCGACGACGTTCGCGGGCCGCAAGTACAACTCCTCGCCGCTCGCGTCGATTCTGATTTGATACCGCTCGCGATCTGCGGCGTAGGAAACGACCGTCGCGCGCTGCCCGTTCAGGTCAGGCCGCGCCTTGAGGCCGTCCACGACGACGTTCGTGCTCGGCGGCATGATCGCGGGCGCGGGCGCGGTCTCCTCCGCCGCCGCGGGGGGCGGTTCCGTCGCCCCCGACGCGGCGTTCAAATTCACCTCGCGCAAGTAGAGCTCCTCGCCTCCGTCGCGCATTCGGACCTGGTATCGCTCCCTGTCCGCGGCGTACGCCACCACGGACGCGACCTTGCCGTTCAGGTCCGGCCGGGCCTTCAGCCCGGCGACCTCCACGACGGTCCCGCTCGCGAGCGTCGCCATCGTGCGGCGGCGCCTCCAGATCTGAGAGCGCAGGAAATCGACGGCGTTTCGAGAACCGCGCGGTCGGCGCGGATAAAGTCGTCAGGGCGTAGGGCTTGGGTGGCATCGTCGCGCGCGCGTCCACACGCACGCACGTCGCACAGCGCAAACTCGGCCTCGCGCGCATCATGCAACGCGCGCTCGCCGCGTCGGTGCGCTGCTACGGCCGCGCCGCTCCCAGCGCGCGTCACGCGCGCGGAAGAGCTGCCGGCGCGCTCGCGTCGTCTCCGGCCACGTCGCGCGCCTCCTCCGTCGCGAGCGCGTCGTGGGGTCGCCGCGCGGAGTCGACGACGCTCGTCCTCCCCGCGTCGCCGTCGCTCGCGAGCTTCCGCGTCGTCGGCGCGTCTCGCGGTTCCGCGCGTCGCGCCGTCCGCGTGACGCGCGCGGTCTCGACCGCCGCGCCCGCGGCGTCGTCGCAGCCGACGTCTCCGAGATCGACGTCGCCGTCCAATCCGAACGCGCCGACGTTCCAGGACGCCATCCTGCGCCTGCAGCAGTACTGGTCGAGCCAAGGGTGCGCGATATGGCTCCCGCACAGCACCGAGGTGGGCGCGGGGACGATGAACCCCGCGACGTTCCTGCGAGCGCTCGGCCCGGAGCCGTGGAGCGTGTGCTACCCGGAGCCGTCGATTCGCCCGGACGACAGCCGGTACGGGGACAACCCGAACCGCGTGCAGCGGCACACGCAGTTCCAGGTCATCCTGAAGCCTGACCAGGGGAACGCGCAGGAGCTGTACTTGGGCTCGCTGGAAGCGCTGGGGATCGACACGAGAGCGCACGACCTGAGGTTCGTCGAGGACAACTGGGAGTCCCCCGTGTTGGGCGCGTGGGGTTTAGGCTGGGAGGTTTGGCTCGACGGCATGGAGGCGACGCAGTTCACGTACTTCCAGCAGTGCGGCTCCCTGAAAGTCGCGCCCGTCGCGGTGGAGATCACGTACGGGTTAGAGAGGATCTTGATGTCGTTGCAGGGCGTGGACCACTTCAAGGACATCAGGTACAACGACGCGATGACGTACGGGGAGATGCTGCTTCAGAACGAGTACGAGATGTCCATGTTTAACCTGAAAGAGGCGGACGTCCCGGCGCATCAGACGCGGTTCGAACTCGCGGACAAAGAAGCGAACCGGATGCTCGAAGCGCGGCTGCCGTTGCCCGCGTTCGATCAGCTCCTGAAGGCGAGCCACACTTTCAACATCCTGGACGCGCGCGGCGCCGTCGGCGTCACCGAGCGCGCGAAACTCTTCGCGAGCATGCGAAAGCTCGCGAGAGAGTCCGCGCAGCTGTGGGTGGAGCGCCGAGAAGAGCTCGGATACCCGCTCGGGGAGTGGGAGCAAGCCGCGGTCGGGGACCCGGTCGTCTCGAAGGCGCCGCCGCCGACGGAGGCGGCGGATTTCTTCGTCGAGATCGGCACTGAAGAGCTCCCGGCCGCGGACGTCACCACCGGCGCGAAGCAGCTCTTGAACGCGGTGAAGGCGTGCCTCGAGACCGCGGGGTTAAAGCACGACGGCGTGACGTACGGCGCGACGCCGCGACGCATGGTCGTCAGAGTCGCGAACCTCGCGGCGTCGCAGGAGAGCAAAGAAGAACGCAACCGCGGTCCGCCGCTGTCGCGCGCGTTCGAGGAGGACGGCACGACGCCGACGAAAGCGGCTCTCGGTTTTTGCAAGAAGAACGGCGTCGACCCCGCGGACCTGGAGAAGGATGGCGAGTACATCTGGGCGAACGTGAAGACCACGGGCAAAGCCGCCGTGGACGTCTTGAAGGAAGCGCTCCCGGGGATGGTGTCGTCGATCAACTTCCCGAAGACGATGCGCTGGAACAGCGAGTCGACGTTCTCGCGACCGCTCAGGTGGCTCCTCGCGATGCACGGCGAGCACCACGTCCCGTTCACCGCGCTGAACGTCCCGTCCGGGTCCACGACGCGTCTGTTACGGAACAGCGCGACGCCGGTGGTGGAGGTGAAGGACTCGGCGCACCACGCGTCCGCGCTCGCGGCGGACACGATCGAGATCGACTTCGAGGCGAGGAGGGAAATGATCTGGTCCACCGCGGGCGAGCTCGCGGCCGGCGTCGGCGGCGTCGTCCCCGCGAGCTCGGGCGAGCCCGGCGGGCTCATCGACGAGGTCGTCAACCTCATCGAGTCCCCGACGCCGATTCTCGGGAACTTCGACGCGGCGTTTCTGTCCCTCCCGAAGGAAGTTTTGGTCATGGTCATGCGGAAGCACCAGCGGTACTTCCCCGTGGAGAACGCGGAGACCGGGGACCTGCTCCCGCATTTCGTCACCGTCGCGAACGGCGCCGTGGACCCGGACGCGGTTCGCCACGGGAACGAGTGCGTGCTCAAGGCGCGGTACGACGACGCGCAGTTCTTCTACGAGGCGGACACGAGCAAATCTTTGGCGGACTTCAAACCGAAGCTCGAGGGTATCACGTTCCAGACCGAGCTCGGGACGATGCTCGAGAAGACGGAGAGAGTGGAGAAGCTCGCGCCGACGCTCGCGAGGGCGTTGGGGTTCAGCGACGCGGACGCGAAGGTCGCCGCGGAGGCTGCCGCGCTCGCGCGCGCGGATCTCGCGACGCAGCTCGTGCAGGAGTTCACCTCCCTCGCGGGCGTCATGGGGAAGCACTACGCCACCAGGGAAGGCCTTCCCGCGCCCCTGTGCGACGCGATCTTTGAGGCTGCGCTGCCGAGGTCGTCCGGGGATCTCCTCCCGACGTCCAACGCGGGCGTCGCCGTCGCCGTCGCGGACAGGTTGGACACGCTCGTCGGCCTCTTCGCCGTCGTCGGCGCGCCCAAGGCGACCGCGGACCCGTTCGGGCTCCGCCGCGCCGCGTACGGCGCCGTGCAGGCGCTCGTGTCGTCGAACGTCCGGTGCGACCTTCGCGCGGCGCTGAAGGAGGCGGCGGCGCTGCAGCCGGTGACGTGCGGGGATGACGTCGTGACGGAGTGTCTGGAGTACGTGACGCGGCGCCTGGAGCAGTTCCTCGTCGACGACGGCTGCGGCGCGGAGGTGGTTCGCGCCGCGCTCGCGGAGCGCGGGGGCGACCCCGCGCTCGCGGCGACGACCGCGCGCGCGCTCGAGACGTTCGTCGGCGGCGACGAGCTCAAGGCTGCGATCGCGGTGCTCGCGCGTCCGACGCGTCTCGTCCGAGGCAAGGAGCTGCCGGAGGATTTGGAGGTGAAGAGGGAGAGTTTCGCGGAGGAGGAGGAGACGGCGCTGTGGGACGCGTACGAGAAAGCCGCGGCGAAGATAGGGGACAAGTCCACCGCGAGCGTGGAGGACTTGCTGAGCGCCGCCGCGCTGCTCGTGGAGCCGTCCGAGGCGTTCTTCGATAAGGTGTTCGTCATGGCGGAGGAGCCGGAGCTCAGAAGGAACCGCCTCGCGTTGGTGAACGCGGTGGCGTCGCTGCCGAACGGCGTCGTCGATCTCGTGGAGATGCCGGGATTTTAATTTAAAACCAGCCCTACAGCGCGCGATGCAACGCGTCTACCTACGAAACACGCGCGCTCGCGCTCCCTCAGTTCTCTAAGTTGTACTTGTTCGCCTTGAACAGCGCGAGCTTGTACGTGTACTGCGTCACCGGCTCGCCCTTCGACTCTAAAAACCCGCGGTCGAAAGACGTGAGGTAATCGTACACGTTCTGCGACGCGACGACGACCGGGCCGTCCCCCGCCTTCTCCACCGGGCGGAACTTCCACTTCGTGTACGTCCGCGACGACTTCACCTTTGGCGGGGCCCCTCGAGCGTCCGGGGTCTCGACGAACGCGCCCGCGCCCCCCGCGGGTCGATCGCCGCCGAAACCGTCCGCCCCGGTGACAGCTGTCAACCCGTTCCCGCGGTCGCCGCCTTCGAACACGATCTGCGCCACCTCCGAGGTCTCGATCCGGTCCGGCTCTGGGTACTCCTCGCTTCTCTGATTCACGCGGAAGAACACGCTCCGACCGTCCCCCGGGAGGACCGCCCGCAGCGTGTTCGGGTCGTCCACGTCCCACTCCACGTCCCTGATGACGTCGTACGCCTTGGCGGTCGCCTCCGCCATCGTGACGACGTTGTACGATCGATCCATGACCACCTTCCCCAGGCCGTTCCTGATGAACCGCATCGGGTACGCGATCTGCTTCCCGATGTCCCCTCGCGCGCGCTGAATCACCGCCATGTCCTGCACCAGATCCTCCCCCTGCGGCGTCGTCACGGCGGTGAGCGTGCTGTAGCAAATGAAGGTGCCGACGAAATCATCCGGGAACGTGAGGTCCGACGGCGCGCCGCTGAGCGCGGACCACGCCTCGGAGACCGCGCCGTTCTGCATCGCGGTCGCGCGGGGGGGCGGAGCGGCCGCGAGCGCGAGCGTCGCGGCGGAGAGGAGCGCGCGGCGGCTCGGGGCCGCCGCGCCCGGCGGGGCGCCATCAGCGGGATTCGCGCCGTCGTCGTCGTCGTCGACGACGGACGACGACGACGACGACGGAGGCGCGCGTCGCGTCGACGCGGGCCTCCGCGTCTTCGCGCGCCGAAGCGCCTTCGGGCACGGGCACGTCTCCCCGCGCGGGCACCCGGAGCAGTGCTCGACCTCTCTGGTGGACAGCGCGCGCGCGGCCGAGGCGCGCGCGGCCGTCGCCGACGTCGGCGCGGCAGCCAGCGCGCGCATCGTGCTCTGCCGCTCCTCGGCGCGGGAAGGCCACGTGGCGGCGTTCAGAGCCAGGAACGCGAACGCTCGAGACCGCGTCGCGGCCGCGAATCGTCGCGCACTGCGCCATGCCCTCCGCCGCGCTCGCCCGCTCCCCCGTCCCGAGCGTCCGCGCCCCCGCGGGCGCGGCCAACGCTCGCGTCAACCGCGCCGCGCGCGTCGTCTCCCGCGCCGTCGCCGAGGACGCGCCCCCCGCCGCGGCGGTCCGCGCCTCGGTCGCGGAGGACGCGGACGCGAAGTGCGCGGAGACGAAGAAGCGGCTCGTCGCGGTCGCCGCCGCGTCCGGCCGCGGCCTCGACGCGACGGCCGCGCAGAAGGCGTCCGCGGCCGCGCTCGTGGACGCCCTCGTCGCGGCGAACCCGACGCCCGACCCGACGACGAGCGAGCTCGTGAACGGCGACTGGGAGCTCGTCTACAGCGACACGCACCTGTTCCGCTCGTCGCCGTTCTTCTGGGGCGTCGGCAAGATGATGGGCTCGACCGCGGACTTCTTCTACGCCGCGCACTCGCACCAGACCGGGATGTTCGGCGGCGGCGTCGGGCGCGTCGTGCAGTCGATCGACGTCGCCGCCGGGACGCTCGTGAGCGACTGCATCGTGAAGGCGTCGCTCGGGATCCCGCTCCTCGGATTCTCGCCCGTCTTCTCCGGCTTCGGCTCGGTGATCACGAAGGGGAGGTTAGAGCCGCTCGATGGGACGCGGTTCTCCGTCGTCGCGGAGACGACGACGGTGCGGCAGGATGACACGAGCGTCATCCCGGCGCTCAACTTCCTGAACGGCACCACCGTGCCCGTGGAGGACGCGATGAAAACCGTCGGCGGCGGCGAGGCGGGGCCGGAGGCGTTTCTCGACGTGACGTTCCTGGACGACGAGATGCGCATCTCGAAGCTCGAGGACGGCAGCGTGTTCGTGTACCAGCGGTGCTGAGGGATGGTCGAGCGCGGTGTGAGTTGATGACGGTAGTTCTTTTATAGAAATAAACGCACGTGTAATGTACTTTCGTACTTGACAAATAATTCAACGCGTGTGTCAAAGGTCGACGCCGTCGTAAGAAAAGGAAGATTTACGGCTGCGGCGACTTCACGAGCTTCACCGCTTTCGTCTTCTTCGTGAGGAGGTAGATGTGCATCAGCATGAACACCGCGCCGATCGCGAGCATGATCCCGACGTCCTTCCCGACGTTGTTAGCGCTGCTGATGCTCTGGTAGTTATCCCCGAGCGAGTCCAGAACCTGCTTCCCCGTGCGCCCGTAGCACTGCAGGATGTTATCGGCCCCGCACGTGAACCCGCGCGAGTCCGAGGCGTCGATCTCCGCGCCCGAGAAGGTCGTGTCGCTGTACTCCAAATACAGCAACGAACGGAAGCACCACTTCAGCGGGAGGATGGAGAAACCGACGCGGAACGGCCACACGACGTCGTCCTCCGCGACGAGGACGCCGTTGAACAAGAACGACGCGAACCACACCTGAAGGAACACGAGCATTCCGAGCAGAGGGTTCGCGAAAGACACCGAGAGGAGCTGCGCGACTCTCTCGTACACCCACAAGTTGATCGCGTACACGAGCATGAACTGGAAGTAGTTGTCGCCGTAGTAGTTCGCGATGCCGTACAGCGAGATGCTCAGCGCGCACATCGCCATCAAGATGATCAGCGGGACTTGAATCACGAAGTTCGCCAAGAGGTACGACACCGGCGAGAGCATCCCGTTTTTCACCTCGCGTTTGATCGCGTAGTACTCTTCGTTGTACGTGTGCACGGCGACGACGCCGAGCGACGCGGGGACGCCGATGTGCCACAGTGTGAGCCACAACCGCGCGAGAACTTGGGTTTGTTTCCGATCCCGCGCCTTGATGTAGATGATGCTGAAGAACACGCACGCGTTGATGAACATGACCATCCTTCCGATGTACAACGACGGGTCGCGAATCGTGAGCTTTCCGTGCCGCCGGACGAGCGTCGCGACCTGTCTCGCGCAGTTCGTGCAGTGCACGTAGTCCGTTGGGAGGCCGACGACGGGCTCGCGCCGCGTCGCGTCCACGTCGGACTTGGCCTCTTTCTTCGCCCACTCCGCGAGGACTTCGTCCACGGACTCCGGGTCCGTGAACTCCGCGTTCACGAGGTCGAGCATAAATTCGGCGGGGTTCGTGTTCGGCGGCATCTGATGTCCAATCTCTCTGAAATACGGCAGCGCCTCCGCGGCGGCGCCGAGGAACGCGATGCGGCCTTTGGACAGAAGCATGACTCTGTCGAAACCGTTGTACACCGCGGACGAGGGCTGGTGGATCGTGCACACGATGGCGATGTTCGCGGCGACGGCGAGGTCCTTCAAAAACTTCATGATGGACGCCGCGGCGGCGGCGTCCAGCCCGGACGTCGGCTCGTCCAGGAACAGCACGAGCGGGTTCGACAGCAGTGCGATGGCAAGGGAGAGCCTTCGCTTTTGTCCCCCGGACAGACCGGAGAAGAACGCGTTCCCTACTTTCGTGTCCGCGCAACCCGTGAGCCCCATGGTGGCGAGCACGGCGTCCACGCGCGCGGTCTTCTCCTCCTTGGGAATGTCCAAGTACAGATCCGCGGCGAACGCGACCGTCTCGCGGCACGTGAGGAACGCCCAGTGCTTGTCCTGCTGCGGAACCGTCGCGCAGAACTTCGTGAAGATGTCTTTGTTCATCGTCTCGCCGTTGAGTCGCACCTCGCCGACGGAGTCCCCGTTCTTGCTCTCGAGCGTGAGGAGGTCGATGAGGCACGTCTTCCCCGCGCCGGAGGGGCCCATGATCGCGAGGACCTCGCCGCTGTTCACGCTGCCGGTGATGCCGTGGAGGATCGTCTTGATCGGCTTCTTCGCGATGGACCGCGAGACGAAGTCTTGCACGTTCCCGGTGAACTCCACGCGCTCCTCGACGGAGTACTTGACGTCCTTGAACGTGAGCTGCGAGTTTTTCGCCTGGTTCGACGACAGGAGCTCGAGCGCGGGGTTCGACCCGCGGGACGCCATCTTCCTCATCTTGATCTTCTGCAGGGACTCGGGGTCGACGGAGTCCGCCATGGCGAGGCGTTCGGTGTGTTTTTTTTTACCACAAGTGCTCGTGCGTCGCGCTGTGAGAGCGCGTCGCGTCGAGCGCGACGCGCCGCATTCCGTGACAGCTGAGTGATGAGCTGATGACAACCGCGTGTGTCACCCTGCCCTGTTGTCAGAGATCTGGTGTCCGAAATTTATGCGGCCATAAAATTTGACTGAACTTCGAGGGAATTAATTAACTCAAGGATCACGGTCTATTTTCCCAGCATACGTAAAACATTTACATGGGGTGCCCTAAGTTCGTACGTGCCCTAAGTTCGTACAGGCCATGTTTCGGAGTTTCGGAGACCTGGACCACCCTACACTTTCACGGCGCGCAGCCTCCCAACGGGACGAAACGCCGCGAAACTTCGTAATTCGACATTTTATTATGGGACCTGCCCACCAGCCTGATTCTAAGATGTCTCACTCCGCGGCGTCGCCCGCCTCTTCCGGCGCCCTCTCCTCGTCGCCCTCCCCCTCCTCCTCCGCTGCCTCCTCAGCGACGACGCCCGCTTCCTCCTCCGCCGCATCCGCCGCCTCCTCCTCGTCGCCGTCCACGTGCGCGCGCAACCCGCCCTCGCCGTCCTCGAGCTTCACGTCCGCGCGTTGGAAGTGCGGGGGCACGGGCGGAAGCGTCATCTCGCTCAGTCGCTCCGTCGCCGGCGTGCTCGACCAGCTCGCGTCCGCGAGGGCCTTATCCCGCATGATCCCCCTCTCCTTGACCGCGTCGTCGCGCTCTCTCGTCAACGCCGCGACCTGAGCTCTCAGCGCTTCGATCTCGGCGTCTCTCGAGGCGACCGCCTTCGCCGCCGCCGCCACCGCCTCCTCCGCGACGACGGCGCGACGCGCGAGATCGCCGCGCGCGTTCGCCGCCTTCGCGTTCGCCTCTGCGCGCGCGGACTCGATCGCCTTCGCTTTCCGACGCTCCACGGCCGCGAGCTCCGACCGCAGGAACACGTTCTCGTGCTCCGTCTTCAGCGCGGCGTCTAACGCTCGGTCGTAGTGGTCCTTCACCTTCTCGAGCAGCGGACGGTACGTCGCGAACGCGTTGATGAACGCCTCGAAGGTCTGGCGATGCGCCTCCAAGGCGAGCACGCCGGAAGGGTCGTACGCGTCCTCGATGGGCTCGTGCGACGCCGCGCCCCACCGCCCGGTCTTCGCCTCCGCGAGTTTCCCCGTCTGCCGAAGTTTCTCCTGAAGGAGGCTCTCGAGCTGAAGCAGCAACGCGGGCTTCCTCGCGCCCTGCCTGGGGAACACCTCGTAGTGGTTGTGCTCGTCGCTCGCGCCCGCGCGATCGCCGCCGCGCCGGGACGATCCCCCGGTCGCGGGCGCGTTCCCGATCCCCGTCCCGCGCGCGGAGCTCTCTTTCAGCATCGACGCCCCCTGCGCGCTCGCCGCGCTCGCGGCGAAGCGCAGCGCGTCGTCGCGCGTCCGCCGCGGGCCCGTCCTCGCGGCGCCCATCAGAGGCCCGCCCCTTCGCGGGGACGAGTCGTCGCCGTACGGGTCCGTCCCGTCCTCCGCGTCCATCCACGGCGGGCGGTCCGCGCCGTCCAAGCCCATCGGCGGTCTCGCCGCGTCGTCGTCGAGAAGGTTCACGCTCCCGAGGCCGCGCACGGGGGAGGACAGCGTCGTCATCGCGCCGTGTGCCGAATTAAGCGATTAATTATTTCTTCGCGAGGCGCGCGATTCGCTCCCCTCGCTGGGCGTCCGCTTCGGGGACGCCGCTGCGGCGTATCGCGCGCGGGGTGTGTATTCGCGCGCGCTAACACGCGTGGACGTGAAGACGCGTCCGAGGATGACCCGTCGGACGTGCACGTGCGCGCGCGATACTGCCTCGGGAGCGGATCCCCGGCGTGATTTTATCGCCCGGGACGACGCGACTCTCTGCTCGCTCTCAGGGCCGTTCCATACAAAAACAGTTCTCCGGTCAGTTGAAAGGGGACGCGATCAAATGTTGAAACCGGGCGATGGGTGAAAAACTTTTGTATAGAACGCACCTCAGTCTCTGCTGCTCGCGGCACCAAACGCCGCGGCGAGATTCCCGAGGCGATCCCTCAGAGCGCGCGCCGCCGGGCGCCGCGAACGCGCATGCCGCTCGGAGGGGTCTCGCTCAGACCCCTCCGCGTCTTGACCTCCCTCCATCGCGCGTCGCTTCCGCGGCGCCGCGCGAACGTCCTCCTCCGCGGACGCGTCGCTCCGTCGAGACCTTCCTCGTCGTCGTCCGCGCGGCGTGCCGAGTCCGCGATGTCGTCGTCGTCGTCGTCGTTCTCCGGTCACGTCGACGCGCGGTTCGCGGACGACCTGGGCGACCCGAACGCGGTGACGATCACGATCGACCTCCCGGACCCCGTCGGCGCGAAGACGATGCGTCGCGCCGCGGACGAGCCATTGGAGAAGGCGCTGACGCGGCTGAGGGCGACCATCGACAAGGCGAAGCGCGCGCGAAACTCGAAGGGAATCTCCGCGTCGTCCGGCGGAGGAGACGAGTCCGCGCCGCCGCCGACGCTCGCGGAGTCCGCCGCGAGCGACGCCCCGCCGGTGCCGCCGTCCACCCCGAACCGCGACGCGTGGACGGACGGCCGCGCGCTCGTCGTCGACGGGAGGAAGTACGTCGTCCGCGTGAACGCGCCGCTCGTCGCCGGCGCGCGCGTCGCCGGGCTCAAACGGCCGGCCGCGTCCTATCCGCTGACGGCGGTCGCGGACGGGTGCCGGTTCGTCCGCCCGGACGACCTCGCCTGGCGCTGGTTCAGAGACGACCGCGTCCTGGTGGGCGAGGGCTGGGCGTACACGCCCACGGACGAGGACGTCGGCGCGACGTTGCGCGTCGAGGCGACGGCGCCGATCAGCGGCGTTCGCGTCGCGTCGCCGCCGTCGGGCATCGTCGCGGCGGCGCCGGCTCGCCCCGCCGCGCGCGAGCGGCTCGCGTCGCTGGGGGAGCCGCGCGTCGACGGCGTGCGCGTCATGACGTACAACGTCCTCGCGGACGCGTACTCGCACACGTGGTCGCAGCTGTATCCGTACTTGTCCCCGGCGAACGCGGACGCGGAGGGACGGCTTCCGAAAGCGATGGAGGACGTCCGACTCGCGCGGCCGGACGTCGTGTGCTTACAAGAGGTGGACGCGAAGTGGTACGACGCGTTCTGGGTCCCTCAGATGCGCGTGGCGGGGTACGCCCCCGCCGGGACGCTGAGCGAGAAGACCGGGCTCACGCGCGAGGGCGTCGCGACGTTCGCGCGCGCGGATCGATGGCGCGTCGCGACGTCCGCCGTCGTGTCGTTGACGCGACCGGGGCCCTCCCCGGCGGAGTCCGCGACCGAGGCGTGGATACGCACGCAGCCCGCGCTGGAAGAGGCGCTCGGGAAGGTGTCCACGGTGGGACAGATCGCCGTCCTCGAGCCCGTGGCGGCGGGCGGCGCCGACGGCGGGCGGCGGCGACCCATCGTCGTCGCCAACGCGCACTTATTTTTTCACCCGGGCGCGACGCACCTCCGCGTGCTGCAAGCGCGATGGCTCCTGCGCCACGCGGAGACGCTCCGGCGGGCGTGGGGTCGCGACTCCGGCGCGGGCGACGACGTCGGGCTGATCGTCTGCGGCGACTTCAACGGCGAGGCGCACGACGGCGTCGTGAGATACGTCGCGGACGGGACGCTGCGCGCGTCGCACTCGGACTGGGCGCTGGGGAGCGTGTTTCGATGGGGCGGCACGAGCTCGCGGGCCGCGGCGAAGGCGCTCCTCGCCGTGACGACGGAGGGAGAGGCGAGGGAAGAAGACGAAGACGAAGACGCGAGGGAAGAAGACGAAGACGAAGACGCGGGCGACGCGGAGGAAGAAGAAAGCGAACGCGCGAGCTCGACGAGGGAGATGAACGAGAGGCAGCAGAGACTCGGGCGGATGACCGCGTGCTGGAGGCGCGTCGCGGACGCGCAACGCGGCATCGCGCGCGCATGCGACGCTGACGTGTCAGCTGACGTGGCATCACCGACCATCGCGCGCCTGGCCGTCGCGCAGGCGCACGCGCGCGCGGGGTGCACGTTCAAGACGTGCGAGGTCGTCGCCGCGTACACGCTGCGCGCGGACGCGAGGATGACCCCCGGGACGTCGCTCGACGGGTTAGCCCTCGCGCCGTTTCCGAGGGCGTCGACGACGGAGGGAAAGGGAACGCCGCCGGAGTGGGCGCGCGGGGTCGACGACGCCCTCGACGCCGCCGGCGACGACGAAGGACGGCCGAGTCCCGACGCGCTCGAGGTCGCGCGCGCGGTCCTTCGAGAACTCCGCGCGCACGAGGAGGGACTGGCGCGCGCGTCGAGTTCCGCCGCGGAGGAGGAGGCGGCGGCGCTGTCGCGCTTGACCGCGGAACAGACCGCGACCGCGCGCGGGTGGCTCGCGCTGCCCATCGGCGCGTGCTCCATGCACCTGACGCATCCGCTCTCGATGACGTCCGCGTGCGGGTACGTCGAGTACACCAACTTCGTGAGAGGGTTCGTCGGGGCGTTGGACTGGGTCTTCGTCGACGGCGGCGATGACGACGGCGGAAAAGGAAGACGCGGGGGGTTGCGCGCGACGAACGCGACGGCGGCGCCGCCGCTCGACGCGCTGACGGCGGAGACCGCGCTGCCGAACTCGGAGTTTCCCTCGGATCACATCCCGATGGTCGCGGACTTGGAGTTCGCGAGCGAGTAGGTACCTTCGCAGCGCGCATATCTTATATATAGCGAGACCGGTAGACCGGGTAGTTCCTCAGCTCGACAGAGTGGTGGTCGGAACCTGACGGAAGTCACGGCGCACTCTCGCGCGCGCGATACCTCCCTTCCGCGAGATGCGCGCGGCGACGAGCGCGAGCGCGCTTCCCTCGTGCGCGCACAGACCGCCGTCCGCGCGCGTCCTCGAACCTTCCCGACGCCGCGGGCGCTGCCTCGCGCATCGACGCCCGTGGACCGCGTCGGCGGACGCGGACGCGACGTCCACGTGGCGCGTGCGCCAAGTCTACGGCGACGGGAAGGCGCTCCTGGACCAGCTCAGGGAGGTCGCGGCGCTCCTCGAGGAGGGGTTCAACGCCGCGGGGAGGAGTCAGAAGGACCTCACGAACGGGCTCGTGCAAAAGGTTCGTCTCGAACGCGCGGTCGCGCGTCGTCCGCGTCCGTCGCGTCGTCGATCGGTCGTCGATCCGATATCGTCGAATCGTCGTCCGTCCGTCCGTCCGTCCGTCCACCTCGACCCACCGCTCCTGACGCGCGCGTCTCCGATCGATCCTCAGGTGCGATGGAGCGGCGGTAACTTCGTGTGCCTCGTCGCGGACGACGGCGTGGACGGCAGCGAGCTCGTCGGCGCGTGCGACCTCACCCTCCTCCCCGCGTCCGGCCCGAAGCGCTCGAGGGAGGGACTCGTCGATCGCGTCCCGAGTCGCCTCGAACTGAACGACGAGGACGACTTCCTGTACCTCACCGGCATGGTCGTCCCGCCGCGGATGCGACGGAGAGGCATCGCGCGCGCGCTTCTGAAGCGCGCGGAAGCGCTCGCGCCGAAGATGCGCGGCGACGGGAAGGACGCGCCGCCGGTGTGCATCGCCCTGCACGTCTCCGCGGACAACGCGAGCGCGCGGGCGCTGTACGAATCCGCAGGGTACGTCGAAGTCGCGGAAGAGGGCGCGGCGAAGGAGAGAGAGGGCGGGTGGAGCTTCCCGGGGTTCGGCGGGCGCGGTGGGTCCGCGGGGAACGGCGTGCTCATGGTGAAACGGTTAGCGTCTTTAACGTCGTCGTGAAAACTCGCACGCGGCGCGTCTACTCCGATCCCCCCGCGGCGCCCGCGGACATGTTCCTAACGAACTTCGCAAACTCCGCGAAGTTCCCTTCCTCCATGAGCGTGTCGCACAGACGCAAGAACGTGAACGAGTGCATCCTCGCCGCGCGCGACGTCCCCGCGTCCCCGACGACGTTCGCGCCGCAGTTTTTCTCCGTCTGTCGAAACGCGTCGCCGTCGCAGCGAAACAACGCGTTCTCCGCGCTGATCTCCACGCCGTGCCTCTCCGCGGCGTTCACCACCTGCCTCAGCAAACCCTCCGGCCCGCACTTGTGGAACGGCGTGTGCTCCTTGTCCGCCATCTCCGCGCACGTAAACGTCACGCTCGCGCCGCTCCGCTTACACAGCGCCATGATCTTATCGTACCCGCTGCCGCCGAACCCGATGCCCCTCCCCCTCGAGCCAAACTCCGCGCTGTCGTTCGACAGCGACGACGAGCTCGAGCTGCTGCCAAGGGTCGATCTATACAAGCGAACGTCGGGGTGGAGTTGAAAGGCGTCAGACGGAGTCAAAAGGCGTCGAGGGCGGGTATTGAAAGCGAGGTGTGGGCGGAGAGAGACGACGGCAAAAGTCCTTAAGAAACGGCGTTCACCACGCCGACGCGGTCGTATGGGAACCAGCGTATAGAACGCGCCTGCTGCCGTTTCGAACCATCCTTCCCCGCAGCGCGCCGCCGTCGCCGCCGTGCGCGTCGCCGTGCGCGTCGCCGTGCGCGCTGGCGTTGTAATACCCCGTCGTGAGCTCCGCGGCGTGCGCTCGCGTTCTGTACCACCAGTGAATGCCCGCGCACTTGATCGCCAGCCTCGCGCCGACGCCGTCGAACGCTTCCCTCGCCGCGGTCAACACCCGCTCCCCGTGCGACACGAGCTCGTCGCTGTACCACGTGAGGAAGAACCGTCCGTAGTCGCTGTCCCACCGCCCGACCGGGGTGTCCGCGGCCGCGAGCGAGTCTAAACTCCGTCGGTGCGGCGCGTCGTAGCTCATCCGCCGACCGTCGAAGCTCCTCCGCATCCACTCTCCGTCACCCGGCCGCGGGCTTCCGCTTCCCCCCGGCGAGCCTTGACTGCTCGGCGACCGCGACAGCGGGTTCCCGCTCGGCGACCGCGATATCGGGCTGGATGCTAAGTTTGTGCTGCTCCTACTGTGCGAATAGTGCGACGGAATCCGCTCGCCGCGTCGCTCGCGCGTCTCGCCTTGTTCTCCGCGGCCGTCGGCGAAAAAACCGGTGTCGTCCGGGTGCGAATTGTAACTCCCCGCATCGTGCGGCCCGGCGCCGCCCCACTCCGGCCTCCCCACCGCGTTCGCAGCCGCGGCGAGAGACTCCAACGCGCGCCTGTCGTAGCACTGGAACTCCCCGACGCCCGGAAACTCCCACCCTCTGGACATCGCGTACGCGGGATATCTGAGCTCGCCGCACGGTCCGGCGCCGACGAGGATCTCGTCGACGACGGCGTTCGGCGGCGAGATGTACTCGCGGAACGCGTCGCGGAACGAGATCATCATGTCCCTGTAGCAGTCTATCGGCGTCCTCGGCGGCACGAGCGGCTCGTTCGCCGCTTCCGCGCTGAGGAGGGCGTCGGACGAGCTCGAGGACGCGAGCATCGGCATCGGGGAGTCGTCCGCGAAGAGCGAGATGTACTCGTCCGATCGCGTCCCCGCGCGGTCCATGAAGAGCAGCCCGTCCGGGTCGCGATTCACCGCGTCCGTGACCCACGACGGGAGCGGGACGTGGTAGTCGTCGTCCCGGTTCGCGCCGCACGCGTGGAACGAGAGCACCGCGTGGAGCTTCAGCCCGAGCGAGCCCACGATCGACGCGAGCTGCAGGTACGCGTCCCAGTCGTACTCCATCGGTCGCGCGCGCTCGACGATGCCCCACCACACGTCCACCATGACGCCGGCGACGCCCGCGCTCGCGAGCCTCGCGAGCTGCGCGGACAGCGCGTCGACTCGCTGCAGACGGCCGTCGCGGCTCACGGTGTCGAGCGGGAGCATCACGTACACGGGGATGGCACCCTTCCTTCCGTCGCCTCCTCCGTCGACGCGATTGAAGCGAAGAGTCGCGTCGTCGTCCGGGCGCGAGCTCGAGGACGCCGCCCGCGCGCGCTCCGTCAGCGACGACGCGGACCCCCCGGACGCGACGCTCATGTCGTCCCTCCGCGCGAGTTGTGCTCGCGCGACGAGCGACCCGCGCGTCGGGTTCTGCCGCGCGACGGACAGGATGCGCCGCGACGGAGGCGCGAACTAAAAATATCTCCGGCTCGGTCCGAGAAACGCGCGAAACTCGCGTACGATGTTCGTCTTCGTATGGGTACGCAGTCAGGAGGAGTACGCGTAACGCGCGTCCGCTGAGGTTTAGGGTTTTCCCGAATTTTTGCGGTGGGGGCGAACGTGTCTCATCAAGCGACAAAATTCATCAAGCGGCGCGGCGAGATAAAGCGCGAGAATCTGCCGCCGCGTCGCTCACTTCACCGTCGGCGCTCACGCGACCTTCGTGAATTCGAGACCCAGGGACCTTCCGCGACTTCACGTCGCGTTTCGTCTCCGTCGTCTTCGCGCGTCGCTCGTCGACCGCTTCACGCTCGCGCGCGCTCGTCGTTCCGACGCGCGACACGTAAAACAGAGCATCATGGCTGCTTTCGCGGCCTCCATCGCTCCGGTCGTTCGCGCCTCGGTTAACCCCGCGGGCGCGACGCGCCGGACGTCCATGGCGTCGTCGTCCGCCACGAGTGGCTTCATGGGCGTGTCCCTCGCGATGCCCTCCAAGACTGTCGGGAGAGCGCGCGCGGGTGCGGTCAAGGTCGAGGCGCGGATGGACGCGGGCGTCGGTGTTTTCGGGAACAAAGCGGGCATGACCCAGCTCTTCATGGACGACGGCCTGTGCGTGCCCGTGACGGTCATCGCCGTGCAGGCGGGCAACGTCGTGACTCAGGTGTGTTATTGTTCCCGTGCTCGTGCTAATGCCCGCGAGAGCGCTCGTTTTCGCGTCTCGCGCGCTCGCGGCGCGCGCGCGGCCGTCCGCGGAATCGTCGACGTCGCCGTCAAAGGGTTTAGGGCAAAGGCGCCTCCGCTCGTTATCCACTTTTATTTCGCCGCGGACTGACGCGTCCTCCCCCCCCCCGAATCCCCTCTTCGCGATGTCAGGTGAAAACCGAGGGCACCGACGGCTACAACGCCGTCCAGGTCGGATACGACCAGGTCGCGGACTACAAAATCACCAAGCCGGAGGTGGGCCACTGCGCGAAGGCTGGCGTCCCTCCCATGCGTCACCTCGAGGAATTTCGCCTGAAGGAGGCGAGCGATCACGCCCCGGGTCAGCAGCTCAAGCCGTCGGAGATGTTCAAGGAGGGCGACGTCGTGGACGTTCGCGGCACGAGCATCGGTAAGGGATGGCAGGGTGCGGTGAAGAAGTACGGCTTCTCCCGAGGTCTCATGACGCACGGGTCGAAGTCTCACCGCCAACACGGAAGCGTCGGCGCGGGGACGTCGCCCGGGCGCATCTTTCCGGGGAAGAAGATGCACTCGCAGATGGGTAACGAGACCGTCACGGCGAGGAAGCTCAAGGTCATGCGCGTCGAGGACGACTGCATCATCGTGAAGGGGTCCGTGCCGGGGAAGAGGGGCAACCTCCTGCGCGTCGCCCCGGCGAAGATCGTCGGGAAGACCTGCTAACCGCGAAGGATGGCGGGGGAGATGATTTTTTCGGTGAGACGCGTGCATTGTATTAAGACGCTAAACGTCGCTGCTTAAACGTGCGCGCGCGCGAATCGCTTCTCGCGCGCTCGATCGTCGACGCGGTGTGCCTCGTCGCGATCGCGACCGCGTTCGTTTCCGCGCGTCCCTCCCGCGTCGTTCTCGAACGGTTCGCGAGATCGACTGGAAAATGTTCTGACAAAGCGCAAGCGATGCAGAAGAGTGTCAGCCGGGCTTGAAAAGATCCATCCATCAGTTCGGTAGGCACACTCTCCGCACGCCCCATGCACGCGGCCGCGACGCGCGCGCGCGCGACCCCGGTCGCGGTGCGATATCGCGTCGCGCCCCGCGCGCGAGGATGCGAACAGTGGCGCGCGCGCGCGTCGTTGGCGGACGCGGTCGAGCGAGGAGAGCGGGACGAAAAAGCCGAGCGCGCGTCGAGTCGTCATCGCGAGTGGCGTTGGCTCTCGCCGCTTCTGGACGCGCGCGGCGTCGAGGGAAGCGCGCTGAAGTGCGAGCGGGACGCGCGCCCTGACGTCGCCCTCGGCGTGCGCGTCGTGACGCCGCACTGGAGCTCCGAAGACGACGACGACGACGACGACGCGTCCTCGTCCTCGTCCTCGTCGTCGTCGTCGCCGTCGTCGTCGTCGTCGTCGGGCGCGACGTCCAACGCGCGGCACCCGGTCATACGCGCGCTCCTCCAGCGCAAGCGCGAAGGCAGCCGCCCGGGGCATCGCACCGACGGCATGCGAATCGGTCTCGCCGTGGAGGGCGGCGGCATGCGCGGCGTCGTCTCCGCCGCGCAGTGCGGCGAGCTCCTTCGCATGGGGTACTGGGACTGCTTCGACGCGGCGTACGGCTCGAGCGCGGGGGCGATGAACCTGACGTACTACCTCGCGAAGCAGCCCGAGGGCGTGGCGGCGTACGAGGAAGATCTCGTCTCCGGGGAGTTCCTCTCGCTCGCGAGGCTCGGGTCGAGGGCGAACTTTCGGCGGCGACGCGAGCGGAGGGGCACGCGCACGTTTGAAGAAAACAATCCGTCGTCGGCGTCGGCGCCGCCGCCCGCCGCCCACGCGTCCGCGTCCGCGTCCGGGTCCTTCGACGACGACGACGACGACGACGACGACGACGCGACGTACCTGCGCGCCGCGTCCGCGCCGGCGATGGACATCTCGTACCTCGTCGACGGCGTCATGGACGGCATAACCGACCGACCGTTGACGTGGGCCGCCGTGCTCGCCTCCGAGGTGCCGCTGAAGATCGTCGCGACGTCGCTGGACGCGCTGTCGCCGGTGTTGTTGTCCCCGCCGTTCGAAGATATCGACGACCTGAAACGGTGCCTGAAAGCGAGCGCGTGGGTGCCCACCCTCGCGGGGAGCGAGCCGGTGCGTCACCGCGGGCAGAGGCTCGTGGACGCGGCGGTGATGGAGCCGATTCCGATTCGCGCCGCCGCGTCCGACGGGTGCACGCACGTGCTGGTGCTGTGCACGCGGACGCTGCCGCCGCCCTCGGCGCCCGGATCCGGATCTTCTTCCGCGGCGACGACGACGACGCGCATTCGCCGTCTCGACGAGCTGAGATCCGCCGCGAAGGACGACGGCGTCGACCTCATGGTGTCGCGCTTGATGAAGTCGCTGTCGCGCGCGGCGTATTTCGCCGTCCGCCGCGTGCTCCTGACGCCGCCGCACATGCGCACGGCGTGGGGCGTGACCGACGAGCACGCGCGGATAACCACGGAGCGCCGCGGGGATTCGCTCGGGACGCTAGACGCCGCGCTCGTCATCGCGAGGGACGACCCGGACGCCGCGAGGAGGATGCGTCTGTTCGGCGACGGCGACGACGGCGGACGCGGACCCGAGGTTTTCGCGATCGCGCCCGAGGACGACCTCAAGGAGACGCTCCCGGGGTCGCTGTGCGTGGATTCGGACGTTCTGAAGGTTGGGAATCGCGTCGGCGTGGAGGCGGTGTTTAAGCTGCTGAGCGCCGCGGAGGCGGCCGCGGGCGAGGACGCGGGGAGCGCGGCGCCGAGGCCGAGCGTCTCAGGTAGGTTTCCGTAGGATTTACACAACAAGCTAGAGTGAGTAAGTTAACACGCGCTCAGCGACCGGTGAGGTACCCGAACACCTTCGCGTCGTCGTCGCCCTTCTTCGTGAGGAATTTGAACACGTCGCCGTCGTAATTTGCCGACGGTGGTGCTGGCGGCGAAGTGTCCTCGTCGTCCTTCTTCCACCCGAACCTGATCGTCAAGTGGTTCCAAAAGAAGATGTAGTCTCCGAACTTCCAGTACGCGAACACGATCGCGGCCAGCACCAACGCGAGGATCGTCCATTTCTGCAGAGATCACGCGCGGGGAGTGAGGGGAGGCGCGTCAGCGATCGCGAACGACGGATCAGAGCGAATCGGCCCCCTCTAGGGCAAATTCAAGAAAAGGGCGCGGTCGTTCAAAAGCGCGCGGAAACGTCGACGGATCGACGCGCGCGCGCCCGGAGCGTCGGGAAGGGCACGCACGTTACACCAACTCGACCTCGGCTCGTCATCATCCCTCTCCAGCAGCCGCTCGCTCTCCCCGGCCGCTGCCATCCCGCCGCCGCGCGTCGTCGTCGTCTGCCTGAATCCCGTCCACGGACCGCTCTGCGCGGCGCCCTCCTCCCCCGGGAAGTGCCCCGCCCCCGTCCGCGTCGTCCGCGTAGTCGTCTTCGCCGTGCGCGAGAACGACCGCGTCGCCATACGTTATCACCGATCTGCGTCCGAACCCTTGGTTGGATACGACGCGCGCCGCGGACGATCGGTCGCCGCAACGGGTAGTGGATCAAGAACGTGCGCGCGTCCCTGCTATGAGACTGGAAGCTGGTGGTAACACCCGCGGCGAATCACAGGTCTCGACAACACCCGCGGCCTGGAAAATCGTATGCGTTCTAGTCTGAGAAAAGTGCCACTAAAACACCGAGACGATTTCACGGTTCGTAAACCCTTGGGAAAGGCCAAAGTCATCGTACGAGGTCGGGAGTTGGGAGGCTCGATACCAAGGCTCGATCGAGGTTTTTGCGCTCTTCGAGGGTTCCGGTGCCTTCAGCGCGCGCACCCCGCGCCACAACGACGGGCGCGGCGCCGCGGCGATACCCCCCCGGAGGAGGTCTCGCGCCATGGTTCTCGCGCTGACGTGCGCGGTGCAAAACTACGACTGGGGCGTCGTCGGCGACTCCGAGGTGTCGTCCTTGGGCGAGGCGAACGCGGGCGTCGCGTCGGACGCGACGAAGCCGCACGCGGAATTATGGATGGGCACGCACCCCTCCGGTCCGTCCGTCGTCGTCGGCACCGGCGCGGGGCTCAAGGAGACCATCGCGTCGGACGCGCGCGCGCACCTCGGCGAGCGCGTCCTCGAGCGCTTCGGCCCCGATCTCCCGTTCTTGACCAAGGTGCTCTCCGTCGCGAAGGCGCTGTCGATCCAGGCGCACCCGGACAAAAAGCTCGCGGCGAAGCTCCACGCGTCCAACCCTGCGGCGTACAAGGACGACAACCACAAGCCGGAGATGACGCTCGCGGTGACGCCGTTCGAGTCCCTGTGCGGGTTCGTGTGCCACAACGACATGGCGAAGAACTTGACGGAGGTCCCCGAGCTCGCCGCCGTCGCGGGCGAGGCGGCGGAGGACTTTTTGGGATACATGCCCAACTCAGTCGGGTGGGTCCCCGCGGCGAGCCGGCGGCGGATCAAGGGCGTCTTCGCCGCGGTCATGCGCGCGGAGAAGCCCGAGATCGAGCACGCGGTCGAGACGCTCCAAAAACGGCTCTCCGCCGCGGACCCGGCGACGCTGCGCGACGTGGACACGCTCGCGTTGCGTCTGTGCGAGCAGTACCCGAAGGACGTCGGCGTGTTGTGCGCTTACCTCCTCAACTACGTCACGCTCGAGCCGGACGAGTGCATCTATCTCGCCGCGAACGAGCCGCACGCGTACCTCGCCGGGACGTGCATCGAGTGCATGGCGACGAGCGATAACGTCGTGCGCGCGGGGCTCACGCCCAAGCTGCGCGACGTGGACGTGCTCGTGGAGATGCTGACGTACGCGTCCCTTACACTGGTTCCCATACGACCCCGTCGGCGTGGTGAACGCCGATCCTTAAGGACTTTTTCCAGCGTGTCTCTCCGCCCACCCCTCGCTTTCAATCCCCGCCATCGACGCCTTCAACTCCAACTGACGCCTTTGAACTCCACCCCGACGTCGCGTTGTATGGAACGACCCTCAGGTACGCGTGCGGCCCGACGAAGATTTTGCGCGGCGACGTCGTGGACGAGAAGACGCGGCGGTACGTCCCTCCGTTCGACGAGTTCCAGCTCGAGACGATCAATCTGGGGCCGAACGACGTCTACGACGTCGCGGTATCGAAGGGCCCGTGCGTGTATCTCGTCCGCGAGGGCGGCGGGACGGTGAACGGGACGACGGGGACGGAAGCCATGGAGGCGAAGCGCGGCGGCGTGTTCTTCTCGAGCGCGGGGGAGGCGGTGAGGTTCGCCGCGAGCGCGGAGGGAATGAGAGCGCACCGGGCGATGATCAACGACTGGGTGTTCAGCGACGTGCCGAGGCCGCCGAAGTGGAAGGAGAACGACGTGGAGGGGTGGCGCGCGTACGAGCACGGGCGGCGGGAGGACGACGACGAATACGCGTAGGGCTACTAGCTAGCGCTTTCTACCCACGCCAGTGATCTCAGCGAAAAATCGTCGCTCGGGGGCCGAAAAACTCGTCGGAACCCGCTCGCGACGTCATAACCCCCCGCGCGCGCGAGGAGCATCCGATCGCGCGTCGAGCGGGTTCGCACGCCCCGCGCGGGCGCGATGACGATCTTGGATGAGAAGCACTTCCTGGACAAGAGCTTGCTCGCGATCAGCCAGTTCAAGTCGAAGACGAAGGCTGGACGCGCGATGCCGTTCTTGCAGATGGCTGAGAAAATAATGCGCTCGGGCGCGGTCTCGAAGCCGGCGTGGTTGGACGCGATGCGAGCGTGCGTGCCCGCCTCGCCCGTCCCCGTGACGCGTCCGTCCCATCGCGCGCTACGCGTCGTGAACGTCCGTTCGCGCGGCGTCGTCGCTCCTCGCGCGGCGTCTGCAGCGCGAGATCGTCGCTCGTGCTCTCTTTCTTTTTCTTCGTTTAGGGTTCGCGACTGACGACGACCTCTTCCCCCCCTCGCCGTCCTCCCCCTCCCGCTCTCGCAGTGTCCCGCCGACGAAGCGATACGCGGGGAACAAACCGTCGAAGATCGTCTTCCCGGAGGACAGGCTGATTCGCGCGTATTACAACCGCCACCCCGCGGCGAGATTCCAGCCGATCGATCTGCAGTCGAAGACGCCGCACTACGTCCGGACCTTCGCGTTGACGCAGCTGGGGTTCATGAAAAAGAAGAGGGTGTCCGAGGAGGTCGCGCTGGAGATGACGTACGACCTCGCGGACCAGGAGGAGATCGCCGCGGAGAAGGCGGCGGCGAAGGGGAAAAAGTTTACGCGGAGGCTCACGCCGTCGCATAACCTGGAGCGGAATCACGTGAGCAAGATTCAAGACGAGGAAGAGGCGGCGTGGGAGGCGTCGAGGAAGGCGCAGGTGGACAAGTTCATGGCCGAGCAGCAGCTCGCGCGGGAGCGGAAATTGCTCGAGTACGATGAGCGCCGCGCGAGTCGAGACAACTCTTAGAGTGGAAATTAAAACTAATATAATAGAGCGATCCTACGCGTCGCGACTCGGGTCGACGCCCTCTCGACGCGAAAGAAACGCGACGGCGACGTCAACCTCGTCAAAACGACGGCGGCACGATGAACTTCGCGGTGGTCGTCGGCGCCGGGGTCTCGTCGACGCCGTACGGCGTCAGCGACAGCGCGTGTGGGGTCACGCCCTCGCCGCGACCGCGTGGCGCGGACGCGCTGTTCGAGATCCTCCGCTCGCCGGACCCGGACCCGTACCCGTACCCGTACCCGGCGTCGGCGTCGCGCGTCGTCCTCGGAGAGACGCTCGTCGCGCGTCGCCGACTCGGCGACGCCGACGACGCCGCCGGCAGCGGCGACCGCGTGAGCTTCCGAATCGACGACCGCGACACGGACTTATAACGCAGCTTGCGCACGTGCGCGATCTCCCTCACGACCGCTCTCCAGTGACGCAGGGCGCGCTGGACGCTCTCCATGCGCGCGATCTCCGCGTCGACGACTTTCATCGCCTTTTCTCTCTCCGCGGCGAGCTTCCGACGCTCGCGCCCGCGGACGACGGCGACGATCCACGCGTCGAACGCGGTGGAGGCTATTTTCGTCGTGTACATGTACCCGCATATGTTCTGCAGGTCGCACCAGTCGTCCAAGGTGCGGCCGGCGCTCCGCTCGACCGCGCGCGGAAGCGGCGGCGCCGGCTCCGGCGCGGGCGGCGCCTCCGCGTGAACGTCCTCGTCGCGAGGAGCCTCGGCGGGGACCTCCTCCGGCGTCGCTTCCATCACAACTTCCGTTTCCTCCCCCGTCTGCGTCTCGCTCGAGACCCCGATGTTCCGCTGGATTCTTCGCAGAGACGACGACGCGAGTCTGCCCATGAGCTCCGTCCAGCCAAACGTCTTCTTCGCCGGCGCGGGCGCGGGCGCGGGCGCGGGCGCGGGCACGGGAACCACGGGCACGGGCTCGCGACCCGCCGCCGCGACCGGAGACGCCGCCGCCTTGACCGGAGACGCGACCGGGGACGCGACACGCGACGACGCGCGCGACGACGCGCGCGACCGCGTCGGCGACGGCGGCTCCGTCACTCGCACGCGCACGACGACGCGTTCATCCTCGCCCACGACGACGTCCACCACCGCCCTCGGCCCGAGCGCGTTCGGCGAGAGCGGCCACTCGCTCGCGCTCGGCAGCGCGCGGTCGTCGTCCGTGACCAGCACGTCCGCGTTCAGCCCAGTCTCCGTCCACTCCGCGAACACGGAGTCCTCCAGCGCCAGCCGCGCCTCGGCTTTGGTCGTCA